ATATGTATTATAGTATAAATGCTCAGCCAAAGAAGGAGCATTATATATTTAAAGTTAAATTTCAATATTATTTGCTGAAATGATTAAGTTTATAGATTAGTTATATAATAAGAAGCAATTTCATTATTTGGTAATTCATTAAAAACATTAAATTCATTGTGGAGAAAAGGTATAGATGTCATAATATAATGATGTAATTACCTGTAATATAAAGCCTTATCTATTGATTATAAACATATCTATTCATTATCTACTAAAGGTATAAACACAGTGCATAATTTTATTAGCTGAGATTTAATTTATGATTGTGAATATAATGATTCAATTACACTGAATTAACTAGTACATTCAAATTCTTCTTCTTTTAAACAATTCTCTGATTCTTTTTTTCTGAGAATTTTTCATAATTAACCAAATATAATCAACCTTAATAAATTATTTTCTTCATATTTGCTTCATATCATTAAAAAATGTTGAAGTGTTTTTTGATCTTCTTACCCTCAAAGAAGAAATTTATTTAGAAAAAAGCATTCCTTTTGACATCTATGATGTATTTTTGAAATAAAGACCCTATATAAACTGATGATTTATGTTTGTATTCTAAAAATCCAATAGATTTTCATGCTATTAGATATATGATCAAGAAGGTTATTTGCTTAAAGGATTCAAAAACAATTATTTTATAATTGCTTTTTAAATTATAAATCTTTATAACAATGAATTCCATATTTGTTAAAATTAGGATAATTGCTTAGGACTTATTGTTTTAATCAAACTAGAAATATTGATTTCAAAATATAAGTGACCTAAAAGATCATAACCAATTATATTAACTGGCAGTTGAAATTTAAGATTAGCTTTGGTAATCATAATGATGCAATTCTATGGGCTGATAAAGTTTTAGAATAGATTCTACCATTTCAATTTATTGTCAACAAAATGCATATAAATAACTAATAATTTATCATTTGGTAGTTTAAATTATGATGATGATTATGATCGAATATAAGAATGTTTGATATTTATTATGACTCAATTATCAGTGCTGATTAAGCTTTATCTCTAGATTCTAAGCATGTCAATTCATAATTTAAAATAGTAAATAATTTGTTTATATTTAGGAACAATTTGAATAAAATTGATTACTTATAATAATTTACAATTAATAAGCTCTTTCATAATATAATAAGGTCGATTAACCAAAATTATGCATGTGCCCAAAAGATGATAGGCCTGTATAAGTTTACATATTTGGAGTCGATGTTTAAGTTAACACAATAAACAATAGGATTAATTGTAGCTGATACTTTTATATTTATGACCAACTTAATGTGGTTTTGCGTGAATATGCACTCGTTTCACTAATTATTGCATTCTAATCAAATTCATTCAAAGGCTCGTTTGTATTTCCATCACTTCTTCTTTTTACTACAATTTAAGAATGTGACAATAGTAATATATCTACATTGCTATTTTTATAGATTCTATACATAAATAAAAAAATTATTTGTAATAGAAAGTAGGAGACGGCTCATAAATTTAAATCGATTTAGATCCTTTATTATTATTAACTTTTCGTGGCACATTTTACATTATATCAATTCCTACATTCTTATTTAATAGTATGTTTTAGGTCCTAGAAGTTCTTAAAGCGTTTTTCCTGATGTACAAGGGAGAATATTCATTAAATATTAGTGTAAAGGAATTTTTGTTAATAATTTATCAGTTGAAAGTGATAATTAATGTTTACAATTCTAATTTTCTTTTGTAAAAATACTTGTTTTGTAAATTCTATTCTAATTTGTTGTTTTTGATTAATTCCATATAATTTCTGTAGAAATCTATATTATTTATATGGATTATTCAGAGCGTAATGAAATGATTGGTTGATTAATAATTATTTTAATGCTTATTAAAGGATTGAAATAATTTTACTTGCAAACTACTTACTTTCCAACAATAAAATTGATTAATAATTGCGTGTATTTTTCAGCAAAAAGAGAAGATAATATTAATGAGGACTTTATTTGTTAATTAGACTTAGCAGATATTGCTATATAATGGAGCTATTGCCTGTATTATATAATCATTATCTAGATCAAATAATTTTCTAAATGGGCTCAAAGTATATAGATAAAAATTTAGATTTACAATTTATGGATTATAAGATGAATTGTATTAATTCCAGGGTTATATTAAAGGAAAGATCCCTTTTACTGCAAATTTGTCAGAAAAATATGAATTAGACACAAACTCGATGATTGAAACTGACGTATATATCATATCACCATTTTATAGACATTTTTGGCTCTGAATTTTAAGACTTAAAAAAGGAAGCTACTTAAGAGATTATATAACAAACAAACAGCTTCCTTAGACGAATTCAAGATTCAAGTCTTTCTGTAAAAATGTAGACCTCAGTACATACTTTACTATAATTCTCATTATGTCAGAGACAAAGAATAATTTATATCTTTTGATTGTGATGAATTCAGAACTTTGAAGAGTATACTTTAACACAATCCTCAAGGACTTCCTTTACAAACCATAAGAATTATTATGTAATAATTGATAACTGGTAATCTTGTATATTTAATTTAAAGGCCTGGAATTTCTTCATTCTAATGGAATAATACATCAAGATATTCGCCCTGAAAATATAATAATAACTAATGCTGATGATATTTAGATCAAGATCAGCAATTTTAATTAGGCAATTTTTGTAGAAGAATTAGCAAAATTTGTAGGAAAAAGACCTTATGTTGATCCATAATTAATTACCAAATTTAACACTGAGAATAAATTAGATATTTTTTCTGCTGGACTAATATTTTATGCTTTATTAATTGGCAAAATTTTAGAACAACCTATTTTGATTTCAGACGCAATAATAACACTATAGTAATTAAAAGTGAATGATGAAGCCATAGATCTATTTAAAGAAATGGTTAATATTGATAAAATTGAAAGATTGAGTGCATCAGAATGTTTAAATCATAACTTTTTTGTGGATTGTCCATATTAAGTCTAAAATCTGTAATTTATTCTTTTAATGTTTAGTATTGATAAATTAGATCAAATCACAATCCCTTTTAAGCTAAATAGATATAAACAAAGGTGAGATGCACATGTATCTTTGAGTATTAATTAAATAATTGAACAATTAAAATTTTCTTAAAATTCTTAAAAAAATTAACTAGATATCATATTATGACGATTTAAAATCTACTGGAAAATCATTAGAGGAAAATATGAAAAAAAATATGTATTTTCACAATTCATCAATAGAATTTCTTGGTAAAATGAAATGTAAATACCTGCCATTCTTCAAATCGTAAATTCTAACATAAAATTGGCTATAAATTATCAAACATAAACACATAATTGGAGTGGTCGTATTTATAAATATATATAATTTTAAGCAGTAAATTATTTTTTTTGAAGTTTACATATGTATTTTAATTAAACTGAATTCTATTCTCAATGGTAGACGAATTATTTGATCTTTTCATAAGTTGACTGCTTCAAGTTACAAATTATTTTATTATATTTATGATATTTATAATTTAAACATAAATATTAATTCTGATCATTTAGAAAAGCTGATATACACATCTCAATACAAGTTTATGTTTAATTTAAACGACCTCGATACAAGAGTAGATAGACAATTCAAATTATTAAACATTATTATATAATACAATATAATTTGAAAACAGCAATTTGTTTATCATTTTCAACTTATTTAACAACATCCCTTCGTTATCGACATCACAATTACTTTTGAAAGACAATAATTTATTTTATTTTATGAAGAAATACATCTTCTAATAAAAAGAAATAAAAAACACTTGAATTAGTTTGTCTTAAAAACTCCTAAGATATCCAACTTGAAAGAAGGGTACAAATTTATGAAAATACATGTAAATCCAAAAAAAAGTAAAATGCTTACTTTCATTTCATTAGGAAAATTATAAAATAATCTTAAAATTAGAAAATAAAGTTACACCAATCATATTGGCAGGCTGTTTAGTTTCAAAATTGTGTTTTAATGAGTTTAGTTTTAGCAGAAATAGAAAAATTGCTTAGAGTAAGTTAAATTTTGATATTCCTCTTTACTCCATATGAAGAGATACTAAAATACTCGATTCATTTATGCATGAAGAGTTAAAATTAAAGTACTTAAAATCAATATAGGTCTGGTTATTAAATTATTAATTGGGGAATTGACGATATTCTATTTAATCATTATTAAAATAATATAGAATAAAACTAATTAATGAAATCTAATTTAAAAGATAGTAAAGAAGTCTTGCGATATTTATTTTCTCAAACGTAATAAATTACTTATGATTATGTAATAAATACTTATGATTTAATTTTATCTTTTAGGATTTTTAGATTAAATCAATATTAAAGAGCTATGAACTTCTAGAATAAAGCGATTCAAATAAATCCAAACTTCGACTAGCCATACAAAATTATATGAGTTTAATTAAATAATCAAAATTAATAAAAGTGAGTCGCTTTCAAGTAGCCATAAAATGATATGATTAGGAAATTATTTATAATGTAGTATTATGTTAAAAATCATTCAACAAATTTTTTATGTTCTATTTGATCCATCTTAAGAGGCTTTAGAATATTATGAAAAAGTAAGAAAAATTGATTTAACCGATAGTAATGCATTGTTTAATAAAGTTAAGCAATTTGATAATTATTTAAGGCAAAGCCTTATTTCGAATTATTTAAATAATGGCATTTAGTAAAGGTATACACACTTTTTTTAATTCTATAGCTAAAACTTTCAATTATCATGTTTTTTTGTATTGTAATTATTTATATTGGATCGATTTTCTGATGCAATATTTTGTTATGGAAAATAAAAAAGTCATTTTCCATAAACTAACAATTAAAAACAACATCTTAACAAATTACACTGACTAAACCGAAATATAAACAATTTTAAACAAAATATTATTTCTAATCAAACCAGTAGTAGTATTTATTCAATAGATATAATCCCCTAAGCTAACTAATCTAGCTAATTGTTTGTACATTACATTTTCGAAAAGTTTTTGTTACCTTATAGCAAGTAATATGTATTATTCACTTAAAATGACTTCTCTCAGATAGTAATACGATTCTAAGGCTCGATTTTGATAAATTAAAATTAAACCTTTATGAATACTTTAAACATTTTATAAATGCTAAATAAATAGCATCTGCTTCTTAAATGAAAAAAAACTAAAATTTTATATAACTGATTGATAGTAATAAAATATGGGAAAAAAAAATATTGAAAATTTATTTCTATAAAAGTTAGTTGACATTTTAAACCTAAAAAAAATAATTTCTAATGATTAATACTCAAAACCATTGGGAGCCATTTTATTAATGAATATATTTCCTTAATAATATTTTATATAGAATTATTTTTATATAATAAATTTATTATTGGGATATATATACTAAATCTGTTTTATTTATTTTAATATAATTTATTCTTTCATATATTTTATCTAGAAAAGAGAGATATTTATGAATAAAATTTATTCATTTATATTGGAATCAGTTTTTATACTGTTTAAAAATAAATATTGAGGTGTAATAATAATTGAAGATTATGTTTATATTCATTATTATTTTATTCTTAAAATTTAACAATGTAATTTTATAATATTAAATAAATAATAGAAAGTGTTACAACCAACTTCAAATATTCCAATAATAATCATTCGAATTAGAATATAGTTTGATTAATTTTTTAACTTTATCTTGAAATTTGTTTATTGGGATGAGATTTAGAATAAAAGTGATTAGTATGATTATTTACGTTTTAGTGCGAATTTAGACTTATGAATAAATATCATTTTAATATTTTGAAATAATATATAAACATGATTTTATAAACTGATGATTTTTCAATTTTTTGTTTAAATATTGTTCATAACATTTATATAATTATAAATAATTGAATTGAATATTTTAAATGTTGAAATTAAATAAGATAAGTTTAATACTTGCTGTAATTATTTCTTTTTTAAAAAAATATCTTTTGAGAAATGAAAGCTCATTTACAAAATTATTATTACATTTATTAGTCAACTTATATTAAACAAATTGCACCCCAACAAATTCTTAATAATATCAGAATTTATTAATTATATTCTCATTATAGTCAAATATTATAGTGTATAATTGATCTAAAATCGTTTAATACACTATATTTTCAATTTGGGGACTCATCAATTTTATAAAAGACATAAATTTTCCTGTTTTTTTTTTTCTACTAGAAACTAAACCATCAATTTTTTAATAGAGAATCAATTTATAAAAAACTTGAATATTACAATGAATTCCCCTTTTAACACACCTTTTATAAGACTCAAATGATCTTGTTTTCCTAATTGTGTATGCAGATCATCAATTTCAAGAGAATGGAAACATCATGATTGTTCACAGCCTATTTTATTAGATAAAGAGGAGAAATTTTTGTAATTAAAATAAAGAAAAAAAATACCGAGATGTCAAAAAACAGAAATCTTAAAATAAATAAGAATGCTATTAATGGTTTGTTAATGTAAATGATAAATAATATAGTTTTATTTTTATTAACGTGCAGAATTCTCTGACAATCTTATCTAAGTCCCATTTGCACTTCTTGATTAAATGATGAGCCAAGTGGTCTCTATCTACAAATACTTGTTGTGATATCTGTGACTTGATAAACGCATTCAATGAATCAAGTCTTGTAAAGTTGTAATATTTAAAAGCATATGAATCTTTCACTAAAATAAGCTCGATATAAAATTGAGATTATACAATTGAAAAATGAAAAAGTTCGTATAATATTAAATCATTAAAAATTTATGGTCCCAGACTATCAAGATTTGCTAAAGAAATCTTTAATCCTTACAATTATCAATTTTTATAGCCCTTTCTAAAGTTAATATCAAAAGTGTATTTAAGAAGTTAATTTAAAGTCTCACATCTTAAATCTAATGTTAATTTTCAATAATAGTCTGTTATTTTTATGTTTCTAAAATAGTTTGATGTTAAATATGTTTACAGGATTTTTGGGGATTATTTTTCATATTCGTCTTTGCACTTTAAGTAATATCTTCTTTGATAATGTAAATTATTCCTATAATTCTCCACTCTAAATTTTCAAAATATGCCTAAAAAATTGAAAAAGAAAATATAGGTTTAAGCTTATTCATAAACCTTTAGAATATTTTGTAATATTTAATATTCAATTTGATCAACAAAATACCTATCTAAAATTGTTTAGTGATTTTCATTTATACTATTTATTTAGGGTTATTACATACAAACAAGGAGTAATAATTAACTGCAATTTTTAGACTTACTTCATTTTGAAATGCAGAAAATTAAGTTTATTTTGATACTTATATTATAAATATGTATGATGTTGAAATAACAACAAAGTCAGATGATGAGATTCTTTCCTTAATTCGAGCATATTAGCAATAAGGATATTAGGTCTGGCTGTAAAAAAGATGTTCGGATAAATTTTTGATGTAGGCAGATTACAATGTAAGTATTATAATTATAACTTAGACATAAGGAGTATTAGATCTTGACAATTCTGGGATATTCAAAAGCTAAAATGTTGATCCAAAGCAGTTTAATGAACCATCAGTTATTTGCAGCCTTCGCAAAAATGTTGAAGATGGGCACAAAACTAGCACTATGGAAATTAAAGACACAATGTTAATATTTCCAAGAAAAACCTAAACCGACCTATATAGTTTACTAAGCCCTAAATTAAATTCAGAAAGAGAGGATTTAGTAAAAGGGTTTTACGAATAATTGAAGGAAGCCTTGCATTTAGAATAGTTTGGACAGGTGAAAGAGTCGATTGTAAGAATAACCAAGTAGTAATTATAGGCTTTATTGACAAATCTGATAAATGAACTAGAAAATCAGCTGATTGATTCCTAAATATTGCATCTAATATTCGTCGAAAGTTTATTAACTCTTGGAATACTGAATGCATAAATAATGAAATATTCTGATGCGAAAATGTAATATTGATAATAAAAAAGGTGTCTAGAGAAATGCTTAAGATTATTCGTTATAAAAGATTAAATATTGTTGGCCTAAATATATCGTAAATTAGGACACTATTCCTAATCTGTTTTTAGTTATCAAAAATCTATAGACTACTATAACTAAGCCTTAATCATTTATGAAATATACAATTTAACACCAGAAGTAGCTTATACAATGATGTCAATAGCAGTTATTTATTCAAAAGTGAATTAATTTGAATTGGCATAAAAGATAGCACATCATGCTTTAGAAATCACTGGTGCTGAAATGAACAAACACACCGCTAGTTTATATTAGATGTTGGGGGAAGTTTATTACAATTCGGAGAACTATTCAGAAGCATTAGATTATTTTGATACTTCTTACGATTTGAAGTCATCAAGTCCTGATGCACAATCTCGAATCAGAACAATTAATTATATTGCAAGTTCTTGTTTTCATTTAGGTGAATATCGAAAAGCATAAGAATTATTTGAAGTAGCATTAAGTTAAGTGGATGATTAAAACTCACTACTTGAAGCATAATTATTAAATAATTTAGGAATAACGAAAAGTGCATTAAAGTAAGATAGTAAAGAAGAATTTGAAAAATCTCTAAAAATTTTCTTATAGTTTTACCCGCAAAATCACCCTTCAATTAAGAGAGTACTCAGAAATGACAGCCATTGATAATATTGTTTATATTTTATTTAAAAATATTCTAAACACATGATTCTCATTCACATGGGGCTCTGATAGCTTCTAAAAATAGCTCGTATATCATCTCCTTTCCTTTTTCAATATTTTATTAAGGGTTATTAAAAGTATTAACCTTAATTCTTATTTCGTCTTTTCCTTTATATCTTGGACCAATTAAATAAATAAATCGCTCTCTTTATTTTGGAGTAAAGTTCATTTCGCTTATGTTGACAAAGACTGCAATCTAATAATAAATTTCCTTATGAATTTACTTCACTATTTTTATGTAAATTATCTCCCTTTAAGTCTGGAATGAAGGAGATTTCAGCAAAAACTTTGTAAGAAGGTGGGTTTTGTTTTAACTACTCATCAATCTCCTTTTTTGTTCTTAATGGGTAATCAAATGGATCTCTAAATGTTTATTTCATGTAATGTGGAATTGCTTGGCTGACTTTGGGTTTCCAGAAATGTGCTTAAATAATGGTACAAATTTATACATTTATGAGCTAATCTGAATGTTGGTAAGAATGTATTGAAATTATAGAGTGACACAAATTGTTTCATTCAATTAAAAATTCTTATTATTATTATTTAATTTTATTCATAAAAAGTGGTGTGTCTGCTTCTTCTTCATTTATAATGTCTAAACCATTTGGAGGACTACTGCTTGCCTTAATTCTATCATCCAAAGAATCCAAACTAGAATGACTATCACATTTTTAAACAATGTCAAAAAATTCTTTAACCTCATCTGGTTTCGTTGATATGGATTGGCATAATGAATTGATTGATTATTAGAAATGGATTGACCTATTTCTCATTTGTTATGAAGTGTCTTTATCTGTTTGATGAATTGCATCAATAAAACATTTATTTTTAAAATCATGAGTTACATTCTGGTGATCTTCTTAGGATTACTATAAATATTTAATTGCCTGGCTTGAATGAGCAGTAATTTAAATTTTGTTATTCATTAACATATCATCCTTTGTATATTATTTCGAATTTAATTTCATAAATTATAATTGAGATATTGAATAGGTTTAATACAATAAAGGGTGAACTAAAGCTTCTAGAGTAATAGATAAAATAAATACTTACATGAGGCAGTAATTCTTTTATTTGGATTGAATGATAATAATCTTTTCAGTAAATCCTGGGATAACGAGTCCAGAGATTTGAATTCAGTTGACAAAAGATATTGTTATTGATTTTCATTTTCATTAAACTCCATTCTATTTTCATTGGTTATTGGTAACTTATGACATAACATTTGATAAGCAATGACTCCTATTGCCCAAACGTCAATTAACTCATTGTAACCAGAACCACTCCATAATTCAGGGGCCCTGTAATTTTCATTTCCAGTTATCGTCCACAACAATTAGACTTGAATATCCCTCTATTAGGTTGTGATAAATCTTTTGGATACTCCAAAGTCAATAATTTTAATAGTAGAAGTGTCTTAATCAAATAAAATATTGTCTGGTTTAAGATCTCTGTGGCATAAACCCATCCTATGCAAATATTGAGTTGCTTCTAAACATTATCGTAGAATTGATAGTTTATTCTCTTATGTAAGTATATTTTGTTTTAGTAGTTCATGTAGACTAGGATAAGGTAAATATTCCATTACTAAATAAGAGCATTCCGTATTAGTGTCTATATATAACTTATATGTTCTGACGATTAAAGGATTGTTTAGTTTCAGTGTATTTAGGAAGGTTTGCTTCATAATTCCCATAATTTCAGGATCTCCATTACGAGTAATTTTGACTGCATAAGTTTCATCTGGATTTGATATTTACCAACACTATCTGACAACAGAATGTGCACCTTCTCCTAATATTTTGCCTATTTAATAATCATCTTGAAATTTTCTGTTTCTTTAATCTATTGAAATCTAAAATGTTTCCTCCATCAACTCACCATGACTTGAGCATTAAACATATTCAAGAATTTAGGGACTTAATTTTTGAATTGTTGCCTCTTCGTTGTTCTAAACAAACAAGTCTTTTTTAACCCTATCATGTAATCTTAATAGGTTTTCTTTTTTGTTCATTAAAATAATAATTATGCCAAAAAAACGTCGTCAATAATCTGATTTTTGGGATACTGTCCACGACATTAAGAAACTAACATAACCACATCTAACACACAATAAAAAACATTTTATAGAAAAGCCTGGTAAAAAAAAAGTATTTACTTTATCAATATACTTTCCTTTAGTAAAAAGGCTAAAACACACCATTACCTATTTTAAATGGGATTAGGAAGAAATATATAAGTGATGTCAAACAAGAACAGGAACATAATATTGAGCATAACATCTAATATAGATCTGATTTGAAAAAAGACTTAACTTTATTAAAAACCATGAAATAAAAGAAAAATTCCTTTTAAAAAAATCAATATAAATTTAAGAATATGAGAGCAAAAGGAGCAGGTAAATTCGAGGATGGCACACTCAAATTCACCAATAGAGATCTTAAGAAATTTAATAAATCCAAATGATAGTATTATATATCAGATTATAAAATATGGAATAAAAATTATCTTGTTCTTCTTATAAGGAATTATTGTACCAATCAATTCAATATATATATGATTTATATAATGAATAAAGATCAATTTAATAAATAGTAAATAAATGATTATATAGAATTATATAAATCAATCAGATGGAAAATTTAATTCGAGAATCTAAAAACTAGGAATAGGTTTTCGACACAATAAGGCAGCAAAGAATTTAGATGATTAAAAATACTTTTATTCTAATTCTAGTTTTTGAAAGTGTTGTGATCATTAGTATGCACTTATATTAATTCAGCCTAAATTTTTATGTTGACATATTATCAAATGTACACACCAAATAAAAATGAATTGTATAGACTTTGGATATCCTTTTATTACAGTTGTTAGGGAAATATTTGTTTTTAAAATAAGTAAGAAATAAAATTAAGTAAGGAATATTTGCAGCAATCTTTCTTATTAAGAAAAATATCATGATGTCTATTGTTATAATACTTCAACCATGAATATAATTAGATATTTGTTAAGTTCCATTCTTATATTTATCATACTTTTGATGTTTTTTGATATTTATAGAATCATAAAAATCAAGAACTCTTTAAATAATCGAATATTATCTTAAGATCTAGTTAATTAAGCTGAGAAATTTCAAATTGTTATTACTTTATTATTATGCATATATTATGGGATATTAATGATTTTTATATTTGTCGTAGATGGGGAAAGTAATTCAATTTTTAAGTATTAGATGGAAGTGCATTAGGATTATCATTCTATGTTGGAGGTGTAGGAACAGTAATTTACATGATAATTATCATTTATTCTAGATATGTAAGAGGGAGGTTTTCAAGAACTACTTATTTTGAAAAATTGCTAAACCAATAACTAAATGAATCAGAGATATAATAAAATTATGAATTTAAAACTATTGAAGAAAAGGAGGAAAGTTTCTATTCAGCCTAAGAATGATGTAATTTTATTTATATGATTAATCAAAAAAATGACTCAAGGTTGTTATCACATTATGCTTACTATCCAAATAGTACTTCTAATTGCTAATGATCAGTTAAAATTAATTATCACTAATCTGACTTATGATAATTGTATTTCTTATCTCAAAATTAAAATATAACAATTATATCAGATGCAATGTATTATGAAAATGAAACAATGAAAAATTGATTTTAGGTTGAAAGAATTAAATTAAAAAGACTGCAATCCCTTTATTTTAAAGAAATCACTAATATCATAAAAAATAAGTTTCATATTAATCAAAAGAGACCTTGAATTTAAACTGGTTCATTTTGATGAAAAATCAAAACAAGAATAATAAGGATTGCTAGACAGAACGATAGCAATTTTAAAAATTCATTTTGCTTTTCCTAAATGAATTTGCCATGGATTTCTTTGGAAATCGAAATTCTTTTCTATTTTTATACTTTTTTAAACTCTTCAATTGTCATTAACTTTTGATCTTAATTCTTAATGTTATTATTTTTCATTATCTCTCTTTTCTTCTCCAAATATTGTATATTTTAAATTTATTTCTTCACATTCTTAGAAAATTCATGATTGTTTTATTAATTAATTCTTAACTATCTCATGTACAAGGGTTTTCTATAGTATGCATTAAAATCACTCAAATTCAAATCTTAATATTCGAAAACTTGTGATTAAGCCATAATGAATGATGAAATTTGTGATTATTTCATTACTTGTGATTATTTAATAAAGATTCAATTAATGGAATTTTATTCTCATTATTATTAATTATATATTCAGTAATGCTTTATAAACTTTTAATTCATTTGATCTAGTGCTAATAATTTAAAATTTTATTGTTCAACTAACATGTCTGAGTGGCAAAATAAGTTTCTTAATCATTTCTTATTACATCAATGATCATTAGATACAATTTTTGGATACTTTGCATAATGCATTAAGAAAAATTATTTAATTTTTTAGAAACAACTAAGAAAAACTAAGTTTTAAACATTAATTTTATTTATTTAGCAATAAAATTTATTTAATAAAATGTACCTATCATCCAGAACATAAGGAAGATTAGCAAATCTAATTATCACAATAGCTGAAGGAGAGAAGAAGACTGAAATAGCCAGATAAGTACTAGCTGAATAGAAAATGTTTGAACCCTACACAGCTTTCAGAAGATTAGATTAACTTAGATCAGGTGAGTTAACTGTTGGTGACATCTCTGACTTTTTGGCTGATAATAAGATCTACCCTACCTAAGTCCAGCTTGAATATTTATTTAAAAGGCTGGATTTGAATCACGACGGTAGAATCACATACCCAGAGTAAATTATATAGAATATTATCAAGTTTCGTTAAGGCCATATTACCAAAAGAAGACTCAAGATTAAGATAGATCGCTTCATTAAGAGATAGCTACTACATTGAAGTAAATATGCTTCTCCCAACAGAAGTTGAATGGGGACTTTCAAGAGTCTTACAATAAGAAATCTAAAATTTCAAGTACCAAATAATATATAATTTTAGTTCAATTACAGCAGCTTAAGAAATTTTGACAGGAAGTGCAGATTTTACCTCATTGGATGCATTTAGATGCATAGATTAATTATATATAGGCTATATAACTATAGAAAGGTATCTAATTACAATACTAATATAGCTTACAAACTTTCTTAAGAGGCAATGGCGCAAAATTGACATTTGATGAATTGTAAGCCTTCTTTAGAGTTGTGGACTCTGATGAGGATGGTAGAATAACTTATTCAGAATTATTGGAGGCCATTACTTTTGTGCCTGATTATTTCTAAAAGGAAAGATAGATAGCAAATGAATTAAGAAGAAGCAGAGAGAGAATCACACAATTAGAAAAGGAGAGAGAAGTGCTTGATGATTTACAAAGAAGTAGAGAGAGAATTGATGATTTAAGAAGAAGTAGAGAGAGATTAGAATAGTATTAAGACTTGTAAAAGAGTAGAGAGAGATTAGAAGATTTAAGAAGGAGTCGAGAGAGGTTAGATGATTTGAGAAGAAGTCGAGAGAGATTAAATCAATTAGAGGAATTATAGAGAAGCAGATAAAGAATAGAATAATTGGAGGATTTGAAAAAGAGTAGAGAGAGATAAGCATAGATTGATGAATTGAGAAGAAGTAGAGAGAGATTGGATGATTTAAGAAGAAGTAGAGAAAGATTAGAATAATTGGAATAAGAAAGAAAGAATAATGAATAATTAGAAGAACTTAGAAAGTCTAGAAGTAGAATTGAAGAATTGTAAAAGTAAAGGAGAAGAATAGAAGATTTAAGAACAAGTTAAGAAAGATTAGATGCTTTGAAAAGAAACAGAGATGAATTGGAATTGAGAAGAAGTTAGGAGAGACTTAATGAATTGAAGAAGAGTAGAGAAAGATTGGAATAGATAGAGGCTTTAAGATAGAGCAGAGAACAATAGAGAGCTTTGGATGAATTAAGATAGAGTAGAGAGAGATTAGAATAATTGAGAGTGTCATAAAATAGAATAGACTAATTGGAGAATGAGAGAAAAGCATTATAAAGAAGTAGACAAATAGAGAGAGAGATTGAATACGAGAGATAAAGAAGTAAAGAAAGATTGGAGAGATTGGAGTTGGAAGCCTAACTTGAAAGATAAAGAGAAAGAGCATTGGAATAGGAAATAGTAACACAAAGCAAGATTGTGTAAAGTAGAATTTATGACACACCTTAAAGATTTTATTGATTATTGAGATAATAAAATAAAATAAAATTTTGTTTAATATGAATATCATTCAATTTTAATTATTTGAAAACACAGTTTAGGTGAGTATGACTTTATTTAGAAATGCTATTTAATGTGTAGTAAGTGACACTAAAAAATTTGGTAGTGTTTTGACAGCAGAATGTGAAAAAATGGGTGAAGATGAAAATATTTATGATGTGAAAACAAAATTTGGATCAAGAGAAATAGTAGAATACGAATATTTTGCAAGAAAGATAATTGAAGAAATGTATAATTCAAAAAGGATTGTTTAAGAGATGTAAAAGAAATATCAGACCTAAGAAAAACAATTCAATATATTTTTAGGTAAAAAACTATTGCTATTCATATCATTGAATGATCGAGAGAACATCTAGAAAAACAAAGCCATTATTGAAGAAATTACAGCTAATCTAACTAATTTGATATGAGTATAATTATGTGTTAATAATTATTTGAAATTAAAATATGATTAATATACAACCAAGAACAAGAGAATAAAGAGTATAATATTAAGATTATTCACTAATAGGAAGCCCAAAGAGATAAGGATCTAATAGAAAAGACAAGGATTGATTAAAGAGGTGAAAACTATAATTTATATCATAGTTGGATATGAGGCAAGAGGTTTGGGAGTTGGAAACTTGATACATCAAGCACCACCTTAATCATCACTCTATGTTCCAGGTAAGTGTCTTAAATATTTGAAGAAAATGAGAGATTTGACAAGGATTTTGCTATTGCTGATAAGAGATAGAGAGAAATGTAACTTTATCAGAAAGAACAAGTTATAGAAAAAAAAAGAATGGAGGGATTGGATAGAGAAACAAAAAAATGGGAATATCAAGAGAAACAAGAGCAAAAAGATTAATAAAAATTAATCAATCACACTTAAGCTTTAACTTAAGGAAAGAGAAATTAAAATGGGTAGAGATTCAAAAATATTATTATTAGATTAGCGTATAATCCTATTACTTTATAATATGATAAGACACAGTAAGGAAACATATTAAAGGAATAGGATGATTAGGCAAAGGTTCGACAATATGTTAGGGCTTAAAATCTGGATCAAAGAGGGAATGCTGGATTCAATATTTTGACAGGAGAATCCCGTAATGGAGTTGAATAGATTGTACCTAATCATTTGAAGAATCAATATTAATAGAAACTAAGAGATCATGAGTAAAACTTAAACATCAAAACTCAATCTTAATTTAACAATTGAGAAATAGAATGAAATTTATATATATATATATAATAATCAAATGGATTACTACAAGGTTTTAGAACTGCCTAGAAGTGCAACTGAAGCAGATATCAAAAAAGCATACAGAAAATTAGCATTGAAATGGCATCCGGTATTTGTTTTTTTAATGTTAAAAGGATAAAAATCCAGACAACAAGGAAGTAGCAACAAAAAAATTTAAGGAAATCGCAGAAGCTTATGAAGTTCTTTCAAAACCTGAGAAGAAATCTCATTATGATAAATATGGTCATCAGTAACCACCTCCCACACCAAATTATTAACAATCTAACAATTATGGAAATCAATATTAATAAGACTTTGATGATTTTTCTTCTGGATTCCAAAATAACTTTAATACTTTCAATAATAGGCCTGGGTTTAATAAATATTCTGAATAGTCTTTTGGGTTTCCATAATTTAATAGAATGCCTGATTTGAATAAATTCTTTTTTGGAGATAATTTTGATCCATTTGAAGTATTCTAGAATTTTTTTTAAAATGATCCATTTTTTAATCAAGATTTCTTTGGAAATAACTAGTAACCATAGAAAAATAGTTTGGCAAAAGCTAACTCTTATAAGAGTGATTTCGATGATGACTTTTTCAAACCATTCTATTAAAATGGTTCACATTAAGGCGGCAACATTATAAGAGGATAAACTCATAAGACAGTATAATCTACTACAACTACAATGTAACTTATAAAGTGTATAAATTTAGGAATGGTTAACCAGTTCAAAGAGTGAAAACAACTATAATTCATCCAGATGGAAGGAAGGAAGTCAAGGAGGAGATAAAAACATTATCTTAGTTATAAAAACACAACAGTGCCATTTACTGATAAGATTATTATATAATTAGAATAAGATATTCAACAATTTTGTTATTTATTCTTTTTTATTTATGGTATTAAAATATTAAAAGAATGTCCTAAGATAATAAATAAGATTAAGATTTATCAAACTTAACTCTCGCTGAATTATAAAAGATTTAAGAGGAAAAAAGATTCGATAAGCTTTTAGACTAAGAAAACCTCAATAGATAAAAACAATCTAAGGATAATGAGAACAATATAATAAAAAATGAAGAGTCATAGCAAACTATCAAATTATCTTCAGATGATCCTGCTGAATTGTATGAGAAATTAAAGCAGAAATGGGGACTTGAAGAGAAACAGAAACCACAAGATGGAAGTAGATTATAATTATATTATATAATAGTAAGAGCAGAATAAACAAAGAGCAAACTTGAAGTGTTATTAGAAGAGAGAAGAAATAGAAAACCACCGAAACTTTAATAAATTCAGAATGATTACATGCAATAAATACAGGATGAAACAGTGGTTGATTCTGTATATAGTAAGGAAGGGCCTATGCCAAAAACAATTTAATAGATGCTGACAGAGTATTAGGGAATAAAGGGAGCTGTTAATATTGGGTAGGAGTGGACTGATATCATTTAATAAGGAGTAAAGACAAATTTAAGGAATCAAGAATAAGCTGCCAATAGTAATAGTTCAGAATAACTAATTAGATTACTTTTGGTTGATGGCAAAGAAAGGACGTTTAGGAGTAGATGGATTTGCAATAGCTTTTGGAATATTTGGAATAATCCTTCTTCCGATTTATTTTTATTAGAGATAAAATCGAAGGAGAGGTGCATACAAGTAGGAGATCAAGATAGTTTCTGGAGTAAAGGACTGGGAGAATTCCACTCTAGATATTGATGATGTTTCAGTGTAGCAAACATATTATACTTTGTTTTCTGAGGAGATATAAGAACTAATGAAAAAGAAGATGGTGGTTTAATAATAGATCAGTAAGCTTTTGGGGAGAGAAAAATGATAAATATCAGATTTATTTTACATGAGATGACATTGATTTAAAATATTTTATAATAAAAACTTTGATTATGAAAAGAGTTGTTTAAAAAATATAGCACTTAAAGAATATATCCTAAGTTATAGCCTCTGGTGATCATGTTGTTACAGTTAAAAATATATTGAATGCTTTAGAAAAATAAACTAAGGAAGATTTAAGTTATTTGGAAAAGAATTTGTTAAAGATATTTCCTCTTTTTGGCTTGATAAAGAAGTCCTAAAAATCCTAATAAAAATTTAATGAACTCATATCCTAACTATAGATTGAACACTTCTAAAACAATTAAGTTATTTTTTATAAAGGAGATATCGGAAGAAAGATGTACTTTGTACTGTCTGGCCATCTTCTGAGTTTCCCTTATGATTGTAGAGATATAAGTATTTAAATGTTTGATTAGAGATAACCATACCGCAAATAAAGAACTTAATGTAGGAGATCATTTTGGAGAAATAAGTCTTTAACATCGAATTCCAAGAACTCTTACAGTCATAAGTAAAGGTGAAGTCATTTTATTAAGCGTAAATTATGAGACATATTCCAATTATATATAGTCAACAGTTGACAAAATTCTAACTGACTAGTACAAATTCATCAGAACTTTGAGTATCTTTTAAGATTGGAATGAGTTCACAATATAATTGATCTTACACCACTTAGAAGAACAAAAGATCTAAAGAAACTAGCATGTCTACAATGAGGGGAATAAGGATTAAAATTTATATATAATAAAATTCGGAGAGATCATTTTATAAAAATAGTATACTGTCAATTAGAAAAAGAGTGAAAATGGTTTGATTTGTTTAGGTTAAGGACAATGTTTTGGAGATTTTGAATTCATTGATAATCAATCTTGGTTACAAAATAGAAATGCAATTAAAGAGATAACCAGGTAAATGGATGCAAAATCTACAACTGAATCCTTGATTCTCTCTTTACCATTTCTTACTTATATAAGAATATAAGAGGAATATCACAGTTCAACCTTACATTCCTTTTTATCCACTTCAAAGTAGGTTGTAATTTAGAGAATGAAAATATTACAGTAGTAAATTATAAATAAAAAAATAAAATTAGATGAAGAATCTGAAAGGAAAGATGAGTTGTCTGAACTCAGAATGTTTAAAGATTAAAAATAAGAAGAAAAACAACCTTAGATTGTAAATGATACGTCTAAAATTCGTCATTCAAACAATCCTTACATATCATTAATGGGAACAATCAAAAGCAATAAAACCAAAGAACATTAATAATAGCCATCCTTATAAATAGATTAAATTGCTAATCATTTTTCTTAAAAATCTATACTAATGAAATTTGATAGAGGACACAAAATATTATTATTGAAGAAGTTGCGAGATGCCTCTATATTGCCAGATGTTAAAGACAATTTCATCTATTAATAGTCAACAGTAAGAAGTAGTTGTTCGAGATTGAGAATGAATAAAAAATATTAGTAGAATAATCAACAAGACAGTGTTACCATAATCAAACCCTTTGTTAATTCGAGATCTCACACTCCTGATTCCTCGGTGGTATTGCCAAATGAGTTTAAAACATAAAATGAAATAAATAAATGCTAGAGAGCATTTACATTTAAACTTAATGACTTTCACAATTTCAAAGTGTCATCAAATTCTGTTGGATATTCGCGATCAATATCATAAATGAGTATAAGTAGAAGTAGTATTAATCGTAAATCGCCAAGTAAATATAAATTCGAGATTGAATATGAAAAAAACTAATCGTAATCTCCATAAAAATAACCTAAAGTTGAGATTGACTTATGCGTATATGGGAAATAATGATCTGCCGAAATATATTTCTAGAACTTTGAATAATAATATATATATAATAATAATGGTTTATTACAAATTATTGTTTTCCTGTGAGACCAAAAATGTTGAAGCAATCTCAACTGGAGGAGCAAACTATGAGTAAGATAGTAGTTATTTATCAAAGGTGGCACATCTCATTGGTTTGTTCTAGTTGCCATACAGATATTAATGAAATCTATTTTAGAGGAGATGATCAAGTGGATGTTGCCAATTCAAGAGGGTAATGCAATTTTTAAATGAAATGCAAAACATGTGCTAAAATGATCAATATAACTTTAGAGAAATTCCCAGATACAGTCAATGTGCAAGAAATAAGTATATTCACTTTTTATTAATTTTAGGCAANGTTACAAAATAGAAATGCAATTAAAGAGATAACCAGGTAAATGGATGCAAAATCTACAACTGAATCCTTGATTCTCTCTTTACCATTTCTTACTTATATAAGAATATAAGAGGAATATCACAGTTCAACCTTACATTCCTTTTTATCCACTTCAAAGTAGGTTGTAATTTAGAGAATGAAAATATTACAGTAGTAAATTATAAATAAAAAAATAAAATTAGATGAAGAATCTGAAAGGAAAGATGAGTTGTCTGAACTCAGAATGTTTAAAGATTAAAAATAAGAAGAAAAACAACCTTAGATTGTAAATGATACGTCTAAAATTCGTCATTCAAACAATCCTTACATATCATTAATGGGAACAATCAAAAGCAATAAAACCAAAGAACATTAATAATAGCCATCCTTATAAATAGATTAAATTGCTAATCATTTTTCTTAAAAATCTATACTAATGAAATTTGATAGAGGACACAAAATATTATTATTGAAGAAGTTGCGAGATGCCTCTATATTGCCAGATGTTAAAGACAATTTCATCTATTAATAGTCAACAGTAAGAAGTAGTTGTTCGAGATTGAGAATGAATAAAAAATATTAGTAGAATAATCAACAAGACAGTGTTACCATAATCAAACCCTTTGTTAATTCGAGATCTCACACTCCTGATTCCTCGGTGGTATTGCCAAATGAGTTTAAAACATAAAATGAAATAAATAAATGCTAGAGAGCATTTACATTTAAACTTAATGACTTTCACAATTTCAAAGTGTCATCAAATTCTGTTGGATATTCGCGATCAATATCATAAATGAGTATAAGTAGAAGTAGTATTAATCGTAAATCGCCAAGTAAATATAAATTCGAGATTGAATATGAAAAAAACTAATCGTAATCTCCATAAAAATAACCTAAAGTTGAGATTGACTTATGCGTATATGGGAAATAATGATCTGCCGAAATATATTTCTAGAACTTTGAATAATAATATATATATAATAATAATGGTTTATTACAAATTATTGTTTTCCTGTGAGACCAAAAATGTTGAAGCAATCTCAACTGGAGGAGCAAACTATGAGTAAGATAGTAGTTATTTATCAAAGGTGGCACATCTCATTGGTTTGTTCTAGTTGCCATACAGATATTAATGAAATCTATTTTAGAGGAGATGATCAAGTGGATGTTGCCAATTCAAGAGGGTAATGCAATTTTTAAATGAAATGCAAAACATGTGCTAAAATGATCAATATAACTTTAGAGAAATTCCCAGATACAGTCAATGTGCAAGAAATAAGTATATTCACTTTTTATTAATTTTAGGCAAAGATATTTAGATTGCATTATTCGATTGCAGAGGTGCTGACCCAAAATCTTGGAATTTCTAAGGCTTAACAGTAATTACACCAAATGGAACAGTATTTAATGATGCTGATTTGACTGATACATGGGTAGAGTATGATGAGAAGGCTGCAGAGGAGGTGTTGATCGATAAATTCAAGGCTTATTTCTAGAAATCAAAGTGAATTCATAAGTATTATTAAAATCATATCAAACTTTAAATTATTTTAAAACTAATTCTCAATTGATTATGAGCGCTGCCAAATTTATGAATATCTTAGCTCAAAGAGATCAACAGTAAATAACTTTATTAATCACATTTAGATATCTGGAAAATCCATAATTCAACTCATATCAGTAATTCAAGCAGGCGATATAAACACTTGGTTTTCAACAAACCTAATCTACCATTATGAAGTTTAAAAACCAATGTACTCCACCTACATCCGATAATTCACCATATTTCTTTTCGAAACAAGAATAATGGCAAAAAAACTAAGACTTGTTGGCTCAACAAGTCAACTCCAGTTCCACTAAATCTTATCGAGCTATATACCCAAATAAGAAATTAACATCTCTAGAGGAAAGATACTAATAACACAATTCCTAATCTTCTTTTATGAATAAAGTGTTATCCTCTGAGCCTAGCCCACTTCTATAATATAAATCTCAAAGTCCTTCGTTAAAAGATAAAGACTAGAGTGAAATGAGCTAAATTTAATAATAGATGTCTCATCCCATTTTAAAAAAGTCGAACCTTAAGATTAAAGTCGATGAAGCAGGGAGAATCAAAAAAAAAAAAACTGTTTAAATAGTTGAGATCCAATTGGAGAGAGGTAATTAGAAAGAAGGCTAAAAGAAAAGCCCTAAAAAAATCATAACGAAAACAGAAATCAGAACTGTGTAAGACTTTTTAGTTGAAAATTCAAGCAAAAAAACCAAATGAAATTTATCTTTTAAAAATTTCATCATATACAACATCATTCTTACTCATCCATGTGCACCATTGATTCTTGGTTCTTTTTTTATTAAATTTTTTATTAAATCTGAAATCTGTTAGAAAGACTTATTTCATTCTAAAGTTAGTAAATAGTCTTGCATAAAGCTCTCCTCTATGCAAAATCATTATTGCTATCTTATTTAGGACTTGTCAATAAGGTTTAAATAGTAGAATTGAGTTTTTTGGATTAAGGTGTTAAAATTTATCTATAATTATTTTACATAATATAATTTATATATAGAAGCACAGTTTCATATTGAAATCTCATAAATTAATATTATAGCAAATATTCCTTGCTATTTAATCAAGAAACCATAATATCAATTTTAATGAGTAAATGAATGTTAAGTTAAGAAGCTCTTTTAATTTTTTAGGATGAACACAAAACATTAAATATCAAAAAAGATATATTTATAATTATTCAAGTTATTATAAAATATTAGAATTTTGCTAGATGTCAAAAAGAAACCTTCTACAGAAACAAGATAGCAATCTATCGAGAGGATCTTTAGCCAGATAAAACACAAATCGAAACCTCGCTGGTTAGAAATCATTCTTTTCCAAATTTTCTAATACTATTTTCAAACCATAAGATGAAGGTTATATTTGAATTCTTACTTTCTAGAAATATAGTTTTTGGGTAAAGGGTAGGACTCGTGTATTCGGGTTTTATTTTATTTGCTTTTGAATTATGATGGAATGGAGCAATATTTGAAAAAATAATCAGTCCTTGCCCCATTAAATTCATATACACCAGTGATGAACAATTTTCAAGACTTAAGTCCTATTAGAACGTAATATACACATATTATAAAAGAGAGTTGATTTACTATTTTTAAATAATATCTGTAAGAGATTTTCACGACTTTTATGTTGATTTTTATGCTACTTTTGATAAAAATAAAAATTTTTCCCTTGAGCCCCCTGAATTTAAATAACTTCTAGAAGTTGCAATTGATAAATGCGTGGGTCCTAAAAAATTTAAGGTTGTTACTGATATCTTTTTGAGCGAACCTTCATCATATGAGAACTAATTAAATCCGAAGATCTTAGGGGAAATGATAGAGAACTTTAGAGATTTGGATAAGGAATCTAAAATTGATTATTTATTACTCTTCCCTTATATCCTTAGCTTTTTCTTGGAATATACATACTCAGAAATAAAATATCGGTAGGGTAGATTAGATTTGATGAGAGGCACTGAAATAATAAAGGGGAAAGAGGTAGAGATAAAAAACATTACAAGTTTAGTGACGATACTTAAAGAGATGGGAATAGATTATCTTCGAGATAAAAGAACTAACTGTTTGACATATCGAGATGTCGAGAACGTTTTAATTAAATTAAAAAATATTCAGAAGTGGATAACATTTGACATAATCAAATAGATTATTAATTAATTAGCAAAATTGATGTAAGTTGATCCTAAAACTTAGAACGAAGGCAAACCTTTGAAGTTACATAAAATTGTTAATTTTTTAGCTTTGAAATTATGCATTCATTAAAATTGTTTGCACATAAGCAAGTAAGACAAGGATAAATAGAAACCACCCTCAGCATATTTAGAAGTCTTGGTCTTATGGAATACAGCTATGTATGGATAAATAATGAAAAAATAAAATTTTGATTCATATTTTAAACAATTTCTAGAGAAACATTACTAAAATATAGAAAGTTTTACTAGAATTGAAGCCCTGAAAGTATTGGAAGCGTTTTTTAAGAAGAAATTTCAATTGATACCTAAAGATTTAATTAAGATGATTTTAGAGCAACATTCATCTTTCTAAAATAAAAGGATTATCATTTAATCACCAATTACAAAAGAAAGCTTACAAGATGAGCTTTATTAAATGATGTGTAAAGATGGATATCGAAAGTTACAGGAATATATTCGTATTAGTTATGAGGGAGTGAACAAATCTACAAATACTGATAAGATTGCTTAATATAAAGGTCAGGGCAAAGACTTTAATGATGACCCTCAAATCAATTCTCCGATCTCAAGTGATAGACAATTAAAAACACAATAAGTTGCAGATCCTAAGAAATAACAACAATCAAAAAATAATAAAAACAATGAATCAAATTCAGAAAGTGAAAGTGAATAAGAGGTTAAACCTAAGCAAAAATTAAAAAGAGCAGTAAAGGTTATAAGCTCAGAATAGGCATTTGCATAAAAAGTTGATTAACAAAAAGATGTTTTGAAAGCATGCTTGATTATGGATAGCTTTTTAAAAAGATAAAATTAAATGCACCAAAAAAATCTACAGAGTAAAATATCTAATTAGGGTTGTGAAACTCCAAGTAAATAGGAGAATATAACAGAGATAAAGTTAAGTTAAAAAGATATTTAAGAATTTCAAGGGGCACCTTCTGAGTAGAATAATACTAAAGGCAATACTAAGGTTAAAGAAACCTAATAACAAAAAGAATAGTATATTAATAATAATGAAGATCAAAAAGAATCATCGAATATGGAAGAGAAACATAAGTTATCACCTTTCCTTTTGGTTAGACCAAAAATAATCTTAAAAGATATCAAAAGACAGTCTCAATCCTAATCAGGTGATATGTTCTCAGTAGCAGGAAAAAATGATAAAAATGTTGGACCTTCAAATTTTAAGAATGCTTATTATGGAAATTTGAATACATAATCGGATGCATCAAAAATAATGAATTGGAGTGCTTCTACAAAGAGTCAAGTATTCCAATTGACAGATGAGGTAATACACTATTAATTATATGATAGGATTTTAAGGATGATGAAGGGAAGTTCCAAGTTGTTATTGATGATGTTTAGTTATAGACATAAATTTAGATTTAGTAAACTCAAGGAAAAAACAAAAGACCTAAGGATAGATCAACCTGTTATTATTGCTCTATTTATTGATTTTAATCTTCATAATTAAAGATCATTTATTTACCCTTATAAGTTAACTTTGTTATATTCTTCATCTCACAATTTATTTATAGTAAGTTGAAAAAAAAAATACATGATTTCTAGAAAAGCTACTTAATAATCCCAATAAAATGGTGGTGATGAGAAGGATAAAAGAATACTGAATAAGTAATCTTCTTTTTTTAAATCCTTTACATCTTCAAAGAAAGGAGGCAAAGATGGTGAGGGTAGTCAATATTTTATTTAGAATAGAGTTTCAATTTTTCATTCGTACTTAGGATTGTGCATTTCATACAACACTGTACATGCTTGTCAATTTTTAAAAAGCAGACGAAGATTCTAAAAAAAGGAGCTTTTCATTATTAAGTAATTCTAAGCCAATTATGAATATGGAATCATACACAGACCTAAGTGAACTGAGACCGTACTTATGTGTGTATTTAATTTAGAGAGCTCATATATTTTTTTACCGTTATTTCCGTGAGGGATTTACATGATTTTTATGTTGACTTTTATGCATCCTTTGATACGAATAGAAATTTCAGTTTGGAGAAGAAGGAGCTTTAAAAAATGTTATCTACAATGTTGGAACTTATTGGCCATAGGAAATTTAAGGTTTTTAGTGATCGGGCTTTGATAGAAGGGGAAGCTTTTGATGGGATATTAACTTAAAAATTGTTGGACGACATAGGGGAAAATTTTATGTTGCCAAATGAATAAAATAAGGTCGATTACTTATTGATATTTCCATACATTTTAAGTTTCTATTTGGAATATACATATCAGGATATCAAGAATAAACAAAAACGACTGGATATCATCAAGGGAACTGAGATCATCAGAGGGAAAGAAGTAGAAATTAAAAATATTACAAGTCTTATTTCAATTTTAAAAGAGATGGGAATTGATTATTTAAAAGAGAAAAATACTTATAAAATTTCCTTTAGAGATGTTGAAAATATTTTATTAAAATTTAAGAATATTTAATAATGGATTACTTTTGAAGTGATCTAGTAGATTTTGTAATCATTAAGTAAGGTCATGTAAGTGGATGAAAAAACACAAGAAGAAACAAGGAAATTAAAGATTCACAAAATTATTGATTTTGTAGCATTAAAATTATGTATTCATTAGAGTTGTCTTAGAATCAAAAAAGCAAAGAAGAATCCTAATTAATCTATGTTTCTAGAAGTAAAGTTTATTATTAAAAATAGGTATTAGTGTTATGGAATTGTGCTTAGTTTGCTAAATATGCAGAAAAATAATTTTTGACTTTGAAATTTTCTAGATTTCTTAATGAACAATATTTAGAGAAAGAATCATTCGCCAGATAGGATATGTAGAAGTGTTTGGAAAAATTTTTCAAAAAATCCTATTAGTTAATGCCTAAAAAGTAAATATATGAAATCATTCAATGTCATCATCTTTTTGCAGATAAAAATATCGTCAAGAATAATTCTATTGAACGAGAAGACTTTAAAAACTCACTTCATACTATGATCTGTGCTGATGGTTACAATAAGTTAAAATAATATGTCAAGATCATCTTTGATGGCATTACCAAGCATACAAATACAACAACATAATATTAAAATTATGGTAAAGACTTAGATGCTGAGAGTAATTAAGGTGGAATATCATCTTAAAGGTAGTTAGGAGAGAGATAAAATACATCATAAATACACATATCATAATAATAATAATAATAAAAAAAGGAAAAAGCAAAAGAAGTGAGTAGTAGTGATTCAAGTAGTAATGAGGAATAAGTTATAACAGCAAAGCCTAGTCAGAAATTTAAGACAGCAGTCAAAGCCATTTAATCAGGAAATTTAATAATGAGAGAAAAAAATGAAAGCAAAGATATATTAAAAGCTTGTTTAATGATGGATAGCTTTCTTAAGCGTTAAACTTAAAGAATAAAGAACTATGTTAAAGTATCCAAATCTGTAAACATATCTGTAGTGAAATCTGATTTAAAGCAGTTAGATAAATCATTAATGGAAATGGATGAACAAAAAGATCTATTTGATCCATCCGAAATGTTGAATAGAAAAAGATAAGAACAGAAAATTAAAGAAACACATAATATCAAAAAAGAAAAAGAAACTAAAATTTGGGAGAAAAGCAATTTGCCTTCGGAAAAGAAATCAGAAGAAGACATAGAGGGAGTTAGTACTTAGGTTGAATAACCTATAGAAAATACGAATGAACTCAAATTCCCAGATTCTAAAGAAAAGAGAAAATTAAATCGGTTTGAAGTAGCTAATGAATTGCAAATGGTTTTAGGAAAATCAAATAGCGATTTTGGCCCGACAAATTTTAAACAAGCCATCAGATTATAATCAGCTAATCAAATTGTGTAGCCTGTAAAATTATCTAAACAACATGATGTAACCAATATCATATTATGTATTAGGAACAAGATCATTTAGTAATAATAGATGAAAGTGTTTTAGAGAATTTAATTAGACGTAATTAATAATAAGAAAGAGTAAGGAAATCGACTAGGGATGACTGTCAATGTTTAATTTATTGAAGTTTTAATGTATGAATATAAATTAAGTATTAAACTAAGAAATATTATTCTTTATATTCCAATTAATCACCAGAAAGTTGAGTAAAATTTTAAGTAATTTATACTCCATTTCACTTTTGATAATTTGAGAAATTAAAAAGACTAGCATTTAGATCATAACAGAATCCAGACTAGAAGAATAGGTATATAGTTATGTATATGCAGATTTGGATTAAATATAATCAATAATTATTTAAATGAATTGTAGCTTTTCATAATTTAAATTTCCTTAGTGTTTCAAAATACAAAGACAATTCTTGCTAGAGAATCAAGAGTTTTTATTTTTATTAATCTTCTTCGATCATCACATTCTTAAACTTTCTCAAATATTATTCTTCTCGATTGTACATTGAACAAGAGCAATCCAAAGTTGTATTGGTAAATAAATTACAAGGATCACCTGCGATTGGCATTATTAATGGGGATTTTGTCTTAACAAAATAAAACTCTTCAATAATTGGCATTTTTCTATTCATTACTTTAATTAATTAAAACAAATCAAGAAAAATAAACCAGAAATCATAAACTTATAGAATTCTTACAACAATGCAAAAACGAATTATAATACTCTTTATTAAAATAGGAATCCAAACAAAAAATTAAGCAACATTTTTTCATTACTAACCTTTTTCATATTCCCAATATCATTCTAAATTCTAATAAATTCTCAGTTAATTTTTTTACCAATATTTACAATTATTTAAACTGGCTAACAAAGCCCGATCAAAAATTTAGATAGAAAAATAAAACAAACTATTTTTCTTGAATTATCAGTGTTTAAATGGAACTAATAACTAAACTTTAAGAGGATCTTGAAATCTGCACATAAATGTTAATGTTTTTATATATAAATCTAATAGCAGAATTTACTCAGATATTAATATATAAATAATTAAAATGCCTCCAAAAAAGTAAAAGATTGATCAATTTTTCGAATCAAAGGAAAAAAAATCAGAAAAAAAGGAATAGCAATAAAATAATGCTTCTAAAATTATTGAGGAGGAATACAAAGTACTTCTTTTCATAAATGTATAAGCCTGTCCCTGAAGGTATTGTTCCTTTTGATGATTTTTATAATGGCTTGTTCAGTTGGTAAAAGAGTTTAAAAAGCTAAGAAGCCAACCTCAAACACATTTATGAATTCATCAAAAAAGAATATTAGACTAATACATGTTACCCTCCATTTGAGAAAATATTCAATGCATTCCAACTTACTCCCATCAACAAGATTAAAGTGGTAATCGTTGGACAAGACCCTTACATCAATTAAAATGAAGCTATGGGATTGTGTTTCTCAGTCCCTCGTTCATAGACAAAGATACCTCCCAGCCTAAAAAATATTTATAAATTACTTCAGACTGATATAAAAGGATTTACCACTCCAAATCATGGTGATCTTACCAAATGGGCTCAATAAGGAGTATTTTTACTTAATACAGTGTTGACTGTTGAAGCTGGAAAGTCTAATTCACATAAGGATTGCGGGTGGATCAAATTTACAGATTAAGTGATTGAAGTTATCAATAAAGAATGCAGTGGATTAGTTTTCTTATTGTGGGGATTGCCAGCCTAAAAGAAGGCCAAGGGAGTGGATAGAAAAAAACATTACGTATTAGAAACAGTTCATCCAAGTCCATTGTCCGCAAAAAATGGTTTCTTTGAGTCAAGTAATAAAATATTTAAATGATTAGATCACTTCTCAAAGTGTAATTAATATTTAATTCAGAATGGAAAAGAACCCATCGATTGGACTTTGGATTGATAATATAAAATTATAAATGAAAATTTGGTGTTTTGGATTGTTCTTTATATATAATAAATTTAAATTCATTTGAGTATAAGATTTCAATATTGTAACTAAAATAATCTGTGCATGTAATTTACTTGTTCTGAGTGAAATAGCATTTAACTTGTAGTATAATATTAACTACTGGGTATCTAATAGTATGTTTCAAGCTGAAGATTAGATTGGGATTTAAGCGAAATATTGATGGCATAACAGACATTTCAGAATATAAATGATTCAAGAACTAAACTATTTTAATGGTTTTTCATGAGACTCTTATAACTGAGTTCTTTTAAACAAATAGATATTTCATGCAATTTAAAATAAAATAATCTTAGAGTACTTAAATGAAAATCATTTATTTAAGAAAAAATCAACATACATTGTGAATAAGCAATAAAAATGAGCAGAAATTGATACAAATTATGAATAAATGAATGGTATTGGTTTTAATATGAATATGGCTGATAAATTTTTGACTATCGTTAATAAATTTAAAATATCAAAATGGATGAATACATTACGGTAATTAAGTATTAATAGTGTAGTAGAATTACAGGGAATTGGAGAAATTGATAGATGGAATTCCTGTTCCAGATATTACGGTATCTTCCATGTCACAATAATCTGATCGACTGACTCCTTAATCAAAGAAAAAATAATCTCTAACAAGGGAACAAGTTCAACGCATTCTAAGAAGAACAACTGAGTAGACTTAAATCCCAGTAAACAAATAGAAGGTCTTTACTATGCAGACCTTTAATTGTAAGGAGAATTCAAATGATGAATAAATGCTTAAAATGATGAAATAAAAGGAAGGAAAGGGTAATTCAGAACTATAGATATTGCAACACTAAATTAAGGAATAACAGAAAGTTATTGAGCAATAAATTCATCAAATTGGATAAATAAACATTAAAATTGAATATCTGACAAATGAATTGTAGGATAATTAAGAGAAAAGACAAGCTGATGCTAAAAAAGTGTTACAATTATAATAAGTTAATGAATAATAACAATAAATAATTGAAGATTTACGCAATGAGTTGTCAATGGCTAAAAGAGTTAGTTCATAATAGTAAAATAAGGAATAAGATTCAATGAATTAAATTAGCTTATTGAAATCAAAAATCAATTGTTTAGAATCAGAGATCAATAGAACTAGGACCACTTTTACACTCACATCTCCTAAAAATGATACTATGCAGACAGATGTATTCTCAAATAGAATTGATCCAGAATTACTTAGTGAAGAAGAAACTTTAACTGTCTTGTTCAGTCTATTGGGTAGGGTTTCAAAGAGTTAAAGGATGTCATATTTATTAAATAGAAATGCAGATTTCAAATTCTTAATTAAATGTAAACGTAGTCAACCAAGCGTGAATAAAATCTCAATTCTATAAAATAGTAAGTCGATGTGCGATAGAAAATTATCATATAATCATGAAAATTTTAAACAGATAGTTAAAAATGTGGGTATCAAAAACCAATGAATTATACTTTATCTATTTATTTATATTTATATTAATAATGTTTTTAGATTGCAATATTATTGAAAACAGCGATGAGGATGAAACTCCAAACATTTGTTTAGATACCTTTGGCTTGAGCCAAGAATTAGATTAAAAAGTATAATTTATTTAATTGATAGAAAAGTAAAAATAAGTCCTCAAGAAAAATAAAAATTATACAAAAAATCTAGGAGTAGGAAATGCTTAATATGATTCCCATGATATTGATTTGAGTGCATTTATTATCGAAAAGCAAACATTTATTTAAGATAATGAATAATTAAGAGGATCGGTTGAATTAAATGTAGATCCTTAATTATTTGATGTTGCTTAATTTGATCCATTATAGTAATAAGAAGAAGAAGAACATGAATAAACTACCTAAACTATATTTAAATAACAAAAAGAAGAAAATAAACTAAATTTATAATAATAGCAATAATAATAATAATAATAATAATAATAATAATAATAATAATAATAATAATAATAAGAAAAGATATAAAATTAATAACAATAAGAATAACAATAATAAGAATAATAGGAATGTGTTATAGATATATGTAATTTTGAAGAAATTTCTGTTTAAGATTTAATAGCTATTCCTCCTATATCTCCATACGCTGAAAAAATCACTTAGATACATTTGCCAGATTATTTACATAATTTTCTTATTACTCCAATCCCTAATGAAGGGATGTTTTAGTGCACAATATAAAGAGACAAATCTGGACTTAATAGATTTGTTCCAAAATACAGAATGTATTGGAGTCATAATGGCTAATTTTTGCTTGCTGCAAGAAAGGTCTTAAATAAAAATAAATATATTATCACATAAGATGGAGATTTTAAACAAAAAGATGAGTTGCTGATGTTAGGTAAAGTTGTACAAAGTTAATAATCAAAGGCTGATTATAATTTATTTGATAATGGAGTAAAAAAGAAGGAGTAAAGTAAATTCAAAAAATTGAGGACATAATTAGGTAGTGTGTTTTTTGATACTACTTTTGAAAGTTAGACTCGACCAAGGAAAATAGTTTTAGCAATAAGAAAAAGTGAAAAGGAAACCCTATAATTTGTTAGTCGTAAACCTTAGGTTATTATAACAGGGGCATGTAAATATTATAGAAATTATTAGAAAAATTATATACTCTTGATTTCTTCGGAAGAGTGAAAAAACCATCAATAAAGAATTTTTAATTGGTATTAAAAAATGATGATAAGGATGTGATATATGTGTAATTTGGAAAAATTGATAAGAATCGATTTAATTTGGATTTCATGAGTCCTTTAAGTCCCTTAGTAGCTATGTAGTTGGCTTTATGCAATTTGAATTTCGCAGGGAAAGCATGATTTTATATTTTTGAATTATTAATATATATACATTAATATATAAGATAAAATGGATGAATAAAGGCAAAACAAAATCATATTAAAAGTATTATGTTCTTTAGAATTAGATTTTAGTAAAATAAGCTTTGATACAGTAATATTTAATTAACATAAATGTGTGTTGTCTTTTGAATGATTACTTTTATACCATTGCTTTAAATGGTTTAGCAATAATTTTCATCGCTTTTGTATATCATATAGTTCCTTTGAAGAGTAGTAAGATAAAATACATTGTGGAATATTCGTTGCTGGCTGGTGTGCAAGTAAGAATATAGGAGATAATAGATTCTTGCTATTTTTATGAAGGATTTACTAATATATTTGGCAAGTTCATTATTAGGTTTATCAATTCTTTCAGTGCTATTTAAGATTTGCAGAACTCAGTTGAACGTTGACCAATCACTGGGACTTTTTAAATTAGTAATTATATATAGTTTAATAGTTGAAAGTGTGTAGGAATGTTGAAATGTTTTTTAAGTTTGCAGCTTTTATTTTTATCACTGCATTTAAATTCTGTATTGCCATGGAGCTGGATGTAGATATTTGTTATATTGTGGTTTATTTTAGTTTGTGGTTTACTATTTTAAATTTGCATGATTTTGAATTTATTGTATAAAACTCTGAAAAGATTCAATTATTCACTTGAAAGAAGAAACAGCACAAATTTAAAATATTATGGTGGAATTTGGTATACAATATAATTGCATTGTCTAACATTCAACCCATTCTTTACTTTATTGAACTTTTGTCTCACAATGGACTAGAATTTTACTATGATCTACCTACCGATAATGTGCATAATTGGATGGGTAGTAATGATGATTGTGTCATTCATTATTCGTAAAGAAGTAAAGTAACAGTAAATAGACAATAAGATAATATTATTAGTAAATTAACAATATGATCCCATAAGTTGGCACCTCCGAAAATGAAGTGTTCATGAATGAGGGCATTCCCAAGTATCTAATGAAGATATCTTCCACTTATTTCCAATAAACTGACAAGCCATTTGAAATTCTATCTACATCTCCTCGTAAATCAAATGATGCTGATATGAAATGTTTGATATGTTTTGAAAATGAGAGTGGATACGTACTTATGAATTGTGGACATGGTATTCATATCAAACTATATTTGCAGGTGGTTTATGTCTGAAATGTGCATCAAATCTTCTCTTGAAGAATAAAGAATGCTATTTATGTCGTTAACCTATTATGAAAGTATTCTAAATCTAAAAGAACAATTTTAACTTCGTTGAAGTCATAGGAATTATAGAAACATAATGAATTAGATCTTTATTTAATATATATATATAGATATTGAATATATTCTTAATAAACAACTACTCTATCATCTTCTCCAGATATTAAACACTGTTTTGCTACTTGCAATAATACATCTAGAAAATCCATTAATACACACCTATGGCAAATTCACAAATTCATTATTCACTTAAATAATATCATTCACATTGTTCACATTCCAGATTCTAATTGTGTCATCCCAAGAGGCAGATGCGATGTACTAAGAAAATGGAGAAAATCCACATGTCCATATTCCTCTTTGATGTCCTTCAAATTACTTTAACAAAATGAAATTCCTTGCTGACCACAATTTAATAAATTTATCCTTTCCTGATGAAATTATCCATTCATAATCATAAGAGAATTCTACACAATATCCTTCATCATTATGAGCCTACCATTTTTTTAAGATCTTTTGATTTTTATATATGATAATATTTTTATCATCACCAATTGTTGCAATTATCAGATTAACATTCTAATTTTCTTTATCCATTTCCATTAACCAATTTCCTCCACCAAATGAACAACCATTAACAGCTTATGCGTGTCCATTTAATCGATATAATTATTTATTAGTTTCAATGTTCCACACTATCCCTTATCTGTCACCACTTACAGAACAAAAATATCTAGAATCAGATGAAAAGCTAAATCTATTTATACCTTCGCTATGTCCTTTGAAAATTATTGGACGTTAATCTAAATTGTTTATATCCCACATCCAAATATCAGACTATCTACCACTTCCAACCAATAACCATTTTTTATTGGGTGAAAATTTCAATGCTTATATTCTATCGGATTAACAAATGAAACATTTCAATTCAATCATTGAATCCAAATCATAAACTACTACTTTGTTATTCCAATTTGATCCACCTGCAAAAAGTTATCCATCATTAGTTACATCTATTGCAGTAACACTATTATAATAATCTAATTTCAATTTTATTAGATTTTTATCACATAAGTTGAAGCTATCTTCATTTATGTTGTTTCTAACTTGTTCTTGTGCTTATTCATATTATAATTTTTCTAGGGTTTCTAAATATTACTTTAATTAATCTCTTTCTTAAGATTACATAATAATCGATTATAACATTTCATTTGATTTTTAGGCTTTACTTAACAATATATTTAGTGATTGCATTTCCAAAACAAATTGTTTTAATTGACTTATTTGCTTTTAACCAGAAAATTTTAGACTCAAAGACCCTGCATCCAATCTTGTCAATTCTTGTAATTCTTAACCCAATTTCTATAGGACGACTTCAGTGACTTCTTCACATTGAATATATGTCTTGTATATACTTTACACTTAATTAATCTCATCCAAAATTTAAGAAAATTGAGATCCATACTTCAAAAAATTCTGACCTATTTCTTCCGTTATTGTTTCGAAATCACTCACCAATTACTATTTTAACTTATTTTAAACCCATCTTTCTTAATATTCAGTTATACATTGATCGATTTTGGAGATGCTTATGACTTTATGATTAATATGGGATTCTTTTGCACAAATAGCACAAATAGCCTTTTTATTACTAATACATTTTTCATCCAAACACATCACTGAGATTCCTAACCCTAAATCAGAATGGTGTTTGATATGACATTTAATTGAATTGGCTTTGCTAAATAAATCGTTCATTTTATGGATTAATTAATATAGATTAAAATTGTTTACATACTCTTAAAACATGAACCAATATTATAGAAATAAGATATGAAAATTGATTATGATTATGAATGAAATATTTTTAAGAATAAATGCAATTTACTTGTATAATTATAGTATTAAAAAAAAGAAAAGCAGTCTAAATATATTTTATAAATAAGATAATTTAATTATGCAATAGAACAAGGTTTGGAGAAAGATTAATTATGATATAAAGGAGAAGCCTATACTTTAGTTCAAATTTCAGAAGGTAGGCAAGAAATCTAATGACATTTATATTGGATGTTTTAATGAATATCTAATAAAATATAAAGTAATACTACATTTAAAGATCCTAGGATCAATTCTATACAACACCTTATAAACTATTTGATCTGGAATTCACCAGCAAATTTGAAGTGATTAGAACTCCTCCGAAATTAAAATAGGATAAACATCATAGCAAAGTTAGAGGAGAAGAGATATTAGATTTAGGGGAAATAGTAGCTATTCGTTTGATTGTGGAAAATATTGAGAAACCCTATGAAATTTAAGGAAAAACTGAATAGATGCACCAGCTAAGGGACTTTCTGGGAAAAAAAATAAATTAAATTGGATTTCACAATTTATTCCGTGTTTATAAAAAAATTGGGAGAGGCAATTTTGCATCTGTTTATTTGGCTGAAAGAATAGAAGACAATTTAAAAATGGCAGTGAAGGCATTTTCAAAACAAATTGTTTATAATGAAGAAAAAGGAAGAGTAAGTTTAGTCTACTTCATTTTAGGAAGGATTAATCAATGAAATCTAAATAATGAGAGAATTAGATCATCCTAATCTCATGAGTTTGTATGAAGTGTATGAAACAAAGAATTCAATCTATATGGGTCTTGAATTATTAGAAGGAGATCAATTATTCGAATATTTAAAAAAGAAAATCTCCTTCACAGAAAAACAAGTATAAAGTATAATGGTTGGGTTACTGATGGGTCTTAAACATATGCACTCAAAAGGAATAATGCACAGAGATTTAAAATTGGAAAATATCTTATTTAAATAACAGGGGTATATTTTTAAGATATTTAAGTAATTTCGATTCTGTGGTTATTGCTGATTTCGGATTGGCCACTCATGTAAACAAGAAACCATATTTATACTAAAAATGTGGTACTCCTGGATTTGTTGCTCCAGAAATTATTAATCTAAAAAATGTATACCAACCCTATGATTCTGTTTGCGATGTATATTCAATGGGAGTTGTCTTTTATATTTTGTATTTTTCAGTATTATAATTATTAGATTGACTGGAAGACCTGCCTTTACTGGCAAGACTTATAACACTATTGTGAAACAGAATAAGGAAGCTAATATTAACTTTGATTCCCCACATTTCTAAAATGCTCCTAAAGAAGCCTAATAACTGCTATTTCAAATGCTTTAAAAAGAGCCTTTATCAAGAATCAAGAGCAGTGAAGCTTTGTTGCATCCATATTTGCAAAGTGCTTTACTAATTGATGAAGATGAGGCTCATATCTCAACCGATGATGATCCCAATCTTATGGAGAGAATAAAAATGCTAAACAAATAGTTACTATATTATCATTACAATATTTAGAACTGAGAAAGTCGATTTTACCAGAATCAAAAGATAAAATAGTTAGAATATTAAAGAACTACGACTATAAGCCACTTAAGAATTGAAGTAAAATTAGACGTCCGATGAGGAACTTAAAATAATCATGAGGACACCAGTTATAACAGGAAGAATTAATTCTGTTGAGAGTATTTACTAAATAAAATTTAGATTCCCCTATGCTGAAATGTTTATCACCCTTCTAAAGTACTGGTTATGACGAAATAGCCCAAGATTAATTGGTTTTGTAAAGATATTCTGGAAAAACACTAAATATTTGACTTTTTTTATATTTTTCTTTAAATCATTATTTGCTATATTATATGAATAATTTTTATTGCCTTAAAATAATAATTATTAATAGTTTCATAATTACTATTCTTAAAATAGATATAGTATCATTATTAATGTATGTTATTTAATGAAGAATATTTTAACATCGTGCAGAGTATTTTCGTTTTATAATATTATTATAATATTTCATTTATTTATAAAAATTACAATGTGTTTTTTAACTTATAAAACTAAAAATCTACAAACAATAGAATAAGATCAATATCGTAATTAAGCTTGATAACACTATTTATAATTATAATATTTAAAATATATTATAATAAGTATTTTGGATCTCTTTATATTATTTATAATAATATTAATAATGAGATCAAATGTAGCTTTGAGATTAAGAAAATCAGTAGAAAAAGAAAAGTATGATTCGACTTAAAAATTCTCATTGCACGCATTTAGTATACATTAACCACCAAGTCCCAAGAGAAAGGCTTATTAAACTCCAATAAGAGGAAAATATTAAATACTTTAAAAAAAGAAACTAGTCAATAATTAAACATTGAATGACAAGACTCAACTTTTACAGAAAATTGAGTACTTTAATTCAGTGAATCTCACGCTAGAAAATTAATAAATCAAAGACTAAGATAAAAGTATACAATATAGAAGGAATTACCGTTAATAATCAGAGGACAAGATACTCGTATATGATATATTCAAAGAGGTTGGGTACTCTTACAAATTATATGTCTGAGGAATATTCAAAGCCTGGCGATTAAAAAGAAAGACAGAACAAAAAATCATCTCTTCCAATTTTGAAAAAAAGATCTTCTCCATCACCTTAATGTTAAGATTCTCAAACCATTCCACCGATGCCAACAATAGCAGAATTAAATTACGCAAAAAAAGCCTCAAGTAATTGATGATATTAATATTAGATGAATTAAATAAAGTTTAATCTAAAGAAATAAAAGAAGTCTCTGAATCAACAGAAAGAATACTTGATTTATTATTGCTTAATACTTGTGATCTCAAAAAAGTATTCCAATAATAAAAATAGAAAAAAAGAAAAATAATTGTTTAAGGAAGAGTTCCTTCGGATTTCTTCAACATATTGAAATAATTATGATCATATATAACATATTTTCTTTATTATTCAACTTATAAAATTATATAATAAATTCTCCTTAAATTACAACACATTTCACAATTAAGGTGGATTGCAATTATCTAAGACAGAATCTAAAAATGGTTCCATAATTCAGACTAAAAGATTTTCTCATTTCCATATTTTATTTCAGGATGTAATTGAAATTATTATGGACTTAAATAATTAATAGAGGGATTATAAAATAAAAACTATCAAGTATTGTATGGAAAGGCAATTATTTTTTATGTATTCATAATTTTGACATCAACCTTTACTCAATTTTTCTGAAGATAAATACTTTTGTTATACTTCATCTAACCTTTTTCAAAATAGGTGAAAAACCTACCAAAATATTTGAATGATTCATATTTTATTCCTACATATATAATAAATATTTATATTCAAAATCATAAAATATTAAGAACTATTTATTTTTGGTGTAGACATTTGTAACTAAATTTAATATTTCAGCTACCCAAAATTTCTTTGGTAGTAATTATTACGAATTATAGTTATATATGACATTATTATTTAAAAAGAAGTAATGATGAAGTAAGTTAACTTAGTTTTGTTTTAATTCTTACTATTTAATGCATAATCATATTGTTTAATTCGTAATAGATTTAAATAAATTCTTTTTGATTAAATTGATTTTTAATATATAGAAAATAAAAATAGCAATATTTTCATTAATTTAAAAAACTTTTATGTTGCAAAACCAATAAAACTTTTTAAACGAATCATTCCATTTTACAAACTTTGAATAGATTTCTCCTATATTTTAAGAATTTCTTAAGATAATTAATTCTAATGCTTTAGATATGCTTTAAAATTCAAATTCTCTTGGTGATAATATCAAAACAGAAGGAAGTATCAAAAATTAGGATTCTCAATCTAGTAGTCCTACCTAAATTTATAAATCGAAGAAAAAATGGCACGATAGCTCTCTTGCCAAACAAAAGTAATTGTAACAACAGATAAATTGTTAAAATAATAATTGTTAGAATAAAAGGAAAAATTTAAATGAAACTTAGATCAAAGGAAAAACTGTGCTTTTATGTAATAGATGTCTTAGTAATTTTCACTCAAACAACTATTGTGAGTATTGCATTTAAGTATTTAATAATCAATAATTAAAGATATATGATCCTAATCTAGGTTATGAAATGGATGATAAATAATGGATTATGTGTGAGAAATGTAACAGATGGGTAACTATAAATTTATATTATAGAACCATGTTGATTGTGAACAATCCAAAGGAAAGAAGAATTTGATTAAAATTACCCATCATACAAAATATAGATGTTCCTAATGTCATAAAAATAGAAAACTATAAGCTAAATCTAAAATAAACAAAGATACTTTTTTAGATCAGGAATTAATAAACACAAAAACTAAATTACCCTAAACAATATTAAAATTAACAAATAAAGAAATATTTGAAGATATATCCCTTCTGAGGTCCCTGATGTCAGAAGAGATATAAAAAAAAGTGAAAATAGATTGAATTTATGATTTGTTAGATGTACTCTTATATTTTTAATATTAATTATTTTTAAAAATTATTTCATATCAGGGCTTCATAATTATTAAATTTAAATAATATTATTCATTTATGGCAATGAAGAAATAATAGAAATTCATCTATTAAGATAAATTTACAATTTCTTTCATCTAACTAAGTAATACAGGTCCTTTTCTACAATTTGTTATCTATAATAAATCCTCTAATATATATTAATTAATGAATTTAAAATATGAATAAAATTAATTATTTATCACCCTTTCATTGAATTTAGATTTCCTTATTTTGATTATTTAAACTATTCAAATTCTTTGAGGTATTATTAATATGATAAATCTTGGGAAACTGACATATCTAAAACACTTTGGTCTCCAAAATTAATCCTACTCATAATCAAAGTTCCTTCTATCTCTTATTCTAATTTATCTAATTCTTTATTTATCTTATTCACTTCTTTTCTAATGGTATCAATTTAATTAACTGATTTATATTTATCGATATTTGCTTATTATTTATCATTTTTTTTCTGTTAAGCATTAGGTTAATTATCTGTTTCTTCTTCACTTTCATTTTTTTCAGTATCATCATAATCATCCTCATCTTCTTATTATTCATCTTCGTCTGTCTCTTCTTAATTCTCTTCATCCTCTTCTTATTCGTCTTATTCATCTTCTTCTACTTCTTCTTCTTCTTCTTCTTCTTCATCATTTTAGTTCAATTTATTCTATGTTTTCCTTTCATCATCCTTTTCTTTTTTTTAATTCTATGTCATTCTAGAAGGTTCTTATTACTGTTATTGTTTAATTAACAATTTTTGTGCAACAGGTTGATTTGCATTTGATTATTCTTATGAAAATAAAAACTAAGGTCCTCTAAATTGTTATCATAATAATACTTTGCTGGTTGTTGTTATGTATTGGCTTATTGAGTAAAAGGATTAGTACTGCTTTTTGGCAAAATTGAATTTAAATTTTGATTATTCTTTAAATTGTTTTATACATATGGATTTTGCTATTGTGGTATAAAAGGTTGTTATTAAAGTGATTGTTGTGATCGTTAGCTTGTTGTTGAATAGGTTTAATTAGTTGTTTGAGGATTATTGTTATATTAATATTATTAACGATATGACATTATTTTAATTATATTAAATTAATATTAAGAAAATTTTGAAATAGAATCAAAGACAAATAGGTTGAGATTGAAAAGTTTGATATATACTTTGAAGTGAAGATGTTTGATAAATTTCATAAAATACAAAATAATTATTAAAAATATTATAAATTATTTTTCGAATATCATGATGTATCAATAATGATAGACATTTTTAGTCAAATGCCAGAATCATAAATGGGTTCATTGAGAATGAGACCTTCCCAATTAAGAATAGAAATGACAGATGATCAATAGCTTTCCACAAGACGGAGGAATTTCATGTCTCCTACTGCTTTACCATTATTCAGAGAATTGTATAAATAAGTTTCATATATTTCAGATAATAACAAACGACTAGACAACATCATTAATAAGGAATGGCTCCTTTAGCTATGAAAGTACAATTATCAATCTAATACACTAGCCTATGTCTAGCCAATCATAAATTACAAAATCCTTACTGTTTAATTTATTTTTATAAGGTTTCTTTATCAACTATTATGGTTATCTATTTTGGTAATACAGTTTTCGCTACGTTTTACTGTAATTATGGATCTAAGATTTGCTCACAATGTTTATATTGATATATTATAATTATCGTAAAGGAGAAGATTGTATTTGGCAATTAATAGAGGCTATGTTTCTATTTTTTTTAAAAGTAATGGAATCATTTTAACAAAGGTTTTTGTTGTGTTTTATTATGAAATATAGAAATTCAAAATATACTTTATTACAATTATGATGATTTCATTATCTATATTGGTGTTGTTTATGCGAGTAGTTTAAAAATTGAAATTTCAATTATAGAACAATCAATAAATTGTAAGTATTACATTTATAATAAGATTATTCAATTTATAAAAACATTATTATGCGTTTAGATGACACTAATTGCATTGAAATGGGAGGATAAAATTGACTGGGTTTGGTCCTAAATCTTTATAATTTTATGGGTGTTTTTGGTAGTCCTTGCATTATTACTATTTATATCGTTTATAGGATGTATTGAAACCTTCATTAATCTCCTAAAAAAATAAACTAGTCAAAATTATTGTATTCCTTATATCTATTATAGTAATAGGAAATATTTGGATATTTATTAATATCATAGGTTATACATTGTTGCCATTCTCATTTTTGTATAGATTGACTCAACTATACGACAATGGGGAATCCTTTGGATAAGATGAAACTATCTAACTCATTGTTCTAAATGCAATTTACATGGCATTGTTAACCGTGTATACTATATTTTTCGTCAATAACATAAANGACATTATTTTAATTATATTAAATTAATATTAAGAAAATTTTGAAATAGAATCAAAGACAAATAGGTTGAGATTGAAAAGTTTGATATATACTTTGAAGTGAAGATGTTTGATAAATTTCATAAAATACAAAATAATTATTAAAAATATTATAAATTATTTTTCGAATATCATGATGTATCAATAATGATAGACATTTTTAGTCAAATGCCAGAATCATAAATGGGTTCATTGAGAATGAGACCTTCCCAATTAAGAATAGAAATGACAGATGATCAATAGCTTTCCACAAGACGGAGGAATTTCATGTCTCCTACTGCTTTACCATTATTCAGAGAATTGTATAAATAAGTTTCATATATTTCAGATAATAACAAACGACTAGACAACATCATTAATAAGGAATGGCTCCTTTAGCTATGAAAGTACAATTATCAATCTAATACACTAGCCTATGTCTAGCCAATCATAAATTACAAAATCCTTACTGTTTAATTTATTTTTATAAGGTTTCTTTATCAACTATTATGGTTATCTATTTTGGTAATACAGTTTTCGCTACGTTTTACTGTAATTATGGATCTAAGATTTGCTCACAATGTTTATATTGATATATTATAATTATCGTAAAGGAGAAGATTGTATTTGGCAATTAATAGAGGCTATGTTTCTATTTTTTTTAAAAGTAATGGAATCATTTTAACAAAGGTTTTTGTTGTGTTTTATTATGAAATATAGAAATTCAAAATATACTTTATTACAATTATGATGATTTCATTATCTATATTGGTGTTGTTTATGCGAGTAGTTTAAAAATTGAAATTTCAATTATAGAACAATCAATAAATTGTAAGTATTACATTTATAATAAGATTATTCAATTTATAAAAACATTATTATGCGTTTAGATGACACTAATTGCATTGAAATGGGAGGATAAAATTGACTGGGTTTGGTCCTAAATCTTTATAATTTTATGGGTGTTTTTGGTAGTCCTTGCATTATTACTATTTATATCGTTTATAGGATGTATTGAAACCTTCATTAATCTCCTAAAAAAATAAACTAGTCAAAATTATTGTATTCCTTATATCTATTATAGTAATAGGAAATATTTGGATATTTATTAATATCATAGGTTATACATTGTTGCCATTCTCATTTTTGTATAGATTGACTCAACTATACGACAATGGGGAATCCTTTGGATAAGATGAAACTATCTAACTCATTGTTCTAAATGCAATTTACATGGCATTGTTAACCGTGTATACTATATTTTTCGTCAATAACATAAAGTAATTATGATATATCTAAGAATGTAGAATATTTTTAAAAGAATTATAAGGATATGAATCATATTCTACAGGAATACCTCAATAACCAATTTAAATTTAATAAGATTAAGAATAACGAAATGAGAATTTGCCTGATTCCAATGAAACTTTGTCAAAGAAAAAAAAGAAGTAGCCTTTTAGATTTGTTAAATTAAATGCCCCATTATATTTAATAAAAATGTCCTGCACATTCTTTGCTATATTTGATAAAATATAATTTGGTCAGACAAATCCTAAATAAACAGAACAGCTTTCTCAAAGAGCATTAGGACAATAATCATCAAATAGAATGGAGTTTTAAAAGGAAATTAAAGCCAATAGCAATTCATTAGATGAAAAGATCAATAATATAGGAGCTTAAGAATAAAAGCAAGAAATCGCTGAGGAATAAGAAAAGGAAAATGGAGCCACTAAAAAAGGTTCAGAATTACAATAAAAGTCTCAAAATTCCATTAATGAGGATTAGTAGTCTACTTAGGATAAATGTTTGATTTGTTATGAAAATCAACCAAATATTTTATTTATCCCTTGTAGACATGGGGGAATTTGTGAGAAGTGTGCAGAAGATATCGTAGTTAAATCCAATTAATGTTATTTGTGTAGAAAAGTATTTAATATATTTATTTAGAATATTAAATAAATCTTGAAAATAAATACAGAAGGGGGACATTTAATTGTTAATGAGATTAGCAATATAAAGCAAAAAAGGTAGATTTAAGCTTGAAGTTGTAAATAAATTTTAAACTAAATTAATCTCGTGCATTAATATAATATTAATAACAATTTTTATCTAAACTATTTTCATATAGCTTCATTCTAATCGGTTTATTCTATTCTATTATCTTAAATCTATTCACTAGGTAAAAAATGGTTTGATAATTTGGCTGGAACATATAATGAAAGTATTAAACAAATATAGATATTAATTGCACTTTACTCGTTAAGTGAATTAAGAGTAGTGATGGTCTTAGGTTGAAAGAAATTCAGATATTAATTATAGAGTAGAGAAGCAAAGCATATTGTTGATAAAATATGAAGTAGCTTATAATTTTTTAAATATGATTTGCCAATTTTCTGTTGTTCTTGTTCATCGAATATTTCGTACGATTTCTCAACACTAACATCTTATTCAACATTCGTATTTGGTTGTGTGTAATTAAATTGTTTATATAATAGATACAAGTAGTTGATTGTGTAAATTGACAATGTTAGCATAATTAGCAATCTATAGTAATTATAGTAAGGTATCTCATTTGTTACATCGAACTAAATCCTTGTATATTTTTTATAGGAAATATAAAGATTTAGACCTGCTTATGGAACTGTGTAGAATACAACAATACAAAATTTAATCAAATGGTTTATTTTAAATTTTTTTTTATAAGCAGCTATTTCTTCATCCTTTACATTTTGCAGTTACTGAAATTCAAAAATGAGAAGCCAAAAATAGAATAAAGAAATATATACAACTAATTAAATTATACTTGTATATCCTTAAACTAAATTGTAATGAGTTGATCTAAAGATTTGAATTGGCAAATTATAGAATATCATGAGTATTAGTAAATATGGTACCCATCTAAGTATTTGAGGCCATTTTATTCTACTATATTCTTTGAAATGATAAAGGAATTTAAATAATGAGTAACTTGTTATCAAAATGAATATGACCTTTATATAATATATCAAATTACTTAATGAATAAAAACAAGTTTAAAATACTTTGTATTTTCAACTGTTGCTGAAACATATTATATCTAAATGGATTAATATTAAGGTGGTTTTTGTAGAGTTATTTATGACAAAATTAATTGCTAATTATTCAAATTAATCTCCTTAATTTCTCCTACACAGTTATATTGAGTAGGCATTAAAGTGCATTAGATTTTTAAGTTTAGTTTCTCATCAAGAATTAATTGTTCATACTATGAACTATCTTTTATTGATCTTTTTTTAATAGTAATTTTTACACATTATTTAATAATGATGCATTTCCATAGAGGATGAGATGTATTTTGATATTATAAATTATGAGTTCTGGGGAAAGTTTAGTTTTATTAAGTTTGAAAAGATCTTGCTAATGATTAACTATAGATGTACATCTTAAATTGAGAAGGCTACTTCTATAAATACATAGTTATTTTCAGGACTAAAAAATCCAAGGGAATCACATGATTGTATGGTTTAGTTCTCAATAAGTGTGTCATTGCAATTCTATTGATAAAATCCATATTATTAGTATTTATTATATCTGATAGTGATTACTTATAATGTAAGGTAGAAGATCAACCAAAATGATAATTTTATGGAAGTCTGAGTACGAGATTAAGCATCAACCTATAATGGAATATATTAATCAAATAAAATCATATTTATATCATTATTAATTATGGAAATAAATACAAGTGAGATGAGTAGAATTAGAAATTGAAAGTGAGTATTGATAAAATAAAAAGAATATCATACTTATTAGAATTCTCTGATATGATACCTTAGAAAGACAAAAAAAATGATTAATTATTGATAATATTATTTTTTACTCATATGACTTTTTGTTCCTTAACTTCAACCCATGGGAAATTGAATGTTGTTGGTTATCCCCAATGAATACCAGTGAATGCTGGAGTCCAACTGAATATTGGCTATTAATCGGTGGTAGGTCCACTTTAAATATAGGCAATGTTTTATGGAACAGAAGCCAAAGATGCTACTTTTCCATCAATTGATCCATGAGCTCTTGGATTAGTCTAAAATGATAATATTCATTACTTCTAATAAATCTAATCTACTTGAGATGGCATTTCCAGGATTATTACCTGAGAGTGCATCATTTTTGTAATCATTATATCTGATGAATCTCTTCATGTCATCCAAACTCTTAACTTTTGGAGCATCTCTATTCATCAATTATGATCTTGGACAATTTTCATATGAGTATTTGACTGGATCCTTTTTAAGAGCTTCAGTATAACCAGCCCTGTCTTAGATTTCAGTTGTAAAAGGAATGTTATAACTCTTCCAATAATTTCCATTTGAAATCACTTTTGCAGTCACATCCTTGGCAATTGCATATCCTGGAACTGTTTCAGAAATCCAAATGAAGTCCTTAGTAGGAGGTGTACTAAATTAAAAAAATACTTTACTCTTTCTTGACGACTTTAAGATCAATAGCAATATATTGATTATTATATGTTCCTGAATTGTGTCTTACAAATGTGTTTGTCCATTTCTCTCCCCCCTTTGAAATTGCATGAGCAACTGGGACTCTTTACCAGGTCAAGAGTGTAGTAGGCACTATCAAATCATAGAGTGTGTTATCCAAGATTGAATTTGTGGTTTCTATGACGACCATGTTAGCATCTGGTAGAACATAGAAGTCGTCCTTGGAATACAAAAGTCCTGGCTTTGATGAGAAACTAACTCTATATGGATTTGGACCAGAGAATTGATAGTATTTATAAATTCTAAGCATATTCTAATAACTTGTCCATGTTGTGTGAGCCATCCAAACATCACTCCAATCATCTAAGGCCTTAATTAAGGCGGAACAAGAAATTCTCTTTTCTCTTTCCCATTCAAATTCTTCTTGGGTCAATAAATGCCATTGAATTCTTTCAGCCTTTGGTTTCATTGCTTCTTTCAATTCGTAGATGTCACCACATGCTTACAACAATAGTAATTGCACCCAGCTGAGTCTCTTATTGACTGGAGCTTTATCTTAGATTGCTTAATATAATCCATCATTCTATGCTAAGATTCTGGCTAAGGCTTCATAATATTCATCTCCTTTGTTGTCTTTGATCAATTGTCTTGCATATTCATATTATTCCACTAAATATTAAGACAATTCATTGGTTAGTTGTTCCTTTCCAAAAGTGAAATCATACCAAGACCAGAAGTGATTGTAGATGTGTTCATAAGTCAATGATCCTTCCAAATATCCTATATGATATGAATATATATATATACCGGCAGCATAAGATGTCTTTAAACTATACTCATGAGATTTGAAAGTGTCACTTGTCCAGATGTACAATTTGCCCCATCCATCTTACATCACCTCATGTTTATAGTAACCCCATGCCAAAGCTACAGGAGACTTACCCTCGCTTATTGTGTATTTTCCAACTCTCTGATCGACTGAATACAATGTGACATCGTCACAAAGGCACAAACAAATTAATGCCAACAAATAAATAGCTTTCATTAATATTAATCTATATTGATTTTTCAATTTTAGTTTTAAAGGAAATTTTTTCAAGATGATGCAATACTAAAACTTACAAGCTCTATTTAAAATTTATCCATTTTTGATCTCAAACAACATAAATATGTGAATACAGAAATTCATAACAGAATACCAAACAACATTTAGTAAAAAGAATCGAATTATTCTTAGAATTCCGAAGTTAAAAATTCGAAAGTAAATTAATCCAATTTCTTATATTTACTAGCATTTATCAGTCTTTTAGATATTTCAAGATTCTTTAGGTGCTTCTGAACATCAATAAAAATAATGCTCACATGATCTAAACACTATAGTTGTAGTGAGATAGTCAAATGTTAGTATTTAATATGATTAAAAGAATATTAATAGATGCTCTTTTGAAGTTATTGCGATTTAAAGATTCACTCATCACTTTTACAAAAGGTCAATTTTAATTATAGAATTAATGTTTTAAAAATCTGATAATTTATCGTCGAATGTCCAAATCAAATTACTCTTTGTCATAATAATGGAATATTATTGTTAGTTAAGGTCGTTAATGAGAATCACTAATTTATAAAATTAGATATAATGCTATCTAAATTATTGTTGCATAATGTGAAAATTGATAATTATGCCATAAAGAATTACTAAATTAATTATAATTAAAATAGAAATCTTTAAATTATGAAATTTAATAAATATATTTATTAATCAAAGTTTGTATATAATATCTAAATTAAATTCATTGTTTTTATCATGATTATGACATGAGAAATATTTACTATTTCCATAACTTCAGGATATTATCTAACTATTATTATATTGAATTAAATTTCTCCAAATTAAAAGTAGCCTATTCATGACATTACAATTCTTGGATTTAATCCTTCAGTTAATCAGACTGTTGTTTATTGCAGCATTCTTCTTTTTATTTGCTGATTTCTTATTTCTAATGGTTGATATTCTCAAATTTCAATTTTTTCTAAATTTCCGTGTTCATCAATTCATTGTTTAATTAAATCTATGGTTTACTTTCTTATTACGTGAACATGACATTGCTTTTTATCATATTTCTATGAGTTTTGAAACTATTTGATGAAGCATCATTTTTGCAGATTCTAAATTTCATATTCTTTTTCATCCAGAAGATTAAATTGTTCGATATTGATTCAATGTCTTGATTGATGAATTATTCAGTGCACTCTTATGGATGATGAAATTAATCTTGCTATTTGAAGTTACTAATATTGTTTGAGTGAATCGAGGATTCTAGAATCAATACATTGGATGTTGTTTATTATTAATAGAGATTCACATCACCAGATTTCAGATCAATGATGACAAGAATTTTGTTTCTCTTAAAATATTGTTTCTTATTTCTTTTATCTTTCTTCATGCATCTTCCTTATTATTGATATGTCTATACTATACCATTTGCTGTCGAATATTTCAAACCATATTTTAACGCTGTCTAAAGGATAAAAATTAGAGAATACTTGTTTAATCGAATTTTCTTAGAAAACTATATCGTAAATCACTTTTTCCCTGATTTCATTTCCTATTTTTTAATATGGTTGTCTAATAGCATTTTGTAAAGATTATTTCTAATCCTATTGAATCTAGGTTTAAGCCATATAATTAATAAATATTAACTAAATACACAAACCTTTTATTCTTATTTATATTCCAAATCTTATAATTTTAAATACTTAATTAGATTACGAGTGTTAATTGCAATAAATTTAAACAAATTATTTAATTTGAATTAAATATATATATAAAACATATGAGGATAGCTAAAAACTAATATTTAATTTAATTACATAATTCACACTAAAGCATAAGATTCCACTCTTTAAATTCTCATACCAGATTTATTCTTATTAAGCTATTAAATAATTTTGTGTAGATTTTTCTGCATTTCTCTATCAAATTGGTTTTATTTTTTTAAAGCCAGAGAATTTTCTTGTCTTATTCACATATTCTCACAAACATGTTAAAATATATTTTAGAAATGTTAATATATTTTTTGTTTTATTATTTACAACATCTTTTGTTTGATTTCCCTAAAACAGAATTAATTATAATAGATAAACTCTTTTCATAGAGAATTCTTTCATTAAAGGAAATTCTCACATTATTATATATACTCTAATTCAGATCGATACCTCAAATAAGTTCTATTATGCCATATTATATCATAATATCAGTTTTTGCATACATTTTAGAAGCTTTATGTACTAGAGACCTTTGCAAATGAATGTTTCAATTTTTCAGATTATTCCCAACTTTTCATTTTTTTTAATATCTGCCAGAATAAAATTAACTTGATTAGCATAAGTATAATTTATAAAAATATATCTCTCCTTTGAAATGATTTCAATTAAAATCCTTGACGACCACTTTGTAGGGTGAAATAGTTAAAAAATAAATTGATATTAGCTAACAAATAATTTTATAGTCAGTAAGAAAAATATATTTAACCTTAGGACATAGAAGAGCCATTGGAAGTTAGTAAAGATTGAAAATACTTTAAATTCATTATTGATGATAAATGAATTAGTGATATTAGTAAGGAATAGTTTGACAAATCAAATAAAAAGATCATATAATAATTCTCCAAGAAATTAGATTGATTAAGATATTTTGTAAATTACTATAAATATAAAATGCTTCATAATTATTTCATTTGTTGATGTTATTTTAGTAATGAAGCCATTAAGAATTCAGAATCATTACAGTTTCTGTAATTGATTTGATACCATGGAATTTTACTTATTTTCTACAAAATAAACTCAGAAGTTTAAAGTAAATTGCTATATTTGAGTTCCTCCAACAGAGAATTCAAATCATAGTAACTTTATTTTCCGCTGTTTCTTGCAAGAGCAATATTCCCATCAGAGACATCTATAATAATATTAACATTGGAGACGATTGATTTTTATTTACTTTGATTTTGTTTTTGTTAATCTATATTATTCCCTTTATTTTTGAAATTCTTTACAATATACTTAGCAGTAGAATATTTGATTTATAGTTTCTGTGCTGCCTTAAATAATATAATTAATTACTTGTCTCGTTGATAAATTCTCTTGCAATACCAAATTAATTAAGGAAAGCTTTTTTTGGTTATCAATTCTCTTATGATTTCGAAATTTTTATATCTATCTGCACATCAAATTTATGTTGGACATAATAACAAATAAATTAAAATGAATTTTGAGGAATCAAATATTGAAATTTACATAATTAAAGTAAATAACTTCTAATGCATTTTTTACAAATAATCCAAAGCCTGGTAATTTCTATATTTAATATATATGTACTAGAAAGAGAATGATCGATTTTGTATAATGTGTATTTCTTGAAACTATCAAGTAGCAAAGAGGAAAATTCATAATTAATTTATGTTATCCATTATTATGGCTTTATCTTTTTTTAATTACTTTATTTTATTATACTTATTCTGAATCAACAAATATAATCAATTGTTTCCATCTTCTCATAAATATTATAGTCCCTTTCCTCTATTTTAAATTATCGAATCAGTAAGTTATTAATCGAGCAAATACCAAAATGTGTGAAAAAATAAAAGTGAATTATGATGTAAGTCTTCTTTGAAGACTGATCAAAAATTTTCTAAATTATAGTTTTCAAACCATTCTTTTATATAGAATGAATATGCATTCATGATCTATTGTGAATTCCCTCTCCAATTGAATATCATTATAATCCTCATAGATGATTTCCCTACTGAAATCAATCAACATTTTTATGATTTTCTCAAATATTCAATTATCCGCAAGACGTGAATTATTCTAGGAATCACTCCATCTTGAATTCTAAAAGTTTAGTAATAAATCGGCATATAAATTTTAAATTCCTAAATTTTTGTATTTTGGAAAAATATTAAATGGAATACTTAAAAATAATTTGTAAATAGGATATAAAATTTTAGCAGATAGAATATTTATATAATAAGCGATTTCAGATGTCTTAAGACTATCTTTAGTCATGATAACAAAATATTTTAAATTTATTCTTTCGATCTTAGGATTATATTACCAAGTTATTCAATAAATACAATGCATATCATGTAAATTAATATCATTAAATATTTTTTTAAATGATAGCATAAAGAATTTTGATATTGATTCTGAAATAAACTCATCGTTATTATAAAATTTAAAATTAATATGTTCAAACATAAATCAGCTTCATTTCATGATGCAAGCATTGAGACCCAATTGAAATTTAAGCCTCCAAAACCAGAATTAATATCTAATTCCACTAAAAGAAATTCGGAAGTGCTGTCTCATGTAATTGATTTAATAGCTAGATTAGCCTCCAGAATTATTAGCCAAACTGTATTAAACCAATAGACTTTTAGAATAAAATATTGTAAAGCTAAATGAAACCCAATAAAAATTGGCTTAGAAAGAAGAGGAGATATTGGATTTGAAATAAAAACTCAGATGTTCAACTAAGGATTTAAACGAGAAGAATGACAAAATTGCATAATTAACAGAACAATTAAAAGGATTCAAAACAGATATGAGAAAAACTAGTTCTGATAGAGGTAATTAAGAATTACAATAAAAACTGCATCATGTTTCTTAACATAATGAAGCCTTATTTCAAGATTATCAATCTGTGCTTTTGCAAAATTAAAATTATCAATAGTAAATCATCGAACTTCAAGACTAGTTGAATTCAATATCGTATAGATTAAGAGAGTCAGAATAAGCAATACAATTGATTAAAGAGACAGAAACTAAAGTCAACTATCTAGAATTAGATGTTGATAGACTAGAGGAAAAACACAAGAAGTCCTTACCTGGATTAGTGAAATAGAATCAGCAACTGAAAATCTAATACGAGACCAACATTTAACTTCTGAATTGCGGTGTAGATTATATAGCTACTCAATTCTAAAAATCAATTACTACTCTAACTAAGCAACTTTAGATGGTTTCAAAATTTTCAAAAAGAAATGTGGTTTTATCAGAAACCTAATTGAGTTTTTATGGATTAAATACATTAGCATAATAAACTACTTCAAAGAGAGTATAATAAATACTGTAAAAGATGAACATAAGCGAAACTCTTCAAAGTTGGTTAGAAGGGATTGTCACATTTCTTATGATTAATTGTCAGGAAATATTGTAAAAGGAAGTGGATAAAAAATTAGATAAATTGTAAAGACAAATTTAACAAGTCCATGACATCACTATTCAATTAGCCACATCCTATGATTTCATGAAATTTGGCAAAAATGTATTTTATACTTCTTAATTTAGAGATGCAATAATATGAGTGCCTACAGCCAAAAGTCTAGTAGTTATTGTTCACGATTATAGGATAAAGAGAATGACGAATATAGTTAAAATATTAAACTTAAAGATTTCTTGGACTTGGCATTAATGTATACAATAATTTCTATTCTTAATAGTAAATTAGGAGAGCATCTGGCTTAAATCTAACAACTAAATATTGAGTTCTAAGTATAGAATTTTTAGAATAAATCTTCGAGGGAGCTGCAAATTGGCCTTAAGGAATAATTACATTTGCACGAAAATCTAACAAATTATTTAAAAAAGGAGTTAATTTAGATAAAAAAAGAAATCACTAGTCATTCATAGAGAGGATAAGTTAAGAAATATAGTTACATGCCAAAAATAATATGATAGCATTTTTCTTTAATTAATTATTTATGATAATATAAAGTTCATCACGTTTAGAAGGAAGGCACATTAAGAATAGTAGAAGTGCTTAAAGACTCACCCCTTCTCACAATCTATATACTGAATCTTCTTACATATCATAAATCTTGGCTCATTAGTAAAAACTCAATGAAATTCCAAACCTAAATAAAAGAGTATTGAACAATGTCAGTCCTTTAAATTTTAATTATAGAGAAGGCAAAATTCTCTAGAAAAACTATTTACAAAATAAATACTCATAATTGTTAGAAGGGAATCAAGTTCAAAGAGCTGGCTGGAAAAAGTATTTGTTGGATGGATTCAAAGAGAAACTTGAGAACATCTTAAATCAGAACAAGAGAGGTTCAAAGTTATTTAAAATCAAAAGATAATATCTTACTAAAAGTGTTGCTTTGTAGCCTATGGTTATATAAGATGATTATTTGACAGTAGATGCATTGATTAAAAAACAAGATCCTTCATATGATATTGAGGCAGTATAAGATAGTTTAATATAATAACATAAGCATTATTTAACAAATTAGAAAAACACAGATTATGACGAGAAGTATGAAAAATAATAATATTGAGATTATAAAACTTAGTAAAGTAATTTGAAATAATAGTAGATAGGATAGAGAAGGAGGCTTTTAAAGTGAAAGTTCCCACCAATTTCTCAACAGCTATGTAAAATTACAATGATTTTTATGATGTATAACTTGACTCAAAAAATATATACAGTAGTTTAAAAGCAATTGATTTTAGTAAATTTGAAATAAAATAAAGTTAAAAATAATCATACGCTTTAAATTTTTGGGATTAAGGAGAGATTGACGAAGAAATTGAACAATAAATACAAACTTGCAGAGTCTCAACTTAAAGGGATTGCAAAGAAGAATTGTTGGAAGAACTCAGACAATATTAAGAAAATTAATTAGTTTAACAAATTGTAGATGCACCTGTAGAACCAGAGGAGCCTTTACAATAAGAAATACAATAAATCTAAACAGAATAAGTTGTTGAAAAATAACTAGAAATCGAAAAGCCGAAGGAACCTAAGGAACCAAAGAATATAAAAAAAAGAAATCTTAGATACAAACAAAAAAAATAATAAAGTATATGGATAATAATAACTTATAAGGGAAAACATGTTAACCTAAGTTTGATCATAAGTTTGTTGATTACATGTTATCATTAGAAGATGTTCATGAGGCAGAACTTTCTCAATTCAAAATAAAATAAGTCGCAGAATATGATTCCTACGTATTTTGTGATCCCGATGAAGAAATCATTTACAAGCATCAAGTCGATTGGAATAGTTAACTAGAATATTTATTAAGAGATATTAGCTGAAGAGAATAACTTCTGCTTAAAATTTTCTATATATATATATATTTTTTGCATTTATTATCAATTTTATTATACTTTAAGAATCTTATATAAATAATTTAAATCGTTTATAGAAAAATTTTAAACTGACTTCAGTTTATTCGGAACCCTTAATTTTTCCTATATAAACAAAATTTCATATAAAAAAAGATATTTGACGCATTATAATTATATATCATCTTATAATAATTAGCTACAATCACTTTCACTACTAACATTTTGGACAAACAAAGTTTAGTAATTTTTTTGCTTTTTCTCTGGTCAAATCTACACATTTTAAATGGCACCATCCTTAGCATACTTCGCATTATATATACCTTAAAATCTTTAATTATTTAAATTACTTCAAATCTGGATTTGGAGGTTTCTCACATATGCATGTAGTTGCCCATTCTTCTATGGGAGGTTAAAAAGCTCGATTTATATAACCGGCCCTCGTAAAATAAGTTGTATCATCCATCGTTTCTAATTTATCAAATTCCTAATAAGTAAGAATAGAGGCTAAACTCACTATGCTTTCAATTTCAATATAATCGTACTCATTTGTCTTGAACACTTCATTCTCTGAAATATAATCCAAATGAGTCATTGGTAAATCTCCCAATTCAAATTTTCTATAATACCATTGAACTTTTATTAAAGGGTAAATTTCATCATTAGTATCGACAAGCTTGACGATCTTAATGAGTTTAGCGACATAATCTACTCTTCTATCTGCTTTAATGCAGAGATTCTAACCAATCTTATAAATAATCCCATCGTATTTTAATTTTTTGTATGATGTTCTTTAACAATATGTTAAGTATATACCTGCTCTTTTTGTTTTTCTTCAATAATTTATAGAGATTGTTATTATCCTTGTTTTGAATCAGATTTTAAATTTTGTTTTATAAAAGGACATTCTCCTATTTTTCATTGAGTGATGATGTTCTTGAAATCTTGGGTTCTAAAGAGGCTGACATGTTAATCTTCCTGAGTCTCAATTTAGAAAATAAATATTAAAAAAAATAAATATTATTATATCTTTTTTTATAATATGTATTTGAATAATTTTATTCTTTTCTTCTAGATCTCTGTCAATTAAATTATGCATTTGCACTAACAATTAAATTAAAGCTTTAGAGGAAAAGCCTTCAGTATAGTATTAGTCAATAATATTTATTTAATTTACATATATGTCTTGAAATATCATTTACAAAACAATAATTTAAACTATAGCAAAATAGTACTATCAAAACCTTACAAAATCCAATCATCCCTAAAAGATTTCTGTTTTTCTTTAACCTATAAGTCAGTTCAACTTCTACTAAATTTAGGATCATATTTCTAATAATTAAATTATAAAGTATTAAAAAATATCTATATTGATCAAAGTCAAGCCTCTTCAGGAGCCTTCATTTATATTTCCCACAGTATTAAAGAAACCAGTCAAAATTAATGTTAGATTTATAAAAAGCCTACTGTTATAAATTTAAAAACACAAAGGTTCTGTTCAAGAAAATTTGTGTATAAATCAAATGTGAATTATAGAATGAACTAATGGCCAATTGTTTTGAATTTAGAAATAGAAAAAAAAAAATATAAATACTTTCTTTTTCAATATTGACTAGTAAAAACAGATCTTTTCAAAATTTTAGGAGTATATTATTGTTTTATTATTAGAAATTAAGGATTAAATAAACAACTAACATTATAAGAGGTTTTGAAATTTGGAAGTATAGATAAAATTACATAATTCAGAGTATCGAATTTTAATTTGGTTTTATTGTAATCTAAATCTACAAATTTCCTTAATTGAATCTTAAGTTTTCTTCTAATCTACTATTTATGAAAATATCGCATAAGTATATTATCCAATTTTCAAATTCATAAAATTTCATGAGCAATTCGTAATTGCCATTTCAAAGTGTATTTGATCACATAATAAGTCGTATTTACAATAGAGTTTGTTTAAATCAAGAATATTGTTATCAAGAAATTCAAAGTATTTCTATTTGGATACTCAATTCTTCTAATTTTATAAGTGTGATTTTATTATAATATATTAATAAGTATATATATTTAAAATAATAGAACTTTGTTTTATTGAATTTTGGAAGCCTTATTATTTCATAATTTATTTCACTAAACATTTACTTAATGATAATAATAAATGTTGCTTTACAATTTAAGTAAGTTAACTTTTTTTTATAATTAATTAATCCCAGATAAAAATACTTTTTTCATTACAACTCTATATATTTTCATAATATTTGTTACTTTTACTTTTTTTGAATAAAATGATTATTCTAGTTCTATAATTAGATTTTTTCTTAATCATCTAAGAGTAACTTACTTATTTTGCTAAATTAATTTTTATATTAATGTTTTCACATATTTTCGATTGCTTCCAAAAACATCCTATATAAAATTAAATTATTAATAAGATTAATATTATAAATGTGATAAAGCCCTAGTAGGATTTTGATAGGAATGATTAAAGTTTGATAATGAGATTAGATTGATTATGTTTGGGGATATAAGTATTAAGTGGATATATATATAATTAAAAGTAATAAATATAATTAAAAATTACTCTAACTGATAATGTTGCCATAATAAATTATTTATAGATAAGTTAGGCATTCCCCTTAAAGTATCCATTAAATGAATCATAAATAGAAATTTTAAGATAATCCACAATTCTTCCACATCAATAATTAAGAGCATCAACTCCGATTAGACAATAAAGATCGTACTCTCATTTTGATTAACAACCTTAAAGCAGCATGAAAAAGCAATAAGAAAATTTTGAAAGAGAAAATGATCTATTAAGAGAAAAAGTAAAATAATTAAAGCAATAGATAGCCACTCTTGAACAAAATTATTAAAATAATGCAGAAGTATAAAATTTATTCGATTTTAGATTGAAGAATAATATATAGTTGCTCTAAGGATATTTTAATAATTAAAAATCGAGTCTGAATAATTAAGATTAGAGCTTTCTTATATAAAATAGGAGAACAATCTGCTTAAATCAAAATTAAAACAAATTAATTATTGAATTATTTATTTTCATTTTTTAATGTTATATTGCGATCAATTATCAAGCATAATCTTTCTTAAATTAAGACCTAATTGATTTTTGGAATATTGATGTGGAAGTATTATGCCATATTTATGAAAATCAAAAAATCACAATCAAATTTATATATATTATGAATAATATGTAAATATAAACAATAAATTCATAAGACTGTGTCTTACAAAATAAAGCTATGAATAAAGACTAAATTATTCACAATTTATAATCTGCATAATTATTTATATTGTGATTCATAGCTTATTTTTCTAAGAATATTATCAGGAGTTGTAAGTAAATTTTATTTAGCATCATGAATCTTTACTAAAGACTTATTTCCTAATTATCTTTGAGTGTAAATTAATAATAATTCTCTAGAATTTTCATCCAATTTGAGAAATGTTTTTTTGCACTTCGATAAAATTGTAAAAATTCCTTAAAGTTGGATGGCCTATTATTCTATAAAAGATGATTTGAAAAATGTGTAGATTTCATAATCTTTTATTTTATCTTAAAGTTAACTTATAATTAAATAGAGCAATAATTCATTCAATTTAATTTATTCTCCCAAGTATTCCACTGATTCTTATAAATTTAGAATTCTGAATATACTTAAATATAAATTAAAGAATAGGTGAAATATTTCAAGGAGAATCATTTCGCCAAACAAAATTTAAATATCTTAGAAATCAGGGAAAAAGCTAATTTTATCTTTCGATTTCGGAGGTGTTTATTAATTTTATAAATCAACCTATTCTATTTAAGGATCTTAAAATTGAAGTATTAAGAGTTCATCTTTTAATGCACCATTGGTTTATCGATTATTATTATCATTGATTACATATTTAAAATAAGCATCAAATAAGGAGGAATTAATATTTTCATGAAAATTTGAATTTATCTACAGAAGCTACTGTTCATCAAACTAAAATGATGCTGAAAGAAAATCTTTAAATAAAAATGTCATCCATATATTATGTTAGTTTTAATGTAACTTTTTAAATAATTGATTCAATAACAAAAATGAAAACTGTAACACAGTCTAATTTTGAAATTGGAATATTTAAATAGGGGGAAGTATGAGGTTTAAAATTTATTAGAGTTAAGTGTATTATTACTCAAGTTATTTAAGCCAGGAAGGTTAAAAAGCGAGAAAATTGATTGTAAATGCCTATGATACATTTGTCAGCATTTCACTTTGCTTAGTTCTATAAAAAGAAGTGATTAAAAAGGAGGACAATTTCTCGCTTTCAAAAGTTAATCGATTGTAATATTATTGATCAATAGATAATTGATGTAGAGTGTTTTCTTATTGTTAGTTATCTTCAAGAGCTTTTCTTAAGTTTTTGAGTTACATGATTTATGCCTCTAGAGCGGTGATCAATTCGCATTGTTAAGAATTTACAAATGATTTATATGCATTGTAGCTGTTTAAGTTTAATTTTGCAGTTTTTTTCAGTAAAAATTTTAATTGTAAGATTTCGACATCTATATTATGACGTTGGTCTTCAAGATTATATAGCTAATCGTGAAATATAGTTTTTGTTTCGTATTCCTTATCACAAATAGTAGTATTTTCAGGAACCCCTTTATAAATTCTATTTATATCAATATTCATTTTATATTTTTGCTAATCATCAAATTCTACATAGGAGGATTGATTCAATCTTTTCAGAGTAGATATGTCTACTTATGAATGCAATCCTCTCATGGTTCCATAATTTTTTAAATTTTGATGCAATAATTGTATATTTACAGATTATTTAGAGATAGATTCATCTTCAATAATTGAACTAGCATTTGATTATGAAGAATAATATTCATAAAAACTTTGATTGTCAAGCAACTATTGAGATCCGTCTTAAATGTCCATGGAGTCCACTTCACTAGAAGTGCGACCAAGAAAAGTTGTCTAATACATAATAATAATTATTTTATATGAAAAAATAATCAAATCCTGTAATTTAATTTTGCTTATAAATTTAATGGCTTAAATGAAAAGTACACGAATTCTGAAAAAGTAATCTTGTGTATTTATATTATAAATATAATAATAAGAGGTTTTCTGTTTGTATTAAATAGTTTAATTAAATCTTCTAGTTAATTATTTATTTCATATGATATCATTTTTTTTTGTATGGATGTTCATAACTGCATTATTGGTTTTTGCAATGAATTCCATGTTTACATTGCTGATGGACATAAATGCATTGAGTTCCCTTGTTACAATAAGGAAAATATTTGCACTAAATGAATATTAAATTGATCTACTTTAATTTTTGGATGAATATATTGACAATGCTTGTTGGTACAATTGGGAAAGTACCTGCATCTTTCATTGATAATGTTAGTTTTCTGCTATTTAAATTTAATAAATAAATTATGTACTTTTACCTAAGATTGAGTATCTATAACTTTAGATTATTGATTTACTGCTGTCAATAGTAAGAGTAACATCAATTAGTCAGCTTAACTAAATATTAAATACAAATTAATTGTACTTTTAATTTGATTAGTTCTCTTCTGACATGGATTCAGGCTCATCTTCAATTTCTGGTTTCACTTTTTACTCATCATTATTATTGTCATTTTCTTCGTTAATTTTGACTTTCTTATGAACTGGCTAGGTGAATTATTTATTTTAATGTTCACTCTAATCTCTAGCCTGATCATTCTTGATTGCTTATATTGATTTTGTGAATAAGCTTCTGTTTTTTAATTATTAAAATTTCTTGGCCTATTAAATGCAATAATCCTCAAACCAATCCAATAACTCAACATATTGTAATTCACTCAATGGTTTCTAAAGGATGATTGATGATGAAATTACATTGGCTATCTCTTGGAGGGACTTCACCATTTGCTTCCTGTTCATCTTATTTGTGCCCTTATACAATCGTATAGCTTCATAAAGAAATCTTGTTAGCTAGATCCTTACTGTATCCCATACTCACTGAGATCATGAACTAGGCTAGTCTGAGAAAACTTCACATTCAAATCTCTCCTGAATTGTGTTTCTGATATCATTTATAATTTATAATATATAATTAAGTTCATGGCTTTTTGGAAATTATATTGCATTTTTCTAGAATGCTTCTAGCCTTTCCAGAGATACTCCTTTTGGATTGTTCATCATCGAACATCCTTTGCTAGACAGTCAGTGATTTCAAACCTTTGAAATATAGTCTGTCTTCTTAAAAGAAATAAATTACATTTTTTTACTTGGCTCATCCTGTTTGTCAAATTTCCTTTTGACTTAGATCTTATCCAGATTAATTCTCATATTCCTTTTAATTAAATTAGAATCAATGATAGTTATTTATTTTTATCGATCTCTTCTTGACTCCAACTTTTTAGGATTAAAGGTATCTAGTATACTTAATTCAGAAACATTAGCATTTTGAATATCTTCAATAGTTTCTGTTAATTTATGTTTAAGTTACTTTCTGTCACTGAGATATCGATTATTTATTTTATAGTTTTAATAATATTCCAACGAATGCAATGCAGAAGCATTGAGCCACCTTCTGTTGTCATTGCTTGTTGATCTTGATTCCTTGATATATATGGAATCATGGATAACATAAGGTTTTTGTGACATTCGTTCCAAAAAACTCATGATTCTTTTATCGTAATTAGTAGCCAAAACATTATTAATTTTTTTTGTTTCTTAACTTGCCATTTGTTCCTATTCCATTTTTTTCTCTTTCTATTAGGTTATCTGTTGAAACTTCTCCTTTCGGTAATAATTATACATTTATATATTATTAATAATATTATATGAACCACATTATGGCATATGCCTTGGCCAAATGGCAAACCGCTTCAACCATTGGAGTAATATCATTAGTACCAAATGACAACCAAGTTGTATTTGATCTCTAAAATGCCTTGCAATTTTTAAAAAATGAAAACATTAGTCAATTCCAAAAAATGTAAGTATACTAATACCAATGCTAGTAAATATATCACAACCTAAGGAGGAAAATGGTATTACTTACCATTCAACAAAGAGGTAGTACAATTGGTATTGACTGCAAGTGATTACAATTAAGAAAATGTGGAAATGCTCATCAATTCCATCAATGCAAAAATTGTACATTCTCTATTTTATTCATTAGTTTGATCACAATCCAGTAACTCCATAAAATATATCCATATAATAAAAGCAGAATATCTATAATTTGTTAATCTACTTCGATTAAGCCCATGGCAAAGAACCAAAACAGATATAATAAATTCTATAAACTTTGGATAACACTAAGTAAACTGTTCAACAAAACATTGAAAAACTGATCAATAACAAAGAATAGCTTCTGAATATTGAAGGTTGTATTCAACTATATTGATATCATTAGTTTAATCACTAGAATTGGATAATAGTTCATAGGTATTTTTAAATTCGGCGTAAGAATTGCACAGAAAATAAAGAATGTAAAAATTAAAAACTAGATTAATTATTGGATCAATAATCGTAGTTGGGCTAGCAATCTCATTATATACAATATTTGGTTGAATTCATAAATAAATAAATATTAATCTAATACAATAACTGTTGAACCACTTTCTTCTATGACTCTATCTACATTATCCTAATTTTAGCTTCTCTGTAAATTTATTTTAATTAAAAGTATAGTCTTAAGTGTAAATTATATCGTTCATGATATAGATAAAAGTATAATGCAACATTTACCAAGATAAATAATTCTTGATATACATCATCAATTTATTATGGATACTTAGTCATGCAATTAATTCTTCATAATATAATCATACCTTTAGTAGACTCAATAGGGATTAATCAATACATAATTGGGTAGAGAAGAATATAAAAATTAAATTACTAAATTATAATATATTATTTATAAATTTCTCAAAAAGATTCGAATTTATCAAATTACTACGATATGATCATGATTGATGTGTAATGTATGTCGAAGTTTAAATATTAAAAATATTCAGGTATTTTATAAAAAACTAAACTGTATTTAAGGCATTATTTTCTTAATGATTTTTACATTATTTTATTTTCAAACAAATTAAAAAATCTGATAATTACACTTCAATCACAATTCTATTTTTAATTTTCATAAATAGAGAAGGATTAGATTATGAATTTCTATTTAAATTATTTTTCTAACTATTATCAATCAGATTCAACATCGCTTATGAAATACAAGGTTTTAGATTTTGAACACAATACTATTACTTATACTTATAAAAAATTAACAATTTTATTGATATTTTGGGTTTAAAAAGATAAGAAAGCAGTAATAATTTTTTTACTTCTTTAACTTATTAGCATTATTAATGTACATATGCGTGTATCTTAAAATGGATGGTGATTAGTTGTAAAAATCAGACAAATATTGGAATATAATACAAAAATATTTCAGATCAAAGGTTATTCCGAAACAATTGATAATCTCTTTTATCTTAAGGGGGACTTTGTTAATAGTAATGATGATGTTTTAACTAACATTGGTGGTGTCATTTCTGATCCATCTGTATCGGAATCAAGTGAACGATAGGAAAATATTAATTGTTTTTTTGCCTGCTCAAATTTAAACTATTTTTATTATGGGTCAGTCAAGAATGTTAATTTTAAATCCTACAAATAATTGATGATATCTTTTTCTTGGGAAGTAACTTCATTTAAGCAATCATCGAATTCAATTGTATCATTCATTTTAAATAAAATATTTTATTTATTTATTCTCCTTTTACTCATTTACTTAAATTTAAATATACAATAAGAGTTAAATATTTCTCTCATTCTTTGCATTACTTTATTTCTTAATAATTTTGATCTAGTTTATAACAAGCTTCAATCAAAGGAAGAAATAATTTATATAAAATTATTTATGGATGGTATATTATCACTTACAATCAAGTTTTAATTGAATATTTGAGCAACACAACAATTATGTTAATATTAAAATATAGATAAGCACATGTATTAATAGGCTGTCTTACAATTTTCATTAATAATTAATGAGATTCAGACTCGATAATACTACTTATAGAATTCAATCAAAATCATATTGAAAAAAACAAATAAATAAATCGTTTGTAATTGATAAGCAAATTTTCTCTTATTAAAATAAAAAAGGAATAAGTTTATAATCATTTTTCTGTTAGCTCCCTATAGCCTTTCCAATTGTTTCTTAAGTATGGCTCTTCTTTAATGACTCTTAATAGAGTATTGCTTGGACCGTCTTTGTAGTTTGGTAAAAAATTCTATGATTTTAATATAAACTAAATACTAAAGTTTCTTCAAAAATAGCTTTTGCCTAATCCCAATCTCCAGATAGGTAACATGAAAACCCTTTATCCCATTTATGATAAAATTCCTAGATTAAATTTGGATATTTACTTTATTAAACAGAGCACGAGATTGTTTAATGTTGTTGTCCTTAATCCAAGTTTCTGATATTGCCACATGATTCTTTAATACAGCCTACTTTAACTTGTCTCTTTTCATTCTTCTCAAGACCTTCTGCTTTTTTTTTTATTTAGATATTTCTGATTCCGTCAGATGAGCTTGTTTCTATTTTTCCTTCCTATTGAAATCCACAACAGTTTTCTTTTTATGGACTTTTCTAATTAAAGACTCAACGTTTAAATCCACCGTATATATATCCATAGGTTCAATACTACCTTTGACCGTTACCCTATCAATATGTCTTAGATTCTTTTGGGTCACCTTAGTAGTTACATTTCTTAATTGTCCTGAAATGAGTATCATTGATCCAAATTGTTTAGTGGCTGCCTCTAATCTTGATGCCATATTAACATTTGGACTCAAATAAGATGCATCTATTTTATATTCTGATCCAATTGCTCCTTCTATAGCCCATCCAACATGTAATCCAAATCCCATTTTAACCGAATAATTAGGGATTCTGTTATTCAGTCCCTCATGTTATTTATACTTTTATAACTTTTACGAAAGTGTAACATTGGTAATAATAGTAACAAATGATAAAATGGACATATCAGCTATTTAAGCAATATGTTCATATGATTTTAAACTCAAGTTGCCATCCTTATCCTAATAATAATCATTTTCAGCAAATTTCCAAACTAAAAGAAATGCATCACCTATGTTTTTATTTGCACTTCCTGAAAATTAATCTACAACTCCATGGACGATCTCTGCTATTTCATTCACGAATACCATTACATCTTATTATAGAACTTCTGTGGCATCTGTAAAGTTTCTAATATCGCAGAATCCAAAAATGGCCATAACCTTTTTGCCAGGCAACATAGGATTAATTGACGCATTAGCACCCATGTTTTAAGCTATAATTTAAGATCCAGCTTCTCCAAATCCTAATGCCAATAAGGTTCCAATCTTAACAATTAATTTCTACAGGATAACTGTTTCCAATTTCTCATCTTCCTAGTCCTCTAATGCTTTCATTTCACCATTTTCAATCATTTATATAAATGCCTTATTTTCTTCTTCTTATGCTGCGACTAAAGGATTTTCTGCTATTTTCTTAACTGTTTCCAACATTTTCTCCACAGGTGTTAAAATCAATTCTTAGACATCCCTGCTAAACAACACTGCTGCTACAGAAAGAACTATAGAAACAAAGATTGTTCTGATAATTGATAAAATAGCATTCAATTCATCATCTGTAACTGTAGAACATATAGATACAGCATCCTTGCCTTCAGAATCTGTTGTTGTATAATATTACAGTGAATTCGTTCTGTAATCTTCATATTAATAAGGATCATCATTTGGATAGAATATCGTAGAATTAATTTGAAAAAATACTAATCCAGTTCTTAAAGGTTCATGATACGTGACAAAGTCTTTAATAAGATAATCATAAATTTCAGGGTCTTTAGCCCAAAACTATATTGCTTATAACCCAGTGGTGAAGCTTACATTTTAGTCAACGTAAGTGCTGAGATTCAATATAGGTACACTAAACAATATGAGCATGACGATAGTAATGACTCTCTTGTTAGTTAATTCAGTCAATTCTTTTCCTATATTGGTTTCACGTATTTCTCCTTCATCTGACTAATGAGGATGCGATGATTTATTTGGAGATTGCATAATAACGGATTTTCTTTTTTAAATAGTTGTAAGTGATTGAATTTGACCAGACATAACTATTTTTCTGGTTTATCTTCTTTAAAACCTTTGTTCATTTTCTTGGCTGATTTAATTATTATTAGATGCCCCATTAAACATTACAATAGAAGTTCTTTATTAAAGAACCTACTAAACTGGTTACTATTGTACAACACTCATTCCAGAATGTTTAACATTTCTTTCAGATGATTCAACTGATCTTTAAGAGGATGCTGCATCATTTGGTTATTCTTGTCTTTAAGGTTCTTAATCTTAATTGTTATTTTCCATTAAATTCTCTTCTTTCATTTCTTCTGCCAACAACTTCTCTGCTTCCTTTTCCAATGACTATTTTGCATGTTTATATAATTTTGACAGTCTCACCAATCTTACTACTCTTACTATTCTTCCAGCTCGCGTTCCTACTCTAGATGCTCTTCCAGCTCTACCAATAATATTTTACTATATCGAACCTCGCCAATGAAACTGCACTCAATGCTGCTCCTCCACTTGTCCCAAATATTGCATTACTAACCCATCCGATGTCTAATAGCATTGAAACTGTTGACAACAAATCCAACCAAAAGAAGAAACCAATAAAATATCCATCCTTATTTTATTGCCAATATTTATACTTTACAACTAGAGGCAAGCACAATTTCAATAAAAAAGAGACTCATACAAATTGTGGTAATTACCCAAAATACTTCATCACCATCCTGATTATTGATTAAAATACCTTATCTGTAGCCAACACTCGAACATCATCTCCAAATAATGCATACACTGTTACAATTGTCATAAAGATCATATAATTAAAGCTCTCCAAAAAGATCTCAACTTTATGCTACATAAATTATTCTTTATTACTCTAAATCCACGATTGCTCTCTTAACTTGTTCTACTGCTTTTGGCTCCCATAATAACAGATTTTCTATGAGTTACTGTTCTTGTTCCCATATCTAATTCACCTTGACTATTTTTCTTATTTGGAGAAGATGCATCCACTCTTGAATAAGACTACGACTATTAATCATTTTGTACCCTCTATTAAGCATTTCTTCCCTATTCTTCTTCTTCAATATTTTGATCCATAAATTTTTATAAATAAATTTCTTATTACAACAAGGAAGTTGCGATAAACATAAATAAAACCCAACTGAAATACCTCACCTTATTGAACCAATATCTTTTGCAGAACAGATATTCAGAACTTTAAAAGTTATCAACATAGAACTAAAATCAAAATTAGAAAAAAATTCCTTATTTTTTCCATTCGTAAATTTATCTTGCTGAGATCAACATAAAATATATAATTGATGCTACTCTTGAAGGCCATTACTGAAAATATTATCTTTTAAATAATTAAAATCTTGCATAATAGTTAATTATAATAATAAATAATATCTAATTTTATCGTATTCACTCTTGCATTATAAATATTCAAATACCCTATTTTTGATACAGGTCTAAATTTAAACTTTGATTAACTTATAGGGAAACAGGGTTTTACCGTAAGGAGAAAATAAAATCAAATTGTCAAGATTAATTTCTAGCAATACTTGCCTTAGATTTGATAAATTAAATTAAAGTTTAAACACTAAGAGAATCACAAATATTCATAAAGTAGTCAGCAAATCAGATGCCTAGATGTCGATACATATGAGGCATCAAAATTATCCAATATATAGAGCATGTATTAAATTTCAAAATATATGGAACTGAACTCTGTGTAGCATTCTTAAACTTACAAATAAATTTAAAAATAATTACTATTACTTATTCAAATTGTAAATTCTTACTATATTAGTTAATATGATAGAAAAAAATCAAAGTACCTTGAATGAATTAGCACAAATCTAAATTATCAGGAATTTAATTAGAATTAGTTTTATTAGATTAAATTTATATAATTAAGGAAATTCATAATTTTTTATAGATGAATACTACTCCAATTTTATGCAAAATTAACCCAATTCCAATTACGATATGTAATTCTTACAGTAATGTACTTTTAATATAATTTAATTATGTAAATTTAATGAAAGATGTTCCCTTGCTTTAATTAGCATTTCAAACACACAGTCACTTCAAAGATAATTATAAAATACTCATTGCTTGAAATAAGACAATTTATTTATGATTAATAGTTACAGAGCTTCTCTGGATTGAACATTTAAAAATCGATTTAATTATGATTAATTTATGTAATTACATTAAATATTAATAATATCTTTATAAATCATTTGAATGTTTTTGCCATATTAGAACATTAATTCTATAAAATATCAATAACAGCACATTCGTTCCTCAATAAAGAACAACTAAAAAGTGGCTAGAGTATAAAACATTATAAACTATTTATTTATGAATTATTCTTAACTTATTTAATAAATTAATTGATTAGTTATGTTTAATCCTTTGAATCGAGCCAGATCACCATAATATAATGGGTATCCCAATCAAACAAATCCAAATCCCTAATTTGGAGGCAATTCTTATCCATTCATGGGATAATAATCACCAGTGAATTAGCCTTTGGTATATTAAAATTTAACCCATAGACATAGAGATCTTTTCCTTAACAATAATATCCTCAGAATACTCCTCCAAAGGGCTACCCATTGTAGCAATCATAGAGAAGCAATCCCCCTTTCGCATAACAACAATAGTATCCACCTAACTAGCCATCAGTGTAATCTATATAAGTACAATAAAAAATAAGAATAAAAGCCTCCTCCTCAATCGCAACCCCCTTAATAAGCTCCTTAACAAAATTATGTATAACCTCCATAGCGATCACAATAACCAATGCCACCACAATCAATAGAGTAATAAAAATTACCATCACCTTAAATAAACTTATAAGCCTAGCCATAGTAGTATGCACCATCTCAGAGTTCTGCTTTGGGGTTATCTGGTTTAAGGTAGACATATACACCTCCTACTTTTGTTCCTCTTTAACCAGTGATGACTGTAAGAATTAGGATTGATTTAGACTGTAATTTAACGACCAATCGAATTTGTGGATTTGGAGAAATTTGAGGAGCTGTGGGATAAGAGAATGAAGGAATTGGAAGATAGAATTCGTTAATCTTAACCTTAAGTTGTAGAATTGAGGTCTTCAAATGATGAGGACAAGGATGCTTTGATAAAACAATTGCAGGACGAGTTGTACAAGGTGAGATGTGACAACGAGGAGAAGGATAATAAAATTTCTGATCTAAAAATAGAGTTATAAACAAACATCGATCTTGTGGAATATTTGAGATGTATAATAATAATAAATGATAATCATAGAGTAATTGGTTAATAGCAATAACAGTGATGAAGTTGAAAAGCTATAGAATGAGATTCAAAGATTGAGAAAGCAGGTCTAGACTCTGGATTCTCAGGTCAGCTAGTTGAATCATAATAATGCTGATTTGAAGTAGGAATTGGAGGCTTTGAGACAGTAAAAATAATTTTTCAAATCACAATGCGATGATAAAGATGAACACATTTAGAATCTTGAAAGGGAAATCGAGGAACTTCGTTAACAAGTCGAAACATTGACTGAAGAAGTTACAACTAGTCAATCTGTAAAGACTTATGAGGAGGAGGCTAAGATATGGAGAACTAAATTTAAGGAGTTGAATGATACATACCATGCTTGNATTAGAACATTAATTCTATAAAATATCAATAACAGCACATTCGTTCCTCAATAAAGAACAACTAAAAAGTGGCTAGAGTATAAAACATTATAAACTATTTATTTATGAATTATTCTTAACTTATTTAATAAATTAATTGATTAGTTATGTTTAATCCTTTGAATCGAGCCAGATCACCATAATATAATGGGTATCCCAATCAAACAAATCCAAATCCCTAATTTGGAGGCAATTCTTATCCATTCATGGGATAATAATCACCAGTGAATTAGCCTTTGGTATATTAAAATTTAACCCATAGACATAGAGATCTTTTCCTTAACAATAATATCCTCAGAATACTCCTCCAAAGGGCTACCCATTGTAGCAATCATAGAGAAGCAATCCCCCTTTCGCATAACAACAATAGTATCCACCTAACTAGCCATCAGTGTAATCTATATAAGTACAATAAAAAATAAGAATAAAAGCCTCCTCCTCAATCGCAACCCCCTTAATAAGCTCCTTAACAAAATTATGTATAACCTCCATAGCGATCACAATAACCAATGCCACCACAATCAATAGAGTAATAAAAATTACCATCACCTTAAATAAACTTATAAGCCTAGCCATAGTAGTATGCACCATCTCAGAGTTCTGCTTTGGGGTTATCTGGTTTAAGGTAGACATATACACCTCCTACTTTTGTTCCTCTTTAACCAGTGATGACTGTAAGAATTAGGATTGATTTAGACTGTAATTTAACGACCAATCGAATTTGTGGATTTGGAGAAATTTGAGGAGCTGTGGGATAAGAGAATGAAGGAATTGGAAGATAGAATTCGTTAATCTTAACCTTAAGTTGTAGAATTGAGGTCTTCAAATGATGAGGACAAGGATGCTTTGATAAAACAATTGCAGGACGAGTTGTACAAGGTGAGATGTGACAACGAGGAGAAGGATAATAAAATTTCTGATCTAAAAATAGAGTTATAAACAAACATCGATCTTGTGGAATATTTGAGATGTATAATAATAATAAATGATAATCATAGAGTAATTGGTTAATAGCAATAACAGTGATGAAGTTGAAAAGCTATAGAATGAGATTCAAAGATTGAGAAAGCAGGTCTAGACTCTGGATTCTCAGGTCAGCTAGTTGAATCATAATAATGCTGATTTGAAGTAGGAATTGGAGGCTTTGAGACAGTAAAAATAATTTTTCAAATCACAATGCGATGATAAAGATGAACACATTTAGAATCTTGAAAGGGAAATCGAGGAACTTCGTTAACAAGTCGAAACATTGACTGAAGAAGTTACAACTAGTCAATCTGTAAAGACTTATGAGGAGGAGGCTAAGATATGGAGAACTAAATTTAAGGAGTTGAATGATACATACCATGCTTGTTAAGAGAAATTGATTTTGACTGAAGCAGAATTGGATTTGTTGAAGAGACCTTAAAGTTAGTAGAAGATCGTGACTACATCGACTACAGTAGTAAAGAACAATGTGTAAACAAGTGGAACAAAATCAGTAAGAATCTTTAGAAATTATATTAGGACTCTGATTATCTTTCAAGTAGCCTAACTTAATAAGATGTTGAAAGAATTCAAAATTTATCAAAGAATATTCCATAGATTTGATTATTGGAAAACAAGTTATTATATTAAAGTACAAAATATCTATAATCTTATCTAAGCATTATTGTGTTATTTTATTTATTTATAAAATGATATCTCCTCTCTCTATTGAAAAGTCTTCGTTTGATCACTAAAAACGAAAACCCTTCAGTCCCACTGAAATAACTCAATAGTAAAATTTATTATAACGAAAATTGCAACAACAATAATCAGACATCATTTCAACTATTCAACCTAAAAAAGTTCACTTGAATAATAATTTTCAGCATGGACTATCAAAACTGCTCAAAACCAGTCCCTATGGATAATTAGTTAAGCAAAAGTCTCAAATTCAAATATTCAATTAGGACAGTATCTCGTAAAACTATTAGAGTGGTTGTTCTCCTCCATTCTAAACTTCTCATAATTTTTTTCAAGCAGATTAAAAACAATCGAATTCACACACTTAGAGCAGCATATAGAGACGAATTCCCTCCAATTGTAAAGTCACTCTCCATAAAAAATCGTTTGATAATTCTTCCCAGTTAATATCCTGTAGAGTGAAAGATTAATAAACCATATCGGCCCTTCAATTGATATTATAAAGAACAACTCACATATTACAAAATTATAAGGACGAAATTCTCAAATATGAAGTTGAAAATGCTAAACTCAAAGAAAAAATTGCAATTCTGAAAAACTCATGAATGAACAATATTTATTTACTTTTATTTTTTATCTTTTTCCAAAAGCAATTAATATTAATTGTAATCGTCATGGCTTCAAATGATCTATTAGAAGAGTAAAATTAATGTATACTAACTTGTGATATATAGTGGCATAAAGAATATTGCTAGAGAATCCAAAAAAAACAGACCTAGAATAATTTAATCATTTAAGTGCTCTTTCGGATACAACCTCCTAATATATATAATCAAACTTAGAAAGTGGATTCTAGGGATCCTAAAAATGTAACAATATTGCTAACAATCACTTAGAGTCTTCATTAAATAGTTCAAAAAACATGAAGATTAAAAATAATAGAACCATTGGATCACTTCTAAATAGTGATATATCAAATTACACTCTATCCGATGATGAACTTGAGAATGAAGATATGTCAAAAAAGGATAAAGTAAATGCTATAGAAGAGGAAGAATAAGACATTGATTCTGATAAAGAAGTATGATTATTGTCATCTAGATTTTTTAAATTCCACCTAATATTGAATCCCTAGAAAAACCACTAACTTATGATGAGTTGAATAGAAAATGCAAAAATCTGGAGGCAGAAGTGAAAAAAGCAAAGTAAATATACGAAGTGCTATTGGGTATTATCTCACTTTTAATAAATAGATTAGACTTACAATGATAAAAGTAAAATTAAGACATTTGAAGCACAAGAAAAACACTACAATGACTTAATATCCTAAAATGCCACAAAAATATCCAGTTTGGAAGAGCAACTTTCATCCTTACAATAAGAACTATAAGAGAAAAACAATTAATAAGAATTGATTATTTAAAAATAAAAAGATAAAATAAATCAAATTCAATTCAAGTTAGAACAATAAACACAACAATATAATCAGCAAATACAATAATTTAAAGAATAATTAACCCAATATCAAAATTAGTTTAGTACATAAGAAAAAGAAAGGTAGAAAACTAATGGGCAAAAAGGAGATTTAGTATAAAACGAATTGCTGAGTAAATAAACAATCATTATTTTTAGAAATTAAAGATTAAATCATTTAATTTTTAGAAAATGAACTAGCTGAGGTTATGGTTTCTTGTCAACAACCAAAGACAAAACTTCTAAGTTAACTTAAAATTAATACAAACCCCAGTGAATAGGAACTTAAAAATTATAGTATAAATTAAAACAAATAGAAACTCAAAAACTAGGATCAATTTTTATCTAAGCCTCCAAGTGCAAAAAAGTAATTGGCCACTTAGGATTAATAGAAATTTCTTACTAAGTTATTTAACTCTTAACATAGGTAAAGTAATTCTTGGATAGCATAACTAAATGAAAAAAATAAAAATATGCTAAAAAGTTACGCAAGCTCTTAAAAAAATAATTAATCATTAAGCAATCTCAATTGCTCAATAATTGAAAGTGTAGATCAAGATTGTCAAATAAATGACAATTAACTGATTTTTAATGAGAATGCTTGATCTTAATGTAAAATTTATAAAAGATATCCCATATTGCTTTATTTTATATAAATAAATTCAAATACCCCCTCATTCAACAAAATTTACGTCTTCATCCTATTCCACATTATCCACTGGCTTCAACATCTCTTTAACGTGTTTAATGAGTGTATCATTTCTAGCTATGAGCTAATTGCTTTTCTAATTTAATTATTTTTTAAGATCTTGAATCACTTTCATATCTTTTGAAGACTTCACTCTCTCTTTAGATAATTGATCTGAAAGTACGTAAATTTGTTTCTCCAAATTTTCTTGGGGACCATGTTAAAATAATTTCTCATGAAGATATTCTATTTTTTCTTTCAGTTCTGTTAAGACCTTTTCAATTTATTTGCTTTCAAAGTAAGTAATTTTTATTTCTTTGCTGTTTAATAAATTGCTGTCTTCCAATGATTCACAATAATAATTTTCTTGTGATTTTTAAACCTCCTTTTAAGTTTCTAGTAACTTTTCATTATGAATTGCTTATAATTTCTTTCTTGCCCCTTGAAGTTATTACACAAGTATTTATATTTCACTTTATATTTTCTCTTCATCCAGATAGAGAAAAGAGTTTTCAATGATCTAATAATTTCCAGAATCGGTTATAGTAGTCTGCATTCTTAAAATATTAATATTAATATTGATTTTATTCCCAAGATAGGAATCATAAACCTGAATTTTTATATTTCTATTAAGCAGATAAAATTTATATTAAATTTTTCATATTATGAAGCTTATTGAAATCCATTCCCTATATAATCAGAATACAACCTATAATCTTAAGAAGAATTCAAAATATTAATTAAGGTAAAGATCTTAAAAAATTATTTCATCACAAGATTATAACTCTTGATTACATAAAATTATAATTTTAATAACAAGAATTGAAAATAGTCTACTTGATATCTGAAGGAAACATTATGCTTGGGTTTTAATTTTAGATACATAATTTATATGATAATTAAATATTATTAAGTAATATTTAATGGGCAATGGGTGTTCTGGTTAAAGAGAAATCACTGAAAGATCTGAAACTATGAGGCAATCTTCAATTACTTTAATCAAATTAATAGAATAAGATAAGCAAACCAGTCTAGTTCCTTCTAGTTAACTAACTTAAATGGAGATTCCAAATGCATTACTTCCTTCCCCATCTAGGTAGAGTATTTCATTTGAAGCTGTAATGACCTCAAAGGTTAGAGTGCCTTCCGAAGAGAGTTAGTTTCAGAATTAGTTTACGTAGATCAAAGAAGTCAAATTCACTAATAATTAACCACCTCGTCCGAAAATAAAGATTCCTAAAAGAGAGCATAAAAAATAGGAAATATTTGAAGTTGACCATAAGTATCACTCTTCAAGTCCAAAAAAATAAAAGCGATAAAAATCAACTTCGCCATTAGGAAATTCAAAATAATAATAACTTTATGACTGTAAGAAAACTAATAAAAGCAACAGAAAGAAATCAACATCAAGTTAGTAGAAGTAATTTAATGAAATTGAGATCATTTCAAGAAGAAAATATTCTGATCTTCCTACTAAAACTGAAAAGACTTAGGTAAGAAGGAAGATTAGTAATTCAATAGACGATCATAATTTCATTATTGGAGCTGATTGTATTTCTAAGATAAAATCTTTCACTCCAAGTCCAATTTTGAAAAGAAAGGAGTCTGATTGCGAGACTAATTCTTTTTAGAAAAAAATGGTACGATTCAAGGATATCAATTATAGAAGACCGGGCTTTGTTAATTGATTTTATAACTTAAAATATTAAATAGTTAATTTTCTTCGATTAAGAAACAATCAATAATTATTTCAAAGTAATTGTTCCAATTATCCATAATTCATTTATCCAGGCTTTCTTTCTATTAGTAATTCAGGGGAGGAGGCTTTTTAGAATTGTTTATAGTCTGACCAATTTTCTAGAGTTTTCGAAATCAGTTATTAGTACCCATAGAGACCAAATAGAATGAAGGAAGGCATTTAAAGCTAAGGTATATATGATCAAATAATTTACTTCTTCAGGCAATAATGAATCTTTTTGACCTGAAATAGACTTAAAATTTTATTTAATTTCATTTATACTTTATTTTAAGTATTGTAATGCAACCTTATAGAAGGATTCGTTTTCTGTGATGTCATTATTGCAAAGAGTACCAATCAATTGATCTTTTTAGAATTCTTTAATATGAATTAGAAAAGATACCATTCTTGGATGCAAGTTTCAAAATCTTCTCAAAATGCCTCATGTATTTGTCATTGTATTCAGAGATAGCTTAACTAAATTTGCTATGAGATTCACTCTTCTTGTATCCTTCAAAATCATCTAACTAAAAGATATTAACCTATTTGTTTTCCTTATCCAAAATGGTTGCCAATTTATTAATTTTAATTGCAATATTTTTACCCATCAAAAATAGTAATTTATCTCTAATTTCAATAGAAAATATTTTGCAACTAGCAAGATTTTGTGAAAATTTGTATAAGAATCTACAAAAATTGATTTAACTAAATAGAACTTCATTATTTGATTTGAATTCCAAACTAATGGTTTTTTATTTTTAAACAGGAGGTTGTTCTTCAAAAGCACTAGTCTTTGTAATTTTTTATGGTTGAAGTGCCTACTATTAACTAGATGATCTCTAAATTTGTTCTTATAATTTCTTCTGTTTGGCTTCATGTTATTTTTTCTTATCTTCAATTTATTAAGTCTTATATTCTTTGGCTGGAGCCTCTTTGACTCCTTGACTCTGAGATCGCTTAAACTTTTATATTTAGGAGGGTTCAGTGGGAATATTTAAATTCGAAATCTCTTCGAAGGGTTTTCGAGCCGGAGCCCTTTCAACAGGCGTTAAGGCTCTCTATTCCATTATTTCATGATGAACCATATCTTTGACTCGTAATCTTTTGTTTTCATCAACAGAGAGACATTTCCTTATGAAATCTTTGGCCTTGTCTGAAACAGAAGGAGAGGAGGGAATTACTAAAGACTAGTGCATAATGTTGGATATCAAGGCAGCTTCTGAAGAGGCATTATATGGTGTTCTGCCTAGGAATTAGGTTAAGTTCATTACCATACAGCATTTCGAAGAAGACAACACCAATAGCCCAAACATCTCCTTTTTCAGTGTGACCTTGTTGTCTCAATGCTTGGGGAGACATATAAAGGGGAGTTCCTACATTGAAATTCTTCCCTTACAATCTGGCTTCATGAGCTGGCACAGCAAATCCAAAGTCAGCTAGTTTTGGAAGATTCTTATCAATAAGAATGTTTGCTGGCTTGATGTCTCTATGAATGTATCCCTTCTGATTCATTTCATTGACAGCACTCACGACTGATTGCAAGATTCGGATTGCTTCGTTTTCGTCTATTCTGCCCTTCTTCTTGATATAATTGTTGAGATCTCCCTGAAGTACATATTACAATTAGAATTACCGAATCACAAAACTCAGTTATGATGTAAGTATTATTCTATGTTTAAAAGACATCGCACAATTTCATTATATTTTTACTATTGAATGCCTTCAAAGCATTTATTTCATTTTTCAGTAGTTGTGCATGAATCGATTGTTTAACCATCTTCATGTCAATTACCTTGATATAGAATCACTTCTTACTTTGACTGCTACTGGTTCAAGTGTGTTTTCATCTCTTCCTTTATAAACGCGGCTACTGAAGCCTCTGCCAATTTCATCATTGATTGCATAACTATAATGATCAATGGCCTTTCTAGTTTCACTCCCTCCTTTATTATGAGCTTGAGTAGATGACACTGAATACCACGATTTTGAGGGTAAGTGGGTAAATGAGGACGAGTATGGAACATTTTTGTATTTTGAAATAATAAAATTAACGATTAATTAATGACTGGTGATCGTAATATTAATCGAAAACATGTCAATTACAGAAAGGCAGGAAAAATCAAGAAGAAACTTCACAAATAACAAATAAAAAAGGCTGCTCTCTCTAACAAGACTGCTTAACCAAAGAGCATAGAAGACATGACTAAGAAAGATCGTAGAGAACTTGTCAAAAAATAAAAAAAATAGGATAAGAAATAGAAAAAGCGAGAATTAAAAGAGGCTGCTGCCAAAGAAATAGAAGAGGAGTTATGATAATATATATAACATTTCTGTATAAACTAAATATCATCTGCTAATCTATTCTTTCTAATCTAAACTGTACACATCTTACTTTCATTATACCTAATACCTCTAAACTAATCACAGTATGTCTATTATTAAGTTGTCTATTATTAAGTTCATAGATACTTTAGCAAATCAAGAATAATGGCCATACAATAAATATATTACATGTGTGTCAGATCCATTTTAAAATTGTTCTACCCACTATCTTTTACTTATACCTAACACAAAATAGAATAGTCACAAACATCAGATAAAATTTAAAGCAGATCAATATTCATCATTTTTTATATCAAAGAATGAAAAAGTGTAGGGTTATTCAATCAATTTTAGATATTATAGATTTCCTAGAGTAATGCACAGTTTATGCACAGTTAATTATAAATAACAACCATAAGTCCAACTTTTAGATTAATTTCTAGATTATACACAAAAATATTAATTTTTTATAAAAGACTGACCAAAATCAAATAGTTATTAAGTATAAAAAAGATTATCAAACATAAATTTAAGAGTAAAGAGGGACGCTTTGTATAGCCATACATGTGTTATTAATTAATATTATAAATGATAATTGATAGATCTAACCTGAATATTATTAAGGTGTTAAAAATATTAATATAAGCTATATTAAACTTTAAAATTTTTGTTAAAGTATTAACTTAATTATGTGTATTTAAAAAATTATGATTGATTTCACAAATAAAAATAGATACAAAAATAAGAAGTTACAAATGTTTAGTTAACAAATCAATTATTGAACTATTTGATATTTTTTAATTTGATATTATAAATAAGTAATTTGTTGATAATTATAAATCTCAGGAAAAAGTAATTTTTTTATTAATATTTTCTTTTTCTACACTATCTTATTTAGATTTTTTGATAGTTAATTATACAGACCATTTCTTTTTCTCTGAAGATTAACCTGATTCTAAAACTTAAGAATTTTTGTCTTTCAGGTCTACAGTGTTAAATGTTATGTTATACTTTATAAAGTTAGTTAAGTTCTAATTCTGTTTAACTAAATGAGTAGGTATTTTTTAATAGGTAAACCTTATTGCTGAGCTGCATACTACAATTTGAATTTAAGGAATTGCAGGGCTGAAAATTCAATTTATGGAAGATCTCTGGATTTAAGAATCCAATTGCAAAGTAAAATGAAAGCGCTCAGTTTTCTAAATGAGAGAAACACAACAGAAAGCTATTTCTTTTTGTGAGTAATTGTCAACAAATATTCCGGGTAAAGATCATATTTTTTGAGTGCTTTCATAATTTTATCATCAGATTGTTGGTATTGAAATGAAATTTCATTTATTGGTACTAAAAAATTGGATTGCGATACTTTTTTTGAAATTTTTTGTCAAAGGAGCATCAGAATATCTGATTTCAGAATAGTTATCATTGATCCAGATATATCTTGTAACTAATTTTTTATCAGTTTAATTAATTTTTAGTATCTCTTGCCTATTACAAATAAATTGTTAGATAGCCTATTGTAATTTGATTTCATAATTTTTGATTGCATAATCTAACCGATTAATAAATAACTTGTTAAAATAGTTTAACACTATTTTATCATTAATCACCAACTTTTCTTATTTGTATTAGACTTTAGTATGATTATCAATTGGTGTTCTAGAAATGACAAGATTTCTCTAATAAAGAATGAAAGCAATTTTACTTAATTCAATTCAACTAAATCTCCTTTCATGGTAATGAACATAGTTAACTGAAAATTTTTTATGTATTTATAAATTAATAATTAATCTAAACGACATGATATCAAAATTATTGTCAATACTATTTGGAACAATAAGCACAATGATAATAGGTTTCTATTGGTACTCTGTTATATTTCGAGATCGATACATGAAAGATGCTAATGTGAATTTAGAGAAAGAAAAATAAAAAAATTAAGAAAATAATCAACCACTTTTATTTGAATTAGCAGGAAGATTTTTATAGGCATGTTTAATAACAATCTTTTACAATCTGCTAAAAAATAAAGTAACATTAATGTATACAATTATAGGATGAACAAGATTTAATTTTGGCGCTTTCTTTAGCTGTGTTTTTCTGTATTGCATTTTAAGTGCAATATTACACATCTAAAGTTGTTTGGGAATAGAAGACTTGGAACTATTTTTTTATAAAGGTGTGTGAATAGTTTATTTCACTCTCCACACTTTCCATAATTGCATGCATTTTTGTAAAGTGAACTATGATTTAAAATTTCATATAGTTGAAATTCTATTTATGTTATATTATCTAATTTCTATCTGGATGCATAGACACAAATATTTTAGTCTGTTTTTATTTTCTATATTAATTTTTTTATATATTAATTATCATAACTATTTATCTGTATTTGTTATCAATGCGCCAAAATTACTTGTTTTCTTCTGGGCACATTATCAGGCACAGAACCAGGTTTTTAATTTGATGCCATATGTTAAGCCAACTCTGGTGGAACATTTTGTCCACTTTTAATCAAATACTCTTTTAGATCATAAAATAGATCCTAATCCTAATTAGTAAGAAATGTCACAGCTAGTCCTCGTTTACCTGCTCTACCTGTTCTTCCAGTTCTATGTATGAAATCCTTTTATTTTTATCAATATATTGTATACCTATATATTTTTGGGAGCATCGAAATTAATGACCATTTAAACTCCCTCTACATGCAAACCTCTAGATGCCAAATCGGTGGCAATTAGAATATCAATCTTTTTGGACTTGAACCCTTCTACTGCTGCTTCCCTTTGTTGTTAGGTTTTACTTCCATGATAAACCACAGAATTATACTAAAATATATGATCATTATTACTCCGTATTTTTCGAGGGTTTTGCTTAGTATTTCAACACTCTTCTTTTAATTTGCAAAGATAATGATTGGAGGTTTATTAGCTGCTAACATCTGCAATAATCGATTTCTAATATAGAGGGATATAAGTACTTTTTAGCTGCCTCATTAATCATTTCTATTTTTTATTCTATATCCTTCTTGCCCCCTCCTGGTTCACCAATACTAATAAAACAAAATGCTCTTAAATATCTTTTTGCCAATTTTTCTACTTGAGGAGGCATTGTGGCTGAAAATAAATGAGTCACTCTATATTACCTTTCTCCAGCTTAGGCCAACTTCTCTTCCAACTCAGCTGCTATTTCATCTTCCGATTTCATCTAAGTAGTAATTGAATCCAAGATATAATTCACATCTTATTCAAATCCTAGATCTATCATTTTATCTGCCTCATCTAATACAATCCATGAACATTATTCTAATACCAAATACTTCTTCATCAATAGATCCTTTATTCTACCTGGTGTTCCTATCAAAATTTCGATTCCTTTCTTCAAATGAAATTCTTATTCCTCTTCCTTCCTCCCTCCTACTATTACAAATGATCTTAAATTATATCCTTAAGATAACTTTTAGAATTCAGCCTCAATCTGAATAGCCAATTCTCTAGCTGGAGCCATTATCAATGCATATGGACCATCTTTACATATTTTATCATCCTATTTAGGGAGGGTAGATAAATAAGTGATTAATGGAATTAGAAATGCAGCAGATTTACCACTTCCCGTCGGAGCAATGCCAATCATATCTTTGCGTTCTAACCCAATAGGAATTGTTTGCATTTAAATTGGAGTTGGTTTGACATAGTTTAAATTTCGAATAGAATTCATTAAATTCTTAGGCAATTATACTTCGTTCCATTCTCTAATGGGATTTGGAACACGACCTCCTTTGATTATGATATCCATATCTTCTCTGAATATTCTCCAATCTCTTGGTTGCATTTGAGTCAGAGATTTCTTACTCCAATGATCTGATGACAATAATTGATCCGCATTTTTGTCCTCTTGTACTTTCGAATGTAAACCGCTTGCATTTATTCTATTCTTGTAGATTGGATTAGTATCTATGGAAGTATCTTCAGTGGCATCCCATTCAAAATTGAATATGTTTTTAAACTTCTCAGAAGGCTTTAAGATCTTTTTCTTCTATTTATTTAATCCCAAATATTGCATTTTTATGTTCATGAGCTCTTAATTTTCTCCGTCCATCTTCACGGGAACTGTTGCTCTAGTATTCGAAGTTATATAACGATTATTATTCTTCTCCTTGCTTTTCGATCTGCTTCTACTTTTGGATCTTTTCTTCTCTAAAATTTATCTAACTTTTTGATCATCACCTAAGAAATTTGACCTCAACTTACTTCTAAAATGTATATATTCTTTACGAATCTAAGCTATCTATTATTGTTTCTCTAATTATTGTTTATGTTGCTCTTCTTCCAATTTTTACTTTTATTCTTCTCTTTCTTATTTAGAGAGGAACTGAGGCTTAAAAGTAGACTTTCCATTTTGTATCAATGAATTATTATGCTCTTATTATTCTTCAGCTAGTTCTTCAGCAGCAATCATTTTTTGTTTTTATAAATAAATTTATATTATATTTTGATGTGATTATTCTTACATGTATTTTTAATTTTGAATTCTAATTGTTTGGAATATATTAGACTTTAGAGATTCCAAAAATGATGCTAAAAATATATAATAATAATTCAAATTTATTTTTTTAATATTCTAAATGAGGTACATTATAAAAGGTAGAAGTCTCTTTTTAAATCAAACTAGGTGGTGTTTGGAAGAATAGTGAGGATGAAATTCTTAAAGCTGCTGTCATGAAGTATGGCCTCAATCAATGGTCACGTATTTCATCATTGCTGGTTCGAAAATCAGCCAAGTAATGTAAACAGCGTTGGTACGAATGGCTTGATCCCTCAATCAAGAAGACAGAGTGGACTAGAGAAGAGCAAGAGAAAGTCCTTCATCTTGCCAAGATATTTCCAAGTCAATGGAGGACCATCGCACCTATAGTTGATCGTACTCCCATGCAATGTGTTGAGTAGTATGAAAAACTACTGGATCTGGTATGAATTTGATTTCATTGTAATTTAGGCTCAAGGCAAGGATCTAAATGACCCAAATGATCCCAGAAGATTGAGACCAGGAGAAATAGATCCAAATCCAGAAACTAAGGCTGCCAGACCAGATCCTATTGATATGGATGAGGATGAGAAGGAAATGTTGGCAGAAGCTAGAGTCAGACTGGCTAACACCAAAGGTAAGAAGGCCAAGAGAAAGGCAAGAGGAAAGTTGATTGAAGAAGCTAGAAGACTCGCTTTATTATAAAAGAAAAGAGAATTAAAGGCTGCAGGAATTCAATATATAAATCACAGAATTGAGAAACATCATATCAAATTGCAAGATCGAAAATACAAAGGTATCAATTACAATAGAGAATTGGCCTTTGAAAGAACGGTTCCTGATTTCGTACATGAAACCACTGGAGAAGAACCAGAACCTGATAAAAAGATTTCAAATGTCAGTCTTTAAGCATTGGAAGGGTAGAGAAGAGATGAAGAAGAAGAAATTAGAAGGAAGATTGATTAAAGAAGAATCAAGAAATTGAAAGAGAGAGAGCTAGATTAAGCTGTTACATTCTAAAATAAATACTAAGTTAGATTCACTCCTTAAACTAAATTATAATTGCCATAACCATAATTGAAGGATCAAGATCTAGAATTATTGGGTAAGATCAATGCAGTCAATGAAATATCTGAACACACTACCTCTGCTACTAGAGCACTTGTAGGCAACTATTCAACAAGAGATTAGAGCTAATCAAACATGAGAACTCCTAGAGCACCTAATACAGTTTTAAGAGAAGCTCAAAATATTATTGCCTTATAACACACAGAAACTCCTCTTGTTGGAGGAATGAACAATCCTATTGATATCAGCAAGAATATTGGAAATTAAACTCCAAATCAATTGGCTAGCTTATTAAAGGAGACTCCTAGACGATAAGTTGAAGCATCAAATGATGCCTTTGGAATTAATATAGAAGAATATGAGAGAGCATGGGAAGAACCAAGCCAAAGTGTAGCCTATGTCAATGCTGAATAAGAAAGATAATAACAATTAAAGAATGAGTAGAAGTTGAAAGAAATGATCAAGCAGAAGTTAAAATCATTGCCAAAACCAAAGAATGAATTCACTATTGAAATTCCTAAAGTTGACAATGAAGAGCAAAAAGAAATGGAGTTGTATGATATCATGTTTATTTTCTAGGGAAATGGATGCTGAAGACAAACTCAAAATCTTGAAACAAAAGAAATTGATTGACTAATAGAAAAAATTCAGACAAAAAACTTAGGCTCACTAAAAGAATTTACCAACACCAAAAGAATTGCCCTCAGTTTCAATATACGAATAAACTTAAGATTAATTTAGAAATGATATAGAAGATATCCTCAATTACACAGTGATTCAATTGATCAAAGAGGATATTTATGACAATTCAAATGGATTGGGAGATGTTTCTGTTGCTAAGGAATTATTGTAAGATGAAAGGCTAAAATTGTTGGGAGATTAGAATTTGGATGAAATTGATTAGATCTGGAATAGAGTTAGATAATAATTATATTTTGATTATGAGGAAAATAAGTTCATCAACATTGAGAGAATAGATGAAGAAGTGAGGATGGCTATTCTTATTGAATATTTCAGAAGAACAAGAGTATAGTATGAGAAATTAAATAAAAAATAATAATTCTTTGCCAATAGAATTGCTAAATTAATGAAAGGGTATGAGATGAGAAATGCCCAATTAGAGAAGGAAATTTCATAATTGAATGATAAAATAAGTGAAATCGAATTGAACAAGGAAGTGTATTCATAAGCTTTGAATCACGAGAGACACATATATAGAGATAGAGTTTAAGAAGTAGTTAAATATCATGACATGTTGTAAGTGAAGAGTAATGAGTTGTAAGATAAATATTAATATTTGACTAAATAACTATAGGAATTAGAATAAGAATAAGAAATTTTAGCGTGAAATATATTATTATTAATATGTTATTATTTTTAATTTAAGTAGCATAAGCCATTACTTTCTCAAGAGATGTAGCATCTTAAATTTTTGAGTCTGGCAAGCCGGCATTGATACTGTTTTATGAAAACTCACATTAAGACCAATTGAATGAATTTAAGAAAGTTAAAAATGAAGAATTATTATTGGTTGAAGCAAACAACTCAGATAAATCTGTGAACAAATTAATCTAAATACTTGAAATCCATCAATTGCCAGCTATAAAGCTATTGAAATGCGAGGGTAAAACCTGGCAAGATGTCTAAACTATTAATTATGATGATCAAATCCTTAATGAAAAATTGAATAAATTTATTGCAAGATATTAAGATGGCTAATTGTTTTACGATATTCAAAGTGAAGATGTACCAGGAAGATAAATGGAAGAAGGCATAGAGATTGTTGTTGGCCATAATTACGAAGAGCACGTTCAGGACACAAATAGACATTATTTGATTTATTTTTATTCTTAGGATTGTGATCTTTGTTAATCCATGCTTTAGAACTTAGTGAGACTCAATAATCAAGTGAGGACAGGAAAGACTTCAATAAAGCCAAATCAAATGAGAATTGGTAAAATAAATGGGGAATTGAATAAAATTCATGGACTTAAAGTAAATAAGTACCCCTCTTTATATTTATATAAAATGAATGATAAGACCCCTATAGAGTACAAAGGAGATCGAACTAGTGAAGGAATGTTAATGTGGATAGAGAATATGAATAAATGATATATTTATTTATCAATTAAAATGGCTAGCAAATCTCAACCTCCTATTCAAGAGAAGACTTTTCATGAATGGTCCAAGAATAACTTTTATAGGACAAGTTATATCAATCACTACACACAAGTAAATGAGTAAGCTTAATTATTCAGTTGCCTTAAGAGCCTAAGAATTCAGCTGTGCCTGGATATGCAGGATATGTGCCATATGTTCAATCAGAAAATCTTTATGGAGAGAGATTCTCTGAAGTAGCAAGAAAGTCATTTGCAGATTCTAAATTGGGCAAGTTTAATAGATTGTCTTCCACAGGATTCAACTTCGATGCTAAAGAATTGATTGATCCTCATAAGGAGGCTTATTCACACAAATATGGATGTCAAACCATTCTTAAAAACCATCCTTGCACTCACATTGATAAAATGATCACATCTTATCAAGACGGTTTCAAGAAGCCTTAAAATCTTGTAGCTCCAACGTAAGAAATTTAGAAATTAATCGAGATTTCGAAAGACTGACAGATATTTGGAAACCGCATAAGCCTAAACAAAAACTTCAGGTTTCTAGAAGAATCATATGCAATTTGATGGATCAGGTTGGATTCCTCATGAAAATATGAATGGTCATAAATTTATTTTTATTATAAGGTGACTAAATAAGAACTGAGTATCGTATCTAATACAATTAAGAAAAACCTTTCCATAGGAATCCCATGCAATTCAAATTGAGAAAGATGAAATAAACAGAAATGAATTATAAGCATACCTGATTTAATAACATATTTAAAGATTTACATTTGGTCTAAGATTAAATGTATTTTACAATATATAATCTATAAAATAATAAGCTATCTTATGCAATAATATATGAAGATCTAAATTTCATCTGAATCTCACTTTAGACAATAGATAATCACACAAGGTGATTGGAGAATCTTTTTTCATATCCTCCAATTTTACCCATTTAGTATATTCATCTTTTATCAAAAAGTTGATATCCCCATTAAATCTTTTAATGCTCAAAATTGTACACTCTTTATTCTGTCTTGGTAGATGAGGTTGTATCGTAAATTTCTATAGCAAGTATTAATTAAGTTTAGATTCTAGAGTTTATGGTATAATATCTTAAGGTAAAACTGCATTAGTTTGGTTATTACTTTGCTAGAAAGACTCACCTGGAACCTTCTGAATTGACTTAGGCGTCTCTTACATTTTGAGCAAAGATATTTGGTTGATTTCTGTGGCATCTTTTTATGGAAGAGTAGGGAATTAACTTGAAGTGAAGGTTTCTGTTTGATTTAGTTTCACCTTCTTCTGGGTTTCATAGTATTAGTTCAGTTCATATTGATGCACAAGTTCTAACAATTAAGGTGTCAATTGACTCATGGGTTCAATTGAGATGGTTCCATTGTTCCACTTAAATTTATAGGAAATAGTATTATCTTGCACCTTCTTTTTTATTAATTCTATTGGGAATTTAGTGTTGTTCATTCTTATGATTATTATTTTAAAGGAAGTAGAAGTTTAGGAAATGGAGATTGGGATGATTTTTGGCATCCTTTTTTGAATTGCAGTAATACATAATTGAATTGTGGTATAGGATAATCAAATATTGTTAATGAAATAATTAAATGTTATAATAATCAGATAAGGACTTCACTCTTGAATAGGTGGTGGGTACAGGAACCTTTGGAATGGTGTACTTGGTAAATTTGTTTAGGAATCCAACTAGGCTACTGATAACAGGACCAAGGAGAAGGTAGCAATAAAGAAGGTGTACCAAGATCGTAGATATAAAAACAGAGAGCACCTTATCATTCAAGAATTGAATCATCCTTGCGTGGTAATGTTGAGACACTCCTTCTTCACGCCAGGGGAAAATGTATATCAATCACTCAATCATTCTTTAGCCATAAGATGTGTACCTAAATCTAGTTATGGAATATGTACCAGAGACACTTTCAAAAATGATTAGACAAATGCGTAAGTAGAAGTAATGCATTCCTGCTCCATTGATAAAGCTCTACAGTTATTAGATGATACGAGCTTTACTGTATTTGCAAGGTATTAGAGAAATATTTCATACTAGCGATTGGAATCTGTCACAGAGACATTAAACCTCAAAATATCTTGGTTAATTTGGAGACCAATGTTTTGAAAATCTGCGATTTCGGCTCTGCTAAACGACTTGTTGTCGGCGAACCCAATATTGCATACATATGTTCACGTTATTATCGAGCTCCTGAATTGATTTTCGGAGCCACAGATTACAATACCCAAATCGATATGTGGTCGATTGGTTGTGTGATTGCTGAAATGGTCATCCTTGAACCGATATTCCCTGGAGAGAGTGCTTAAGATTAATTGCTTTAAATTATCAAGATACTTGGCACTCCAACTCCAGATGACATCAATTAAATGAACCCTTCCAAGGCTGATGTCAGATTGCCCACGATTAGAGGGAATCCCTGGACCAGAGTATTTGCAAGACAAAAACCAGAACCACTCTTTCTAGATCTTATTACATAAATGCTCACGTATTTGTTATCAGTATATTTTAGGTATTCACCTAAAACAAGAATCCAACCAATTGATGCTCTTTTGCATCCATATTTTGATGACCTCAGAAAAGAAGGATTCTCTAATCAAAATTTTAAGACCCCCAATCTTTTCGACTTCAATAAATAAGAACTAACCATCAAACCAGAACTCTATTCTAAATTAGTTCCACAATGGTTTTAAAAGCTAAATAAATGATGAAGATTCTTCAAAACAATATTATATATGTCATTTTATCTTCTTACAATGATTTTTTCATACTCTTTTTTGCATTTGCAATTATGTGAATAAAAATTTTCAATAAAAATTTATTATTATTTTTAATAATGTTAGACCCATTTAGAATGGCAACTGTCCGTAGATAATCAGAATTAATTAAATCCAACAATCAATTGATAGACCAACAACCCAGAGGTAGATAATAATGCGCCAAATCCAATCAACATTTAACAGACATAGTCAACTAATGCATTCAACGTTCATAACATTCAATAGATGCGCTCTAATAAATCAGAGCCAGATCTAAAGACAGAAGAAGTTCCTATAAGAAAACTACCAGATAATCCACTATTAGCAGTTTTAAAGGATAAACATCCCCTAGTTTTAGACAGGACGATCAATCTGTCACATCATCAATCCAAGAATCTTAATAAAGTTAATAACCAGTGAGATTGTTTAGTTTTATTGAAAATGAGCCTAGTTTCAGAGCAAAAGACATGCCCTTACAAATTAATAAATCAAGTTTAGAAGCAAAGAAGAAACCACTCATTTAACTTAAAGAAAATTAGAGAAGACTCACTAATATTGATCAATTATTTTAAGAAGCTTTACGTAAGAGTTAATAAATCACAGAAAAGTTTTATTAGTGAATACTTATAACTATATATAAATAAATAACTATTACTTTAAGCCAAACTTATTTAATTTTTATGACTTTTTAAGAAATTATATGTTTTTATTTACACTATAAAAAGTCTTGAGATTTGCTTCTTTTGTCTTCTAATTGGATTCTAAATTCACATTTTGAAAGTTAAATTTCATTAAAAGGAGATATTAATAGTCTTACTAAATGAGATTTATTAGAATTCTGATTAACTGAAAAGAAAACAACATGATTTGATATAACTAAGAATATCCATCTAATTAAAAATACAAAACTATAAGTTAAATTTATAATGTAAATCAAGTGAAAAAATACTAATAAATTTTATCATCAAATTTGCTAGTATTTTTTGGGTATTACTTTATAATGTTTAAGATAATTAAAACTTAGAAAATAGTTCTTATATATTATTTCAGTGTATGGAGTGAATATAAATTTTGTTATCAAATTATTTTGATGATTAATTTACTTTTCATTAATTTAATTAAATTCATTAAATATGAAAAATAAAGGAAATTGAATTAATAATGTATAACTTATAAAATTAATATCAAAAAATTATCATTTATTAGATATCTTATGTTGGTTGTGTTTCCTTTAATTAATATGATTCTATGATATTTATACTTTATCATTATAATCCAATTTTGCTTGACTCAAATTATGATTGTAAGTGATCATGTACTTATTTGATGGTTATGAATCCCAATCCAAAGATTCTTTCTTAACAGGTGATTAAATGGTAAAAATCTATTTAATTTCTTAATCGGCTAAGAAATCATCAGGATCATATGGTATTAGATCTTTATTTATATATGGTTAAGACAATGATGAATAGCTCTTGTAATTATTTTATTGAAGACTTTGACTTCTTAGATTGTTGTGATAATATTTGGGCTATTGTAGATTAATCTGAGAGTTCATTTCAGCCAGCTTAGGTAATAACATGTTAGAATTGTGTTTGACTTGTTTAGCGGATTCTATATTTTATTTAGCCCAATATGATTTATCAATTATTTTTTGTTATTATGAATAAAATTATGACTATTTTGGATCCACAACATCTTTTGGCTAGTAATTGCATATTGGATTATTGCCTTAAAGTTTTTTTTCAGTTGATATCAACCAAAAATTGTTGTTGAGATATAAGTCAGCATTTTATCTATATGCCTAGATGTCATTTTGCTGAAGATCATTTAGTTTTTGCTTTTTTGGATCATTTTGTTTATTTGTAATTACTGATAAATCCTGTAGATTTAGTGTATTATTACCATTTTTGAACTATTCAATGTCATTATCCTTTTCTTTGATTATTCTTTCTAAATCTGTGATTCTGTCATTCATTTGCTAGAGCTTGATTTCATAGTTCCTTTGAAGTTGAGTGATTTATTGATCTTTTTCAATTTACTGTTTTTTTAATAATTTAACTTCTTCTTGTAGGTTGAGAATCAATTAATCTTTAGCAATTAGTGAAGCCTAGAGTAAACTAATTTTCATGGATGTTAATGTTTTGGAAGATTTGGAAGAATTGTATGACATTTGTGTTTACTTCTTTAAATCGAGATCATTTAATTGAGCGTCTTAATCTTTGGATTCTAATTTAAACTACTTCTCGTTGTTGAATTGATTTAATTATTGAATGGACTTTCTTTGAATGGTTTTATTTGTGGATGTCTGAAAATTAGATTCTGTTCGAGATGGTGTAGGTATATTATTTAATAGCAATCTGTTTTGTAATGAGTCTGAATCCTCTTCTAATTCACCATATTCATTGTTTTCAGATTGTTATTCATTTTATATTTCTGAATTATTCATCATTTATAATAATTTTATATTGTCCTAAAATCCCTTGCAAGATGATCTATAATGAATGTAGGGTAGATAATGAAATTAATAATGGATGAAAAGAGATTTAAAATTTAAGTAAATCAAATATTAAATCATAAGACGAAAGATTTCATGCTTTAGGTTTTCTAAAACTGCTGTATATAACTTTTTGTTTTTTATCGAAGGTGACTTTTTTAATTGATCTCTGGGATCCCGCAGACTCATTGTCTTTTTGTGCGTTATTCGAACTAGAAGAATTCGATCCAGCCATCACTTTGTTTTTTAGAATGGACTTGTGCTTGACTATATATAATAAATAATAAGATAATATACGTTCTTGCAATCCACTGTTGGAATCATCTTTAGAACTGTTAAGAAGATCTAATTGATCATTACAACCTTGAGTGCAATTAATGTCTGAGGGGTCTGGTTTCTTCTGGTTGAATTCTTATCTGGTTAGGGTAATGTCTGAAGAATTTTGCTTAGGTAAAGAATTCATTCGTTCTTTTTCGATCCAATTATTTTCTTCAGGGAACAGTAAATTGATTATTGGCTAGGGTTTTTGTATTTGAGGAGGTTTGTAGATGTTAACTTAGACTATCTTGTTGAGATTAATTTGACCGTCTTTTGACTCTTAGATATTCTGACAAATTTGAGAACCCATTGTAATTGTTATATCTTGGGTAATTAAGAAAGATGATAATAATAATTTGAGTGGAAATATTTTAGAGATTAAGAACTAACAATATTTTATCTAGAACAAAATACTTAAGAATTTTATTCAGAATTTAATCATAAATAATTGTATGAAGTCTTCATTGACATTTGATTTGATATTTAAATTTCTACGTAAAATTGTTGGACAATAAATGTAATTAAAACAAAAATAAATTAAAAACGATTTAATTATCACGCAACTATCTAAAATTTTTAAAGTTTAGAAATGTGAATTTTTTAACGTAGATTAAATAATGATTTCGCTTTATCACACCATACAGTAGATGGAATAATACCTTTGCTAATAATCTTCTTTTTTTGAAGTTACTCCTTCGTTGTTTTCCCATTGTAAGCCAAACAAATGTGGAAACAAACAAACACTAAAATACATAGAGTCAATAATATCGTTGGTATTCCCAAAGCGAATAACACTATCACTAAAATAGTCTAATTCTAAATCACTTTCCATTTATATATATATAATTACATATGCCATCCTTTCCTGAAATACCCTCTCCAAAGTTCCCTATAAACAAGATCAAAAATCCTCCCAATTCACCTATGGCCAATAGGAGCAATGAAATCAGAAAAGCTATAAAGAATCGATAATTCCTCTGTCCTATACAGTTGTTTACAAACGGACAATGATGGTCAAACACTTAGACACAATTCCCACAATCTTTGCAATGAGAACATCTTAAGGGCTTCACTATTAAACAGGTAGAACATATTCTTTGTTCCTGATTTTAATATTTCTTCTTCCTTTTGTCTGGACATCCACCTGTTCCTTCTATTTTTGCTTCTTCTTTACTAATAAAGTGAGTGTTCTGATCTGATAATTCCAATATAGATTTCCTTGGTATTATTCCTGGATCGGAAAACTATTTAAAATATAATTATATAAATTACTTAAGTTAACACTAAAAATAGTATTGTACTTAAGAATAAATAAATTACAATTAAAACATAAAGCCAATGCAATTTTTACCAAACATAGGGAGCAACGATAACAAAAAAACAGGTACTTATACCTATTATCATTATCCAAGTGAACATATTGTGGTATCTATCACCTTTAGGTCCTGTCATGAATCTCCCATAACAAAAGATCTAATTGAATGATGGCCAGAATTCATACAAAAATCTGAAGCTGACTCTTTAAATAAATTAGCATACTTGTTTTTCTCCGATTTTGGTTCAAATGGGAATAATTCTAAATCAGCAGGCTAAAATCCTTTCAAATCAACTTTATTACCAAAGGGTGGTGTTACATCATTTATATGTTCTGACATCCCATTTAAAGATGAGGCAACAGAATTGCTCTTATTTTTTGAGAACTCTAAGTTCCCATTAAAATCAGCACTTTATTTCGATTAATTGTACAATCCATCAGATGCCGCATCCTCTTTCAGCTTACATCCTGAGTTTTGATATTTACTATTCATAAATTTATAATATAAGTATTTATTATTAAACTTTCTACTCATTAATCGTTTTTAAACTCACAAATCAGAAATTAGAACAATTAATGAACAATAAATACAATTAATTATTTATTCTTAAAAACTCAACCACTCGATTCTACACTGCAATCCCGCAATTAAACCTCTCTCCATGTAAGGAACACTTCAAAATTAACTAAATTCATATAACACAAACTCCCTTTATCACACTAAAGAATACTCTATCTTGAGACACATACTTGTTCATCCGCATATCTTCATAAAGAATATTCTATTTGATACTAAAGATTTATCGATTCTCTTTGCTTATAATCTAATTAACAAACAGAAATATTCGTTTATTATTAAACTCTTAAATCAGAATGATTTTAAGGATTCCTGGGAGATAATTCTATTTCAAATTACATCCTTAAGCTGTATATGAATAGAATAGTCTTAAATTGGGGTGTTATGGAATAGGTTAATCCTTGTTATTCTTGATCTTTTAACTGCAATTTTCATTTTAATTTGCATGATATCCTTAGAGGAACGGGTAATTAACAGAGCACAAGTTAAATTGTTTAGTTTTCTGATGAATAGAGAGAAAACTAATATAGTTGAGTAAATTATTAAAGAATAATTGTGATAACTTAAATTTGAGTCTTAATTAAAATATTTGACTTGAAATAATTTATTATGAGTAAGTAATATAACAAGAGAGGCAAATATTAGCCTCGTAAAGAAGTATATGAATACGTAACAAAGGAGGAGTATGATCAATAGTAAACATAGTAAAGTAAGGAATAATAGCCTAAAGAACATAATCCTCAAAATAAATTATAATAGTTTAAAAAAAACTAATAAGAATACTCGAAGCAAGAATAGTCTCAGTAATTGCAGAATTAAAATAACTAGTATCAGAAATAAAATAATTAGAAGGACAATCGAAATTTTTAAAAAAGATTTTAATAGAATCTTGAATTAGATGATTAAAGAAGGAATGATGAAGAAGGTATTCTAATATAGTGATATGTAGATATTGAAAATTTTGATATAACAAAAGTAAAATAGAAAGAATTGACATCAACCTTAATAAAAATGCTGAAGTACAGAAAAATAGAATGTCCAGTATGCTATGATAAAATTCATCCATAATAGAAGATATGGAGTTGTACTTAGTGTTATTCTCCTTTCCATTTGAATTGTATGCATAAATGGATAAAGAATTTAAATCCAAAAAATATAAATGAATAATATTGTTGGAGTTGTCCAAAATGCAATTTATTGATATAAGATCAGCTACCAGAATATAAATGCTTCTGTGGAAAACAAGTAGATCCAGATGCAGATTTCTATTCTGTTCCCCACTCATGTTCATAGAAATGTTAAAAGAAGAGGGGATAAAATTGTCCCCATCCTTGTCCAATGGATTGTCATCCTGGACCATGTCCTGATTGTCTTTTGTAAGGAATTGAAATCAAGTGTTTTTGTGGCAAGAAGAGTAAGTAATTGTAATGCAGTGAGATAAAAAAGGATTTTTCATGCGGTTAACCATGTGGTAAAATGTTGAATTGCACAAATCACTTTTGCCAAAAACCAGTAATTTATAATATAATAATATTAGTGTCATAATGGAAATTGTTAGCCTTGTATTGAGACTCATGAAGTATAATGTTATTGTGGAAGTCAAAAGGAGACTATCAATTGTGCGTAGAATTCATATTCATGTGGTAAAATATGTGGGTAAGTACTTGACTGTGGTCAACATTAATGTTTAGAGTAATGCCATCAAAAATGCTAACCATGCAAATTAAAACCAGAATTAGTAATATATTGTGCTTGTGGGAAATTTAAAATAAATGATTTAATCAAAGATTACAGAAAATCCTGTTTAGATCCAATCCCTAATTGTGGAACTCCAATAGAAACCACCCTTACATGTGGACATAAAAGTAGAACCATCTGTGGATCAGACTATCCTGAATGTGTATAAAAAGTGAAAGAGAAATGTAGATGTGGAGATTCTACTAGAATAAAGTTATGCAACGATAAATCAACATTTGTGTGTGATGATGTATGCAAAAAAAGAAAATCTTGTGGAGTTCATTTCTGCTAAAAGGAGTGTTGTCCACCTGGAGATTAAGATGCTCATTTATGTTTGAAAGTATGTAATAAACAACTTCCATGTGGTCAACATAAATGTGATTAATTTTGCCATATTGGTGCATGTAAACCATGTCCAATAATTATCAATCAACCTCTCTATTGTCCTTGTGGCAAAAGTGTTAAAAATCCTCCCATGAAATGTGGCACTGCTCCTCCTTCATGTCTAGATGTGTGTAACAAAGTCTTAGAATGTGGACATATTTGCAAATCATTATGTCATCCAGGGCCATGTCCTAATTGCATGGAGTAAATCGAAAAATTATGTCGATGCAAATAAAATAAACCTTCAACCAATTGTTCAAAGTAAGCTGTCTGTAGAAGTGTTTGCAATAAAGTATTAAATTGCGGACATAAATGTCAAGAGATTTGCTAAGCTTAAGAGGAGTGCCAAGGAAATGGACCTGATGGTTGTGGTTAAAAATGTAATGCCAAAAAAATATGTAATCATTTATGCTTAGAAATTTGTCATCCAAATTAATCATGTCCCAAAAAACCTTGTAAAATCTAAGTTAGAGTAGTATGCAGTTGTGGTAATAGAGAGTCCTTTGTAGAATGTGGAGTTGTTGATGAACTAATTGAAAAATCATTGGAATGTGATTAAAAATGTTAAAATATCAAAAGATTTGGAGCATTTTATAAATCTAATTCTATGGTGGATACTGAAAAAACCTATTATTACCCAGATATCTTAATTAAATATACTCATTACAATTTATAGGAACTCTAAAAAATAGAGGATAAGATTTAGCATTTCTTTGGACATTCTAAAACAGGAGAAGCATTAGATTATTTAATCCCAAAATCAGAATGGTCTGACTTTTAGAAAACAGCCCTATATATTCTGTATTCCAGACATTATAAATTCGATACCTAAGTGTTCAAGACATAAAATACATAATATTTACTTAGACTTCATAAGACTTAATAAACTTGTATCCCTAAAATTAAGCTATCTGAATACTTTTTAAAAGTTCAAAAAGGTTTAATCAAAAGAGATCATTTGCCATTTAAGGCTAAAATCATAACCTAGCTTGAAGTTTCATCTACAGATGCTAATAATATTGAAAATGTCTTGTCAGAATTCAAAGGTGGTTTTTACTTTGAAAGGTAATCACAACAATTTTCAATAAACTTTTGGGAAGAGGCCCACACTGAATTGGCTCTAATAAAACTTAAAAACTCTGTTGAATTGCTTAATTTTAATTGGGTTTTAGAGATAAATCAATAATCTTTGGATGAATCAAAAAAGATTGTAGAACCTGCATTAAAGAATGAAGCTATTTCTAAACCAAAAAAAATGAATTAATATGAATACGAAAAAAAAACTCTTGACGTTTAATATTCATAATCGTAAAATGAAAATTTTACTAAACTACAAATGGAATATTCTTAAAAGGCCAAATTGAACAAAAAATGCGATAATGAAGAAATAGAAGAAAGAATTAAGAATTAACAGTTATCTATTTTTGAATAAGATGGATTTTATTAATATGAAATTAAGCCCATTAGAGAAAATATTATTAGAGCTTATAAGTAAGAGCAAAAACCATTTGTGCCTGAGTATGTGAGAACACCAGATACATTGTGTAAAACTGTTGATTTTCTCCTTCTAAACTTCTTGAATGCGGATGATCCTGATCCAGATTCAGATTTCAAGAAGCCTATGTAAGGGGGCAATCCAAGGGACATTGTGTATGAGGACATATATGAATTCATACATGATAGGTTAAAATAAATTCAAGTAGAATTGAATTACCTTCAATATGAGGATGAGAGCATTTATGGTATTAAATGTCATTAATTATTTTAGTTAAGATTATTAGGTTTTATATTTTGTCTCATTCTTAATTATTGGATAATTAAGAAAATCTTAAAACTTTATGTGAATTGTTATAGGCATTCAAAAATGAAGAGACATTATAATATACTTTAATATTATCTTGTTTCAAAGAAATTCCTGAATGTTCATAATTCTATTCTGAAATGTTAGGGATTAAAGAATAAGACAATTAGAGTCCTGTTATTTAATCCATGATATGCTTAGCTACTTAAGTTAATTCAAAATAATATCACAAATATTTTGATTTCTATCATAAGTTAGAAAACCTATTGATTAAATCATTAATGCATGGATTTCTCAATAAAATAATTATTTAAGTAAAAGAACAATTCTAACAAATTGCTTCAAGTTTAGAATAAAATTAAACATTTATATCGGTTAATAAACTATTAGAATAATTGCAAATAGAAGACAAGGATAATTTAATTTAATATTTAAATTAATTAGGCTTGGATCATCTGTAATTTTAAGTTTCACAATCTGACTCTGAATTTGAAGAAATAAATATCTCATAAATTTAATCACAGTTATAGAATATGAAGCCATATGATATTCTGGATCTTGATAGATTGGAATTGATAATGTGATGTGATTATTTTATAATTTTATTTGTCCAAAACTATTATATTAATAATATTATCCGTTTATTCTATTCATCAAAATGTATAATCAATATTTATTCATTTTTGTATTTTTAACATTGGCTATATGTGAGGGTGGATATCACAATATCAAAATAAAGGAATTTATGAGAGAGAATAACGAAATTTTTATATACATAAAGGAAATTTTAGAAGATGAAGTTGGACCAGAATATTTCCTGTGGAAGATAGAAAGTCTGTAATAGTAAATTGTTTCAGGAATCAATTAAAAGATGATTGTTGACTATTAAAAAAAGGATGACCCTAATCAGTACATTCAATTTGAGATCGTAATTTACGATTAGTAATACTTTAATAAGAATTGATTCAAGCCCATAGACTAACACAACAACAGTGACTGCTTTGGAATAGAAGAACCTTAGACTGGATGATAAGAAATCAAATAATTTCAAATATCATAGTTGGGTTGATCTAGATACAAAGCAGTTTAGCCGAATATGTCCTTAGATTTAAAAAATATTGCTTTCAAAGTTAATACAGAAATTTGATTTAGAAGAAAATACCTTTATAATAGAAATAAAATCAGTTAAAGAGCAATTTGTATCAGGAAAAACCTATTTAATCTTTACGTCCATATCGGATGGTAAATAATATAAGGGAACATTGTATGAAAAGTATTATGTTTGATCTAAATAAAGTCCATGGTCAAAGAAAATGGAAGTAGTAACAGTAGAGAAAGAGGAAGAAGTGTGATTCTTAAATTTATAATTAATAAATAATATATTTAAAGAGAATCCATATAATCAAAAACATTATTTAAAATTTCCTTTTTGCCTTAATGTCTCTCTATATTTTATAGGATAAATATTGTGATGAGATTATTCTTTCAATATCCTATTGAGTTTAAAATGATGTATGCTAAATCATAGAGATTTATTTCCAATGCAAAGAATTTTAAAACGAAAATATTAACTTATAATATAATAAAATTAAAAATAAATGAACTTTTTATTGTTGTCTATGATATGTGTCATTTCCGCATTTGACTTACCAGGAATTCAACAAAAGGTGTATTCTGAGGGAGAATAGATACCTGTTTTAATAAATGAGATGACTTCTGATTCTACTCAGCTTCCATATGATTATTATGATCTTGATATCTGCAAGCCAGAATCTACTGAAAATCAAAACTAAAATATTGGATCTATGATATTAGGCACTCTAACATAATAGTCTAAATATTAAGTAATAAAATAACTAATCTTTTAGATATTTATGAATTATGAATTAATCGATGAAATAATTTGTGCTAAAAACTTTACATAAACAGAGCAAAACAATTTAAAATGGTTCATTGACCACGACTATAGAGTCAATATGTAAATTGATGGCTTGCCAATAATATCAAGAGACTATTTGAACAATACTGTAATAGGAGTGCCCTTGGGGATTAGAAACATCAATTAGTATTCCTTTTACAATCATTACATTTTCAAGATAGAAATATATAGGACTTCTAAATCAGAAATCAATTAGACTTTTAGTATTAATTCCATAACTGTTGATTTTGAATCTAAGTGTATGGATAGTTCTGAAATAGATTCTGGAATCAATTGTCCAATCAATTAAATGATGAATATCACTTATTCTGTCAAATACATAATGAGTAACTCATCGAATAGATGGTCAGCCTATTTAAATATCGCCACTGATTCTGATTAGTAGTGGATATCTATTAGCATAACCTTTGCTGTATCTCTTTTCCTAACTCTTCTGATAGCTTGGTTTATAAGATTTACCATAAGAAGAGATGTGCTGAAATTCGAAGCCTTGCCTCAAGAAGAGAGTGATGTATTGATTGATTAAATGGGATGGAAATAGATTAGTAGAGATGTTTTTAGACCTCCATCAGGCATATTATTTTTGAGTGTTTTAATTGGTACTGGCATTCAATTTACCATTATGACTATATCCATTTTCTTTTTTTCATCAATAGGGTTCCTCTATTCTGCACATACAGGACATTTAGCAACAGTCGTGATTGTTGTTTATGTTTTTACTGGAAGTTTGAATGGATTTTATTCCTCCAAATTTTACAAGTATTTCAAAGGGGAATATTGGTTATTGTGTACAATGGGTAGCAATTTAGCATTCCCAGTCATGGCCCTATTTATCTTTGGTATTGAAAATATTGCACTGATGTTTGAGGAGTCTTCAAGTGGATTAGACTTTAAAACTGGTATTACCTTCATTGCCTTACAATTGGGTATTCAGACTCCTCTAAATCTACTTGGATCATTTATTGGATTTAAATTTGAATCTCCTAAAAATCCATGTAAATATGGGTAGATTGCTTAGGAAATTCCATCACAGCCTTTTTATTTGGATTATTTTTACAGTTGTTTGATTGGAGGACTTGTATGTTTTATGTAAGTTTGTTATTACTATTTAGATCCGTCGGTCTCGAGATTAGTTAAATAATGTAATTAATATGGAAGAATTCTTATTATGAATTCTTTGTTTCACTGTTTTTTACTGCAATTTTATTGATTATTATAAGTGCTGAGGTTTCAATCTTAACAGTTTATTTATTACTATAAAATTAAAACCATAGATGGTGGTGGAAAGCTTTCTTTGTACCTTTTACTTCAGGTGTATATTTATTTATATATTCAATCTAATATTATTTGGATTCCTTGCAATTTACAAGGTATTCATCATAAAATAATAAGATTTTCAACAATTTTGTATTATTTTGGTACTATGTACATGGCCTCTTTATGTTTGGGATTAATTTGTGGAACAGTGGGATTTTTAGCTAGTCACCTCTTTGTTAAAAAAATATATTCAATGATAAAATTAGATTGATCTGTGTAGATAATTATTTCATTTTATATAAAAATTAAATATTAATAATTATATATAAATAAGTAGATTTATTTTTGTCGGTTCTACTAGTTTATTTATAGTATATTATTATATCTGATTTTCTAAACAGTTTAGCAAGTATTTCAAAAATGCAATCATAAATACATGACTTAAAATAAAATTATAATCTAAGTTTAGAATTTATAGATTAATAATGATATAATTTAGATAAATACAAGTGTTTTCTCAATCCTATTATATTTCATTAAAAATGAACATTATAAATTATAACAAAAAGAGAATTCAAATGAAAATACTTAGGTTATTAAATAACTCAAAATAGGTTATCAAACTTCATTCTTCTCCTTTCAAAACTTTCAAATAACTTTTAGCTGCATATTCATAATCAGCTATTGTATTATATAAACTGGCTGACAATCTTGTCCAATTTAATTGATCATACTAAAATACAACCAAAAACACATTGTATTTTTCATAACACTTCATATTCAATATTTATATACCTTTTTTTGGCACTCTCTACAGTAGTTTTGGTCTTCATGGGGTATTCTAACATTTACCATTGCAGAATGCATAGATTTATCATTGACCAGTAATTCTGTTTGCCAGATTTATGCAACTAAATTAGCTCCTTCCCAAGCTAAATCTAATGAATATTGAATTATTTAATTTAATCCATATTTTTTTATAAAATTAACCCCATCTATTAATGAAAGTGGAAGGCTAAAATCTTTAGTACCAGAATATTCAAATTCTTTTGCCAATCCCTTGCCATAATGAATCGAAATTGTATTATGATGTATTTTATCTAAATATTACTCTTTCAAATATAGAATGTTAATTCCTGAGGGGCAAAAGGCCCATTTGTTAAAATTAGTAAATAAGAAGTCTGGATCTAAGTCTTTGATATCTAAAGCAGTGATTCCAGATCCATGTGCAGCATCAACTATATTGATTGCATTATATTATTTGCATAGCAATATTAATTCTTTTATAGGCATTTTCAAAGATGGCAACGCTGTTATATTGTCAAAAACCGCAACTGTTATCTTCTATGTTTTGAGTTATTCTATTGGTTATAACAAATATTAATACCCTCAAATAAGGATAGGATGGTTTATTTATCCAAATGTTGCCTTTTTAATTCGATCTTAATTTCCTTTACATTATAATTGGTAGTCATGAATTTGATTGTATTCTAAACCATTGGATATGCAATACTGAAATATAAGATGGTATCATTTTCTGTAAGTCCAAGATCTAATGATGAAAGTGAGAAATTACTTTTTATGATGCTATTAAAGGCATCTGCCGAATTACTAGCCAGCATGCATTAGTTAAAATCAGCATTCAGAAATTCTGCAGCCGTCTTTCTTATTTCTGCTGTGTATTTGGGATAATCAAGTTTTACGAATCTATCAGGGTTTTATAAAAATTTTGTATAATGTTCTATTCTTTAGGAAAAAACCTCTTTAGGTACAAAACCAAAACTACTGTGATTTACACATACAAATCCATTTTCAATAACAAAATCTTCTTTTATTTTTAAACCAAAAGTGTCCATACAATTATTTCAAATTAAAATAATATTTCAATATAATATAACTCAATCAAGTTAGCTAATGAATAATGAAATAGTTTTTAATAAAATAAGATACTCAATCGGATTGTTAGAGATTAGGAAGTAGGCATTATTCTGTGTTTTGGGTATGTTGCGATAAGAATTAAATAAGAAAAATGGCTTATTACTATATTTAGTAAAAAATATTAAAGATATTTATTAAATTTAGAATATTTGCATAAAATTTGATTGTTTATTAATACTTACTAAAATTCTTACGATATAAAAATTTAGCTATTCAATTGTAACTAAATTCCTCATGATAGCAATAATATGATAAGAATATTGGTATAATAAATTGAGAAATTGCATCAATAAAGAAAAAAGCTAAGTTGGCCAAAAGAATGTGAAATTGACAATTTAACTAAAATGAATTAGTTTAGGAAGATGAATCATAAGTTTTTAATCTCACAGATTAGAAGGGGGAGTGATTTTTTAATCAAAGAAAATTCTGCATTATATTTTTATAATGAATTCCATACATTAATAATTATTTAATAGAGATACAATAATCTAATTTGTGATAAATGAATTAAATTAATATATAGAGTCGAAGAAGTCAACTTTATGGAAGAATCACTGTAGGGATCTATCTGAGCACCTGCTTTAATTTCTTCTTCCCCTTATTTAAAGGATTAAATTTTTAGTGATGTGACCTGCATTAAGTGGCTGTTCTTGTTGGTATGAATTAACTCATGAGTTTGAAAATTTTCTTAGATTTTTTGTCGTATTTGGATTTTAAGATGGATTCATGATTTTTCACAAAGTCTAGATACTATAAATGTTCTTATTATGTCCAGTGACCTTGAAATTATAGCAATTTTTACCATTTGCTCTTGTTTGAGAGTCTTCTTCTCCTAATTAGTATTTTTCTGAATTTCCTAACTCTACTTCAGTTATATGATTGTTGTAATTGGTATTCTTAATATCAGGAATATCCTATTGATAATTAAGAAAGTTATTTGGGGGTTAGCCTCTCCAATCATATTTTAATAATGGAAATTGCATCGGAACATTCTGTTGTTAAAATATCACTTTAAACTAATTTAAACTGTTAGTTACTATATTGAATGAATTGCTGCTAATAGTTTGGAAACTGTGAGAAATAATAGGCAGTAGACTAGTATGGATGATATAATATATCTGAATTCATCTAAAACTATGATTTGAGTTATTTAAAAAAATAATTTATTAAATAATTTGAATTCTTAATAATGAGGATCTTAAATATTCCTATAATACGAGGACTTAATCCTAGTCAGTTATCAATCAAGTCCGAAAAATAGTAAAACTGGAAATAGAAAACCAATTCTTAAATAATAATCTAAATATAATGATCAAATAGTTTAGCATCTTTTCAACAATATTTAAAAACGAAATAGTATGCTAAATCAGATGTCAATTAGTCTATGATTTTATTGGAGTATTGGCAGTCAAAGGGAGTTATCTTTTTTGGGATTACAAAAATTAGGAATTTCTTAGTATTTTATTATTATTATAAAATAAGTATAGTATTATGATTCTCTTCTCATGAGAAATACCAAATTTGATAAATTCTAAATTTGAATATTTAATTTAAAGAAAAAGAAATTGCTAGATGATCAAAGAATATGATTATTTGTTTAAGTTAGTTATTATTGGTAACTCTGGAGTGGGAAAGAGTTCATTATTATTGAGATTTGCAGATGATCAATTTAGTGAATCTTACCTAACAACAATAGGTGTTGATTTTAGATTCAGAACGTTGCCCATTGATGGCAAGAATGTCAAGTTGTAAATTTGGGATACTGCTGGACAAGAAAGATTTAGGACAATCACAAGCGCATATTACAAAGTAGTTAACAATCATATTCATTTTTAGGGTGCTGATGGAATTGTTATGGTGTATGATGTCACATAAGGATAATCATTTGACGATATTGATAAATTTTGGTTACATGAGGTAGAGTCATATGGGGAAAAAAATGTGCAATTATTAGTTATTGGAAATAAAAACGATTTAGATGAATAGAAATAGTAAGATTATGATATATTTAAACAAGAGTTGAAACATCAAAGGCTGAAGAGTATTGTAAATCTCATAATATGCTTTTTATGGAATGTAGCGCTAAAACAGCTGACCATGTCAACAATGCCTTTCTTGAACTCTCAAGAAAGCTCATGGCTAAAAAGGATGCATCCCAACCACCAAAAACTACAAATGTGACCCCAAATGCATCACAATAATCATAATCTAGAGGGTATTTATATTATTTATATCAAAGAGTAAATAATACAAGCACTTCACAATCAAATAAACTGAGTGCTAGCAATTCAAACTAAAAAAAATAAAAAGATGGAGGATGTTGTTGATTAATTATTAAGAATAAAACATTGTTAATTTTTATTTGTTCTATTACTTTCTGATTGTATTTATTTAAAATCAGTTTTAAACAATATTTTTTAATAACCTTATACTTAGACTAGTTATTTGAAATTAAATATATTGAAGATTAATCAAATTTTAACTCAAAGTTCAATATTCCCATCTTAACATAAAAATCTAAGTGTTTTCTCTTATTTTTAAATACATCTCAAGTTAATTAAGCTTTAATTAATTCGATAGTTTAATAATGATATGTTATTTAGTCAATTAGTTAGATTATGATCAAAATCACATTAACAAAATTTAAATACATTCTTTATGTAAAAACATTATGAAATATTTGGTTCTTTGAATACATTTCAAGTAACAGGATGATATATATAAAAAACATACCCCATTTTAATAATTTTGAATGAATATACTTATTTCATTGTGAATGAAGTTAAATTATATAAATTAACGTATGTTTAATAATTTTTAGTTGAAAAAGAAAATGGAAATACATTAACCTCATCTTAATTTAAAACAAAAAGGCTAGGTTATTACTTAATTTTAGAAGAAAAATATACCATTAAATTAACACTGCCAACAAAAAAATCAATCAATAAAAATGAACTCAATTGTCAAATCAAACTAAATCTAAAATTAAAGAGTTTAAAAGAGTATCTCTAAAGATATTTGGCATAAAAAGTCAGTTTCTTTAAAAATGAAGAATGCAATTTTTAAGAATGGATTCAAAATTTAGTGTGGGTAATTAGTGAAATACAAAAAAGGAAATCAAATCTACGCTTTCAGATGTATTAAAGACAATATGAAATAATTCAGATTAAAGGAATTGAGATAAGATCACGATGTAGACACAGATGATGAATAAATTTAAATGGCCACCAAATAAATGTTCATGAGTTTAACATAATGCATTAGAAATGAGATGGCAAGCATAGAATTTCACAATCACTAAAATTTATGCTAAAAAACTCTACCTTTAGTTTAAGATGATATATGAGATAATTACTAATAAATAAATAATCTAAAATGAATTTCACGCATCCTATTATGCAAACATCTTTCTAAATTCCTTCCACGACTAATCGCTCTAATAATGTCAAAATATTTTACTATTCCTCTCTTAATTGTATCTTCGACGAAACCTTAGTAAATTTCTGGAAATCGATCCTTAAAATTAAATTATCTGCATTTTAAGAAAAACATGTCTAAACTACAAAATGAATTAGTTAAAATGTTGATTAACATCTATAATGGGTTGTTTCCGATCAGATTCATCCTATCTTCGTGTTGTAAACACAAAATTCCTTAAGGATTTGTACCAAAATAGTAGGATCTCTAAGGTTGCTCTTAAGTGAGATTATAGATATTATATATTTCATTTATGATTGCCTTGTCAATTTTCAATAAAGAATATCCGTTTGTTATTCCCCCTTCCCAAAATATAATCAAGGGCCCAGTTCTAGTTTTTCTGATCTAGTTCATTAAGTCTTTTATGTTTTCACCATCCGTAAACCTTTTGAATCCACATTTACTTATCTAAAATGACTCTAAAATTGCTTTTCCATAGCTGATGATTTTACATTTCACTCTATCTTTTTATATGGAAGTATGAGTAAATGATGGAGAAAAACTAAGTTATGAAATATATTACTATGTTATTAATACGAAAACATCAATTGGAGAGGTTCTTGAACAATAAAAGCAATACGATTATAAGTTTCCATGCTTGAAGTTCGGTGCAGAGCTATGAAATAATGATTTATATTTAAAGTATCCCAAAACTAATAATAGTAATCTTCCACTAATATAATTGTGCAGCAAGATAATAATTCTCATAAATTTATGAAATACTATGTGAAATTCAAGTCTTTGTATTTGGCGAAATATCAAATCATTTATGATAACTATTTCGATGATAAGAAAGGCAAATAAAGGTAATTTAATAAAGAGGAATAAAATATCGAAGGCTATCCTTACAATTGATTTTTAGTTTGTTTGTATTGGTATAAAGGGATCCATATTATTGTTTTATTAACAAAATAAATTAAGTTGTAATTGCAATTTAGAAATATTATTTATCAGTATTTGATGGGTTTGATAAAATTAAATAATAAACATAAAAAACAAATAAATACTTCAACTTCGTAAGGCAGTATCAGGAATTGTAATGCACCTTAAAGTATCTAATTTTATTTCTGGTGAGTCGTTGTAGCAATTCACGCCTGATTAGTTTGCGAAATGATTAAGTTATTGCCAATCATCATCTCTTTTGATAAACAAAGAAGGATCAAAAGAATTAATTGGTATTAAATGTAGATCCTAATTCATACTCTTATAAATAAAAAATTATATTTTGTAGAATTGCTTACCTATTTTTCTAATCGTCATTTTATCAAATGGCCCTAAATTTCGAATTATCAATAATGAAATAGACATATCAAGTTCCAATGGCCGTTTATCATTAGTTTTAATTTCTTACAAAGTTTTTGGATTTATAATAGGAAATTGTCTAAGCTCCATCTTAGTACCTTTTAAATTTTTGAATAGAATTTAAACATTGATTATAGGTTAAGGAGGATAGGATTGATCAAATCCTTCATCTAAATCGATTTGGATTTCATCTGAATATTTCATTGCAAATTTAGTGACATTAAAAAATAGCTATGAGATTTGTTTCATATCTGACTTAATATTCAACTCTTAAATCTTGGTGATTAACATAAAAGTTCTAGTCATAATTTAATCAATCTTTCTATAGTATTTTAGTTTTTCAAATAATTCTTGAATGACTTGAATCAAATTAAACTTTGTTATTTGAATTCTTCTAAACTCAGAATTTGCTTAAAAATAATCAGATATATTATAAAATTAATTGTATGCAATATAAAGTTGTGAGTTTATATACTTGAGGAATTGAATTTCCTTGTTTTTGCTATTTATATTTTTCTATTTCTACTTATATTTTAAAATTCTATTAAGAATGATTAAAGCTACTCTTATCTAAGTTGTAAATATATCTGAAAAGTAGTTTAATAATTTCAAAGTAGCTTTATTTTACAATTTAAGTTTGTCAACAAATTATTGTTTCTATTATTCAGTTATCAATATTATAGCACATGGGTCAGTATCATAACATTTAATAACTTTGATTATGTAAGATTCTTCAGTTGTAAACCCGTAGATATGATGCTGATAGTCTAAGTATTTATTTTCATAACTTTATAAGCTTTGCAATTTATTTCTATCTGTAAACAAGTAAAATAAAAATTGCTCTAAATTCATCTTTGCAGATCTAATCTTCGTAAATGTTTGCCTCTCTATATCTGAACTAGAGGATGAGATATTAATCTTGCGTAAGAATTATTAAAATGCATATTGATCTTCTTCATTCAAAATTTAGTTGTAATCATCTGATTTAAGAAGGAAGGATCTTTTTTTCTCGATAAAATTCACAACGTAATACTTCATGTCTAGATTCTCTCTGATTGTGTTCTCAATTGTCAAGTGCTTAAAATATTGAAGATATGTCAATCTTAATAATTATTATTAGTATCTCTATTATTGGTAGTAAAGAACGATATATAAGAAAAATTTAATTATTTACTGCCATGCCGGTTCTGCCTAATTGGGAATCATAATGATATATATTAGGTAAATAAATAACAAGAGGAAAGCTTTTTGTATTGTATCCATCATGTTGATCATTCTTAAAGTAAAATTAAAATCTATACGTCAAACTTAAAATGGCTAAGAAATAACCATCAATAAACTAATATCTCTGAGGATGCACATTCAAATACTATGAAGTAGCATAGAATATATTAAATAGTAGAATTCCAATCATAATTAGAATCTCATAGATTCTTATGCATTTTTTCTAATATTTAAGGCTAAACATCACTATCAATCCCAAAATGACATTCAAGCTCACTACAATCCAGCTTGATGAAAACACCTTTTCAATAGTGTAATAAATTAAGAGCGGGAGTAAAATTACCTTCTGTATTAATTGAAACCTGATTCGAAACTTTTTCAAGTATTTTTAAAATTGCCCTTCAAATTTTTCAGAAACAAACCTCTGAGACAAAAATTACATTTTTGTATTTAATAAATTATAATATATAACATCTCCAGATTCATAATAAATAATTATAGTTTGTAGACAAATAATATATAAATGAGCTACAATTTTAATACTAATAACAAAACATCTAATTGATTTTTATTATTAAGAACATTCATAATTGTCCAAATTTATCTAACTATATTCTTGGACTGAGTGCCATTAGATCCAAATATGCAGCATGTTTCCCATGAATGGAAGACTTTGCATTCATTACAAAATAATTAATGGGATGTTGGGATTAGAGAGGCATTAAATGAAAATCTTCATACAATTCTCTAAAAATTAGGAATTCTAGATAACTATTGCCATTTTTATTTTATTTAATATAAATTTTATTTGTGGGTCCAAGTTTTCTAACAATGACCACAGCCATAGGTAAATTTAATTAATATGTTTTTTCTGCATTATGTCTTAATTCTGAGATAGTTACTGGATTAATAAAGGGTAATCCTTTCAAAGCATCCTTGCAAAATCGCAAGCCCTGATATTCCAATCTTATCCGAATAAACGCTAATTTTTATTAGGGGCCGTCGCTTTCTTCTAAATAAATAGTAATATCTTGGCAGCGTTCTGTAATAAAATAAAGAAGGTTTATGATCAACTGCTTTAGTTATTTTTAGTCTTGACAGACTGTCTCTTTTCGCAATCTGCTTTTAATTGAAAAGGTGAATTGCTTGCTTTAATAGAAATAATATTAAATTTCAGTCAAAATATCATCTAAAAATGTAATCAGATTAAAGTTTTGAATAATAGTTCTTTAGAAAGAAGTATTTAGATTAAAAAAGTCTTTAATGTTTTAGAAATCATTATAGGCTTTGGCGATCTTACTTTAAACCTTTTTGTAATATGAGATATCCTTATTGTGTTATTTTGGTTTTTGATATTTATGCAAGGCTAAAAGATAGACAAGACTCATCTTAATTTATGTGGAGAAGATTTGATCGATAGTTTCTAATGCTTATTAGAACAATTTGTATCTTAATTTTAGTTCCTCTATAAATACGTCCTTCTTATTCTAAGATATTAATATAATGGCGCTAGGGAGTTCATCAAAATACTTGAGTATCTGGATATTGTAATTTTCTGAATTTAGAACACCTTATAACTTAACGACAGACTCAGTGGAGGGTTATTTCATGTATTCTTTGAGTTTTTCGGGACAAGTCAAAAAATAATATAACAATTTCTCCAGAGTCATTTTGGCATCTTAATTTATTCCTTCTTGAGAGAGATAATTTGTTTATGTTTCTTGATCCTTTATTAATACTCTCATATTTCTAATTTACATTATAAATTATTATTGATCTTCAAATTTTACTATTTCTTCTTCGTTATTTGAAGTTAATAAAATTTGATTGGAGTCTCTTTAGTAGGAAATCAAATAAGAAGTTATACCACAAAAGTTGATCATTTATTACTCAGCTTTTTAGTGTTTTAAGGAGCAAAGGTAGTCTTATCGTTGCATCTTCTCTATTTCATAAATCTGAAACAAACAAAGAAAAATAAAAAAAATAAATTAACTTATTTATTTCCATAATTCCTCTTAAGTTGGTTTGAGTACTTGTAACATAATGTAAATCGATCCAAGAATAAAAGTTTTCTATATAAAACTTCCCTAATATATTACTAATCATAGTTAATAACTCATTTACATGATATCGTCATGAGTGCGAACATATAACCATCTAAGTAATTGGGATTTATGTCATTATCAACGTAAATATTTTGTAATGCTTTGAGATAATTGAGGAAGGTCACACTTACTAGTATTGTGTTTAAATAGTATGACTTTTATTTTCTATTCATATCCATTCTTATGGATACCAGCAGAATGACCATGATGAAACACCCTGCGGTTAATATAATCCATGTTTGTCTTAAAGCACTCACAATTATAAAAATTAAAAGTAACACAATAGCTATAATCTATTGAACTTTTTAAACTTTTTAAAATTGTTGTTTTTTTGTCTTCTAATACTTAGATTCCATCAACTTATCCTTAAACTCCAACGAGAATCTGTTCATGAAATTAAATTGTTTTAATGATTTAAAATGTTATATAAAAATATTTTAATCGAAAATATTATTGAATGAGAAAAAAAAATTACTGTCATAAGTTTTTGTCTGCTTAGACGTTTTTGAGACAAACGTAGCAAAAAATAGACCGAGATATGCTAGTATTGGGTTTATATGAAGACTTCAAGGAGGATTTTCAGCATTTCCTAAGAAAAGCAACTGGTTTAAGTTCCAAAAAACTTCAAATAGTACTGCTTGGTAAAATGTAGAATTGATTTTATTTATAAATTTATTTAGCTACATATTTTATTAAATAATATTTTTGACTTTTGTGAAAAACAAATTTATTGAAATGGAGGATTCACTTTCAGAAAGTAATGGAATATTAATATTAAAAAAATTAAATGAAATAATAATAATAATATTTATTATGCATAGATTTACTTTGACATTCTTGAACAAGGATGTAGAGCAGCAATACTAATCAATGAATGCAAAATAATCCATAGAATTTCAATAGTAGTAGAAATGGATATTCATAGTAATGGGACTCTACTTTACTATAGTTAAAATAATCGAATAAGAGTGGGTGAGTTTGGGATTCATTGTATTTACCTGGCTAGTAGTCATTTTTAGTTATAAATTCATAGCTCAACGCAACAAATTATATGATCTCTTTCTGACATTTGTAGTTGTTAGCTATAACCTTTACTTTCCATTAACCAAATACTTTTCATTAACTTCAAGTGAAAGCTACTACATAGACGGCTACTTTATATCTGTTGGCACTTTCGGGTATATCCAAATTTAAATATTTTAGCGTGATCAATATTTTTAGTTTTAGATTTAAAACTATCATAATAGCCATAATCTTTACATCTCTAGTTAGTTTGAGCATGATATCTGAGGCGGACTTTTGGAATTAACTTATCAAATCCGCTCTCTTTACATCCCTTTATTTATAATATTTGTATTGTTTTGAGAAGCATAAGAAGAACAACTTTCTTAACCATTTGAAAAGAACAACAACTTTGAAGGGTATATATGACTTAACAAATATTCAAACCTTCATTATTCATTATAAAGCAGAAACTAAAAAAATAGAATTGGTACAGAAGGATGATTAATAGGAGATACAGAAACAAATTTTGGATGATTTCGATGATTATTTAAAAAATATGAATATTTAATAGTCTCGGAGTATGGGAAAATTCTCATCCATCTTGGGCTAAGATCCAATAAATTAATCTTCAAGGAAACAAGAATTAAAATCATATTTATTTGAATTATTTCTGAGAGATCAGAGGATTTAATAAGCTAGGAATGATGATTAATATGATAACAACCAAATATTAGGAGAGGCAATTTATGAGTAGGAATATTATTCGATTTAGGTTATGAAAGTATTTGATGTCCATCCCTGTTTCATTTTAATACTGCAGGAAAAGAAGAAGGAAGTATAGCTGGAAGAATTATCTTTGAAGAACAAAATGTTAAAAAAATCTCTGGATTAGACTTCATTTATATTCAAACATCATGTTCGTGTTTCATTGATCTACTTTTAATGGATTTATAAATATGCTAATAAAAAGGAGGAAATTTTGTTAATTAACAGATGTTTGTAGTCTATTCATGGATAAATTATAAAGGCCAACAATGACTTTTAAAATATTATTGATTTTAATACAATAAATTCAGACTTTTAATGTTCAATTATTAAACAATTTAACATCATTGATTGCCTTCATGAATTAACTAGAACTATATGTTACTATGACATAAACAAAGATATCAAATTTAATATAATAAATTAATTGAACTCCGAATAATAAAAAATAAAATAAGACGAGAAATAGTTTAAATAATTGCTATACAATTTATTATTCTTTGTTTCAAATTCATCTCAAACTGTAACAATTACCTTATAACATGATACTCATGGACAGCCAAGTAAGTCTGTTATTAAGATTAAAATAACCTATTAAGGCCCTAATCTTAGTAATTAATAACTGTAAGGATTGCAGATAATTAATCCATAAAATTTGGGAGAACTTCATCATAACGCATAAAGGCCTCTGGATTTAGAAATACCATTATCATTGATGATAATCCGTAAGATAGGTCCCTATGATAAAATGCGTCTATCCTAGAATAAAAAGACTTAGAATTATATCGAATTTTTTATTTTTTCAGTATTAGAAGAACAATATCATTTAATTCCTATATATTCTTTGCACCCTCTCAATTGTTTAATACTTAAAGATAAGAATAGATTGCAAACTAAAAAATTCACTTCACTATATGAAAAATTATTGACAAGCCCTCGCTTGCAATTCTAAAATTATAATGATTTTTGATACACTGAAATATTTCATAGGGGTTGAGTTATTGAATTCATTATTGTTTGTCACATTAAGTTTTCATTTGAAAGTATAATATAAATTTAATTTATTATGAATTCTTTAACCTTGAGGTTTAATGATTAAGAATTTGAGAGGCACTATAAATTATCTAGATAAATTTTGCTAAATTAATCCTTCTTCCAGCAGAAGATACTCCTTATGATATTACTTATTTTATAGGTTGCTGATAATGCTCTTAGTGAATCCTGGGTTGAATTGATTTATAATACAATCGGACTAATGATCATTTTACTCAGCCACTATTTTAGATTTTACTTGCAGGAATTTCAAGAACTCTGCATTTTGATAACCATTTTGATATATAACATCTAATAGCCAATAGATTTGCTCCTAAGAGGTAGATTGATCAACAATTATTTTTCAAATGGTTACTTCATTTCTTTAGCCACTCTTGGGTATTAATAAATTATAATAAAGAGTTATTTCCCCAATGGACTTTCTTAAGAAGTTATCGATAGCCATTATAATTTTGATTGTGCATTTAATCTCGAGTATTTAAAATGATTTATCTTGGAGATAATTAATAATTTATATCATCTCAGATGTGATAATAGTGTATTATTTTTATATTTCAGAGAAAGAGTCAAGAATAACCTATATAGGAATTAAAAATAAGAATATTATAGAGGAACATTTTTATAAAGAAATGGATCTTTAATCATTTATAGTTCATTACAATAACTAACAAAACTCATTTAATCTGATTGAATAGAACTAGAATAAGGAGATAAATGAGGAAACCCAATTCAATTTTATTTAGTTGATACGTAAAATACGAGTGATGGTAGGCTATCAGGGGACCAAACTTTCTGAATTTTATTCTTAAGAACAACTCAATATTTGTAGGAAGTTGAATCTAGAGTAGTTTTTGTTCTACCTCTTTACAAATGAGGAAAAATTATAATATTTGATCTACAACAAATCCAAAACCTAATTTTATTAACTTATTGGATTGATTGATTCGGATGTCAATCACATTAAAATAATCAAAACCTTTGACACTGAACCTTGTGTCATTATTCTTATTAAACAAAACAAAAAAGAAGCCCAAAAATAGTAGATCAAACTCAAACTCAAAATTGCCAATAAACTTATTGATCAAGCTTCTCAAACTGTATAACAATAATTGAGATTGTCACTCATATATTTGAAACAATTACTAAATAATCAAATGACTCATTAAATATCATTACATAAATTTGATATTAATTCGTTGATGAAATTAATAAATAGTAAAGCAATAAAAGTATATAACGATTTAAATAATATATCAGATTTTCATGATATAAATGGAAAATTTAATAAAATAGAATCTACATAATTCAACATCGAAAAAGTAATCTAAGAATCTATTATGATCATCAAATACTACAATTCCAAACAATAATTAACTTTGAATTTTCTTTCCAAACTTAAACAAAAATGGATCTATTCAGATCAGAAAAAACTTAAACAATTAATCTTAAATGTACTCTTTTTTCTTTCCAAGACTTGTACTAACATAAAAATCAATTTGATTGAAGATAACTGCAATCAGGAAATTAATGTCAATGAAACTATCTTATTAATTGACATCTAATTCTAAGGTCTTGCTCTTACTTAAGATAAACTTAATAACTTTCCCATAATTAACCCACAAAACATAGAGGAACTAAAGCATAACAATAGCAAACAACTAGAACTAGAGATACCTATTGCCCTAATGATTGTTCGATAACTTGGGCCTTTCAATTAGATTAAGTTTAAATAAGGAACCAAAAACCAAACCAATTTCATAAGATTTTATTTATTTTAGGAACTTTAAGAGTTCAATCTAATACCTATTATATCACTTCATCCTAAAGAATATTTGATCACTCATTAAAAATTTGTGAAAAAGCAATCTTAAACCTATAAAATATTAGATCTACCCAACAAGACTATTGAAATACAAATGAACACTTTTAGAAACTTAAATGATAAAATGATTACTAGATTCTGATATAATAATTATATTAATTAATTTTAAAATAATGTTTCTGATTTTATCTTAGGATGATCATCCACTCTATGAAAGAAGGTTTCCTTTAAAAAAAACCACTTTAGGAAGCTAACAACTTTTAAATGCTCAATTTATATTACATGCCTCTTTAGATGTGTTTGAAGAGAAATACAAGTCATCAAAAGAATTGTATAAATAGATTTTATAATAAGATTTCTCAAGGAAATAGAATAAAAACAGGATTATAGAATCTTTGGATATGTGACACCATCAAATATTAGGTTTTTGATTTTGACAGATTAAGAAGAAGAAAAAGTTAAAGGGTTTTGTTAATTGGCACATGAGTAATTAATTAAAGTATTGATGAATCCACTTTACTAATTGGGATCATCGATTTCTTCTTCTAATTTTGATCATGTAATTTAATAATTGCTTCAAACCAGATTAAACTAATGAGTTGTATAATTTTATTTAATCTAAGCAAACAATAAAACATGATTTTTTTTAAATATTTGAATAACAATTCATTAAAATAATCTTCAGTATGTTAATATACAATATCATTTTAATTACTAAAATTTGTTGCTATTTTTATATATCATAAA